CCGGCGATTAGGTACAGAAGAATATTTGAATTACATTTTGCAAGGAGGAACATTACTGCTAGCTTAGTGTAGAAACAACATATTGACGGTGAAACTACCAAACCACGTAGGTATCTCGGTTTGCGACGTCGCAGACTTCCTGTCATACTTTATTTTTTAAATGAAAAACTACTTAACATCCAGTCTTGAAAATTTCTGTGATTTTTCCTCTTTGTGCGGAGAAAATTCCGTAAAAATTTCAAGGAATGATATTGATTTGGTCTACTTCAAAAGATTAAAATGTGAGCGTAGATTTTTAAACACCGCAAACGAGATACGTGGTTTGGTAGTTTCACCGTCGCTATGGATTACATTTTGCAATAAGGAGCCACTATCTATGGCTCTTCCATAAAAGCACGTATCTTCATAGGGAAATTAATGGCACATATGTTGTTTCTAAAATGAGCCAGAAATAGTGGTTCCTTATTGCAAAATGTAATCCATTCATAATACCATATTTATAGTAAGCTTCCAAGTTTTTTCAGGCATTAAAAATTGGAAGACTACAAATGTACACAACAAGAGCAGTCACATTGGCCTCAGAAAATAACTGTGGGCGTAGCCAGAGGGTCCCCCTCTCCCAGGAAATTTGTGATCATACACAGTCGCTCAATACCATTGGACCTCAGTAAGAGGCACATAGGTCATTGGTCCCCAAAAAATGTTTCTAGCTATGCTTAAGGTCACTACTGTCGCTAAAATAATTGTGTGAGGGATGATGTGGATATATTCATTCTCTACAGGGATCTAATGGCATCAAACAGCTTCGTACAGTCGCAAATTTTCTGCCCTTCCCCTCACCGACACCCGCATAGGACCTTCAAGTCCCCAAATGGGCTGCGAATCATTTTGGAAATTCAGTGATTTAAGGTAGCTCCTAAGCTTCAAAAAAAAAATGATTGAAGCTCTTGTTAGTCAGATCATGAATCTTAACAGAAGTCATAGTGACTCCGGCACTAAGGATCCTGGTTTCAAAACCTTATAAATAATAATATATTGAGGGGTACTTGACGAACAAAATAAAACCATATAAATAATGTCAATTGCTGGGATGATGCAGGCTCAGCTTTTGGTATTACAAAAGACAACTTTACTATGAACTCTGAATTTTCATTAAATCATCTATTAGACCTTGCCATGTCCCTGCAATTTCAAAAGGAGTTTTCGTCAAATTTCAGTGCAGTCAAGTGCAGATCCAAGGGTAACTAAAGTTACAAAATAAAACTTTTGGGGAATATCCATCTTAATTAAGAGATGAGAGGCTTAAAAGACATAAATAAAACAAAGATGCATTTTAAAAATATTAAAAATTAGATTTACTTTGTAAAAAGCTTACACTATAAATGTACACATGCAGATATTATTTGACAGTTATGCTGATAATTTGTACGTCATCATACGGTTTGTCCGTCTTAGAGTTGGTCTTCACATTGCTGATGTTTTGAACAACCTCCATTCCTTTTGTGACACGTCCAAATACGGTATGTTTATTGTCCAGCCATGGCTGCAAGAGACCAAAATAAGATTACACTCAAATTTTAAAGCTTCCTCCCGGTTTGTGAATTATTTCGTGGAGGTAATCTCCTGATTTCAAATTCTTTTTGAGTACATTGAGCCAGATTATAGAAACAAAAGAATTAATTGAAAAAAGCAGAGAAGATAAAAAAGTCTCCTTTCTTACAAATTTATAGAGCATAAATTTTTCTCTGAAAACATTTATAATTTAAGTTAGAAAGGATACAAGGAAACAGCGGAAACAAGGCTAAAATACAAGTCAAGATGATATAATCAAAAAGCTCTGAGGTTTTTCAACATTTATAAGATAAAAATTCTGCTTCATGAACCCCTGGTTGGTTCTTAAAAATACTGATGTCATTCAAAATGAAAAATAACTTCAGAATCTAACACATTTTTACTCTCTTAAATAATGGTTTCAAACTTACACATTGGACGTGTGTCTCAATAGTAGCACATTAAAAAAAAATTGCCTTAAAATAGAAAATATTTATTACCGTGGGAGTAAGAGTGATAAAGAATTGACTTCCATTAGTACCAGGCCCTGCATTTGCCATACTAACTGTATACGGGCGATCATGGCGTAATGCAGGTCTGAACTCATCTTCAAATTCATGTCCCCAAATACTCTCACCTCCTGTTCCAGTTCCTATAAAGGTTAAAAAAAGACAAAGAAGTTAAATTAAATTGAAAGACCTATTTTTAGCTTAAGAGCATTGTTCATCAAAATTTAGTTTTGCTTCCTTCCTTTTTTGTGAAATGCAAAATGGTTCAGACTAGTCTACATTAAAAAATGTTTGCAAGTTAACCTCACAAAATAAGCATGAACTACTCAAGTAGGAAACAAAACAAACCAAACCAAACCAAATGAACCAAAACTAGACAGACAGCGACCAAATTAGAGGTCTGTACGAAATTTAGTTTAAGCATGTATTTTGCTGGTTTACAGTGCCTTCTTGAAGTTATAGTTAAAGCTTAAAACTGAAATCTGAACAAGTTTAGAATCAGTAGGTTCGTGACTTGAAACACTTAAAAATTGTGAGTAATAACTAAATTCGTTTTTAATTAATTTTTGTACCACCTATTTACTTAGGCAGAATTTGGAAGCTTCATCGCAAAAAGCTTTCATTCTGAGCACTTTTTCATGTGAGCTCCAATAGACCTGACCTTGTCTATTAGTGGTAGAGGTTCCTTCTTTTTTTACCGGGAGTTTCATGAACCAAGCTCAGAGGACTGCAGGCTGCAAGCCTGTGCAATTAAGTCTTGTGTGAGCTACTGACCTAGAAGTAAAGCCTCCTCTTTCTCTCTCTATTTTCATGTTTTTGAAGCAACCGTTGTGCCATTAATGCAGACTCTAATTTTGCAATAGAAGCTGAGTAAATTTTTGTCAACGATTAAATTTGACCGATTGAGTCAAGAAGGGAGAAAGACTTCAATCAAAAACCATGTTCTACCTTCTTCGGAACTACTGAGCGACTCATCAGCTTTTAAATACCTTTGTAAAATAAATGAACTAGAATATTTGAGCTTGTTAAAGAGTCAAGATACACAACTATCTCACTCATATTGTGGATAAGTAATGATCTTGGGGAAATAATTTACCTGTTGGATCTCCAGTCTGAATCATGAAGCCTTTGATAACGCGATGAAAAATGTGACCATTGTAGTATCCACTTTTACTATGAGTGCAAAAATTCTCGACAGTCTTCGGACATTCAGTGAATAATTTCATATGAATATCGCCCATGGTAGTGTGAATAATGGCATTTTCAAACAATTTTTGGATTCCTGAGGAAGAAAATAAACAAGATTAACCATCTACTATTTTTTTAAAAAGATATCATGAGAGAGAATAGATAAATTTCACACATGAGATAAATTAAGACACTGATCATTCGCTCCTTGATTACCTATTAATTTAGTCATCACAGGCAACGCTGAGCGATCATCAACGTCTATATTTTAATACATTTTTTCCTTGATCTTGGCAACAGCCACAGAATGGCTATTGAAAATATTTTAAAGCTGCAGAGTCCAGTAACACAACTTGAAGTATTAATACATACTACAATGTATACGGCTTAGTGCACAAGCTTGTGGTTTAGAATAACATAAGGATCAAGAGATAGAGCTTGCTTTTGCAGCAGAATGAGTTTTTCTGGACTTATGCTACTCTTTGACACTTCATTATTCCACATATTTGTTTGACATCGTAGAGAAAAAACTGATCATGTATTATGTTACACTGCAAGGAAAAAGTGCAAACACTACTACTACATTTGGCCCTAGCTAAATTTTAGTGATATTTGATATGATGCTCCTTGCGGCTTCTTGAGCACGATGAGCTTTTACAATCAAACTCCACAAAAGCAGAGCTGAAAAGTGAATTTTTTGGCTATTGTACTTGAAAAAACTGGTGGTAGTGTCGCAACATCTAATTTGTGATCATGGAAGTCTTTTGTTTTCTTGCGAGCCAGGAATTTGCGACAGACAAAAAGAATCAAATTCCTTCAAGCCATAATAGCGTCCACTTTTACATAACGGTATTTGCACAATTCCAACAGAAAACGTTTTGGCGAAGGCAGACCAATTCACATTGGAGTCCCGCTTTTTTCAAGATTGGCACATAAAAAGTTTGATCTTAAAAGCTTATAAAGCTTTAAAAGTTGAAAGGGACATTATATCAAATGAAATCAAAATTTAGCCGCTGTAGAAATTTCTTTGTAATAAGTGCTTGCAATTTCTGACCCTCTTGAAGATAGCAAAAGATGCCTCCTGAATAGGATACATAATTTATTTCAACATTCTGGTCCCGACTCAAACTTCTTAGTATGTGGGTTTGTTGTGTTCAGACTCACATCACAAGATTCTTCTAAAGAAGGGACTGAAAAACAAATTCCCTAAAAGTACGTACACTTAGGTGCGCACTAGGTATGCACTTTCAGTGACGGAAAATTGAGGAGCTATCTCCTGAATGACATGGAAATGAAGAGAACATACCAGAAGCCTCTGTAGCAGAAATGATGTCTTCTTTTGACGGTTTCTCGTTGAAAACATCTCTGTCAGCTTCAACACTTTTAATGTCATCTGGTTCTCGTCTGAAATCATAAAATCCAGGAGTTCTGATACATGAGTCACCTTGAGAGTGTGTACGTAATAGAATTGGTATATCCTGACTTAAATTTTAGCAAAACAAATTTTACATAGCATTATTAAAAACAATCAATGGAATAATTTGATTTGAAGTGGACGTTTCAGAAAGCCAACGCTGCCCATTAACCATTGCTTAATTCTCCATTTTATCCTTTCTCTTAGGTCTTTATGAGACCCACTGATGAACAAGTGACTAAATACTATTTGGCAGTACAATTGAGATGCAAAAAAGTATAGTTTAAATACAAAAGTTTGCAATGAAAACAGAGCTCTGACTTCACATAATGATTTCAGGAGCCGTTTTGTCAGCAACCCCAAAATTCAGACAGCATCTACAATTTTTTGAAGACCGTTAAGATTGCAGGGTGTTTTGCGAGGAGCAAGATTGCAATTGGTATCAAAGCTGCGCTTGCAAGGTCAGCATTCCTTCTTTTTGGGTTCATATACTTGGCGCATAGAGCCCGGTGAAGTTACAACAGTGGATTAAAAAAACTGACCTTGTAAAAATGTAAAATCTGCTTTTTTTATACGCTGTACAGAAAAGAGTGGGATCTGATTCGACTGCTTCAAGAGTAGGATTTTCAGAGGCTTCCATTTCTATGGTGATAGCTGCTTTTGATTTTTTTGGACGACCCTGTAATTGAAAAATACAACAACTTAAAAAGACTGATCTTGAAAAATCTTGTTAGAGGGGAGATCTTGTAACATACAAAGAGGCAAATAGAACAGAAGGCGACTACATTCATACTGATTATTTAAAAAAAAATATGTGCTCACATTATTGAAATTCATCTCATCATTCAAGCACTGTTATTGTAATTTGAAATTGATAATTTTGAATCATTTGATGAAATGTAAAGAAGTAAATAAATACAGAAAAAATTGAATAAATAAATGCATAAATAGAAAATGATGTCAGACTATATATTTTTACCTGGTAGATTGCAATTTTCAAAGCTCGTAAGTTCTCGGGTTTTCCAATCATTCTAACACAACGATGAGTATAGACGTTAACTACTTTAATGCCTAGCATTGTAGGATACAGTAAAAAATAACCACTTTCATCAAAAGTTAAATTATTCAGATTCAATGCTCCAGTTTTTTCTAACTCCCTTTCTAGTGCCATCCTGAAATAAATGAAAATGAATGCAAGTTAAGACAAATATTAGATTCATGAATATTTCAATAAAATGAGCATCACTAATTGGGCTCTGAAGATTTAATTGATGCTGAATGGCACACTTTTTTTCATTTGACTAGAAACTTGGATTTTGACCCTTCGGCCCTTAAGGAAATTATTGGTTCAATTGACTTCTAATGTATTTCTTCAACAATAATCCTCCTATATCGGGAAAATCTGAAAAAAATTGTGAACTTTAGTGAACAAATGGAATAAGTCACTTCTGTTAAAACATTTTCCTGCTAAAAAATAAGCACCCAAGAAAACAGGGTCCCACATCTTGTTGGTACCTGACACAGCAACGTTCATTGATTTGGGGTCTGGTGGTGTGACGCTAACCTACAGAGACCCAGAGTTGACCTCATGAGCCAGATCCAAAAACAACCACCACATAGCTTACACTACATACTACCATAACACTTTGAGGAACACCTTGATTTCAGGTCTTTGCACTTAGCGTGGCAGTCAATGTTAACTATGCTTCGGCAATATTCCTTTTGTTTTTTTACTTTTTAATTATAGCAATAGTAAAACTTGCTAATCTTGTTTTAATGAACACTCAGCCAGTTGAAAATATTTTGATAACAGTATTTATTTAAGTACACTTTGCCCATGGGTGCACAATCAAATGGTACAATTTTTTTCTTTTTCCTTTTCAATTGGCTGGGTTAAATTTTATTTCTTTCAAAAACTGAAAATTCTACTAACAGGGAAAAATGAGACTAAAAATCTAGAAATTTGACAAATACTTACCGCCGTCCAAATTCCATATTAGGAAGTTGTTGTTTGGACTGCTGCAATTCAGTGAACCTTTGCAAACTTTCGTCTAGGACTAAACTTAATTTACCCGTTTTAAACAAAAATACTCTAATCTGGAACATAATTTAAAATGTAACAATTAGCAAGGAGACTTTCTGAAGCACGCCAAATAATATTTCAGGATAAAAAATCTCAAAAGACTCAGTAGAAATTTTGCACTTAATGGCAGAGCTTTATAAGCGCACCATAGATTAGTATCAGCTGCCCAAGCAGCTGGATGAATCATTGGTTTGGGCCTCAATGCTTTTTGGGTTATTTTAAGGGCACTTTGTGGCAGGAGCATGATTGAACTTTCACATTGTGATAACTAATCCTACGGGGCGTTTAGAGCGCTGGTAATTGTTTTTTAATCAATGCAAACATGAAAGGAACCCATTTTACCTTTTCATGTCTTGCTTAAGTTCTGTAATTTTGATGTAGCTATACATTTTCTCAGAGCGAATAGCAATTTGAAAAATTTTCTTTCCAGTGCAAAAGCTCAGCCAACGGTGAATTTTGTATGGCACAAACCATCAGGAACAAAATTTAGGTTACGATGAAGATAGTCAGTTTCCATGGTTTTGTACAAGACTCTTACAGCATGTTCAGTTCCTCAAGCTGCTCGACGAGCCACATTCCAAACAGGTAATTTTTTCCTCAAATTTCTACGTGCAGTTGGCAGGAATTGCATTGATCTTTTAAATGGATTTGTATTTGAATTGATCGACATGCCGTCTGAACGCGCACTCACTGTCTCCTAATTTGTATCCAATTTTGAACAGATTATTTGAAAATGTATGTCCAGTTATAAAACTTATGTACCTTTTAACTGAATTTACGATGATATTATTTAAGGCACATGTGCTTCTTTAGAAAACTTAGAACAAAAGCATAAAACTGAATGTGATAATATAGATATATTCCAAAGACGCACCTGGACTTTCACTGTTCCTAGACTTTTATTTTATTTTAAACGGGTTCATTGAAAATTTGTATCAAGATATAAGAGTACCTTTTAACTGAATTTACGATGAGATTTTGAGACACTTATGATTGATTAGAAGACTTAGAACAAAAACAGGAAACTGGTTAAGTTGATACAGATGTATTCTTACAGCGCACTCTTTCAATACCCCATGTTTAGTTTACCTGCTTATATTTACAAATTTTTTTTACAGAGAACTAGCGTGAGTTATAAAACGGGTGGAGGGCCTTCATGAATTTTAACAGTTGAATACTTTCGATGCAGAACTTTCGAATCATTTAAGATACATGGAGAAGAGAGAGAAGGCAAGTATAAGTTCATTTGTACCTACTTTTCTATCACATGATATTGTCGCAAATTTAAGACCATCAGGGGTAAAACAGAGACTGGAGGGAAATGTTTTGTGTCGCACAAATTCAAATAAATCTGTGTCTAATTTTGACTCAAAATTCACACATTTAGGGAATGAGTAATCTCCTTTTGAACCGCTCCAATATTCAATGACACCTGCTTTGTCAGCTGACAATGACACTTCAAATACTGGATTATACTGAAAAAAAAGAAGAAAAAAACAAATTGTAAGATCCATTTTTTTTAATATTCTTTGTGAATGGATTTGGTTGAAGTTTTTAACTTACTGCCGACCTCTGTTACAACGAAACGATATTCCCTCCGGCCAACAGTGCGCTTACAACATTTAGTTTTCGTGCTGGCAGCAATTAAGACCGCATCCACCTCTAGAGGTGGGTCAAAAAGGATGAATTCAAACGTTGGCTAATGTTCATCAAGCAGCTGAGTTTAGTTCTTGACTGCAATGGAGCGTTTTTCTCTTTTGGTTTGCAACCCTGCGGAACCGGTAGAAAAAGTCCACCAAATCCACTGGCAAAAATTTGCCTCGAATGTGTCAGGTAGCTCTCTACTTTTAACTCTAGAAGTATCTTTCTCTTTGTATTATTTATCATTAGCAAGCATTGTTGAAGTTTTATGATCATTGATCCTTTTCAAAATCCTATTTCATCAGATGTGGCACTGAGGGTGGATTAGTCGGGAACCAACATCTGTTGAAGGATCTCACATTCATCATTCAATCATTTCATCATTCATCAATCATTTTTCGACAGATTGTAATGCTGCCTTTAGACGCTGATATGCACAGCCGACTTGCGCCCTCAAGCAGTGCCATACTTAATAACTGCGGGGATCAAAAATTTTTTAGGAAGATCCAGCGGGCTGATTTTTTAAATTGATAGACAAAGAAAACAAAAGGGATATGGATGGATCCTATTGGTGGAAGCGGATGGTTACAATGGACAAAGGAGGTAGGTTATGGACTAACGAACAGCAACCCACGAGGAACCCTATAATTGGTCCATCTGTCATCCTGTTAGTCTGTGAGAGCTACAAATTTCAACCAATAGGATCACTCCATACTCCCTTTCTTCTTTGTCTATTGCTTTGTCCATCAATTTTAATGATCAGCCTGCAGAGTTAAAATAATTTTCCTCCTTAGAACCTCCTAAGACTTGTTTTAATTTCCAACAAGAACAATTTCTCTGTCCTACATTTTTGACTTTTCTTAAAATTATAATCACTTACTTTAATAATGTTGACTGGTTTTGTGTGCAATTTTTCAAATACATGAAGGGGAGTATTACAACCTCGACCATCATAAATGTAAATTTTATTCGATTCTGAATCAGCCCTGGAACATAGAAAGAGACCAGTTAAGAAAAATGGGTTGGAAAGCAAAAATTTGCTAACAAGTTTGGGTGAGAAAGAGAAAAAGAATAAAGAATAACTTGCAACCTAGGCTACTGTTTTTTTTTTTTTTTTTTTAAATTTAATTTCTTTAATTTTCTATTTTTTTTTATTTAATTTTCTTTTTCTTTCGGTTTTTTCTTAATTGCCACCAAAATCTACGCTACCACAGATCATTGGGCAAAAGGCATTTTCTTACCTCTTTTTCCTTTTACTTTTACCCCTCACTTTGTACAAAACACCTTCACTCTATAGGAACCTAACTGAAAACATGTTTGGGCGACCCCCCATCCTCCATCAATAGCACTTGTCCATACAAGCTAATTGCTTGACTTTGATATCATGCACAGTATCATTCTCGACTCACATTATTCACAGCACTCATTCATTAAAAGCATGCTACCTTCTCTAAATTCTTGTGTATCAACACCAGAAGCTCATTTCAGTCTCTTTTTTTAGCAGACAGGTGTTGCTCTGTTCAGATTTTCTTGGTTTTTATGTTCTGTTTTTAATTTTTTTTTTCCTTTTCTTTTTTTTTTTTGAGATTTCCCAAATGAGATTAGACAGAAAATGACCATATCAACTTACACAGCTAAGGTGAAAACGGGATCACCCAATGAATGAGTCCATTCAGCACATTGAGGAACGAAATCTATTTTGATCATGTTGATCATGTCTGAAAAGGAAAACAATTTAGATAAGGGTTGAGAAAAATAGACAAGCACATTAGGTAAATATCTGGCATTCACTAACACCCAGCAGGCCTGTTATTGACATTGCCACACAGAGCTATAAACAAAGATGACAAAGAGAAAATGCAGCAATCCTACTTGTGGAAGCAGGTGGTTGCAATAGACAAAGGAGATAAGTGATAGACTAACGGCAACCCACAAAGAACCCTAGAGTTGGTCTATTATTGTTGCCATTAGTCTATAGATACCTCCTGTTTCAACCAATAGGATTGGTCCCTTTTCCATTTGCCTTCTTTGTCTATCATTTAAACATCAATTTCAATGATCAATCCATTGGACTCTTAATTAAAGTACATAAAATTGAGTATGTATTATCATTATCTTATCATCAAAAATCAGGGTAGCTTCTACATCTCATAATAGGAGCACTTTGAAAGGATCAAAAGAACTGAAAACATTTTTATTAGACGTCTTTTGGTTCTCATCGTGATAATTCAAAATTTGTTCCCTCTTTGTTGGAACAAATGTGGTCACAGCATTTAAAACAAGCAGGAGTTTTAAGCCATTTAGTTCTTTTGAGGAGTCCAGTAATGTAGAACGGTGCAAAACACTCCAGAATGATCAGGGACCCAATAGCTAAGGAACAAAAAAGAGAAAGCCTTCTGGAAAGCCAGTAAACTAACTCAACTAATGAGCCAAACATTTTTGTTCAAGAAAATAGGAAAATGAGGCCTCAAAAGTACAAAAGATGTAGATGAAGGAGCCAGAGGACAGATTGCAAAGTAAAAAAATAAAACTTCGAAGAATTTGTGAATGGCAAAGTTTTTTGTTTTAGGTACGGTTGGTGCTTGAAATTGTCAAAATTTATTGGTAGATGTCCTCCCATCCTTCAACCTGTAAGGAATTTCACCTTTCTATGAGGGCGACAACAAATGCCTGCTGCAAGTACTCCTTTAGTCGACCATTCTAAGTGCAAACATTTATATGAGTAAACTTATCCCCATTTACCCTTCTGTCTGATGTAGAATGCTTAAGAAATGACATTAGTAATACTCACCAAAATTGATGACGTCAAAAATTTTGATTGCTTTGTCAGTAGCTACAGAACAGAAAAGGGTACCATTATAGTTGACAGCCATGTCAGTGATAGCTCCAAGATGCCCTCGAAAATGTTTTACAAATTCGATTAAAGATTCCATTTTTTTCCAAAATTTGATATGCCCATCCGAGCTGCCAGTTATGATAAATTCTGTTCTAGATAAAATAAAAGAGGTAAAAATATAAATATGATGACAAGACGTTAGAAAGACAGCTTAAGATATTGTATAACTACTCATAAAAGAACCAATGAATCATTACAAAATGAATAATTCTCATGTGAGTATTTTATGGAAAATTATACCTTCAAAAATAAACTAGATTAAGGAGAGCAAAAGTGATCAATTTTAAAACATAATTCAATAAACTTACTTTGTGACGATAATGTGCGTAATGGTGTCTCTATGCATGAAGCTTTTCTCATAGGATTCTGCAGATGGGAGATTTCTCAAGTAAAGTTGCTCATGTTCCAATACTGTAATATTCAAAAATATGGGTCAGTACACATAGCACCAATGAGTAATTAGGTAAAAATCAAGACCAATCCACACACGTCAGTCATTCCCGAGGAGGAGTTTTAAAACTCTACTGCGCAGTGACGTAGTATTGAGTGCCTGCAATTTATTTCTTATGGGAGCACCCATTGTGACGTAGCATTGAGTGCTGCCGAGTTAGGGCCGGGAGGGGGAGTGGATCTCAAGAAGATGCGCAATGACTGACCTGTGTGGATTGGTCTTGATAAAAGTGAGAAAAAAATATAACACGAGTGTTTAGTAAAAGTATACAAAGAGCATAAAAATAGTTCAGGTCTGGTTTCCGATGGGCTTTTTGCACAATTTTTTTTAATTTCTTTTATTAAAAGAAATAAGGTTTCTGATGACATAGGAATTTTCCTGGAGTTTTTCAACTGCTGAAATTCTTAACAAATCAACTAAAAATGCCCTAAAACTAAGAGCAGAGGGTTCCTGTACAACATAGTTCTTTTTAGGAAAAATACGTCCAATCATGCAATGCTTCTGCGAAAGTTTCTAATTCAACACTGAGCTACAAAATCATGCCATCAGGTAATTCTAATGGAGTCCAACAACGCCGACCATTTGGAATCGGATAATTCCGTTACCGAGCAGTCCCAAACAGTTAACATCGACAATGCAGCTTGAATTAATGAATCCTCCGATTTAGTCTAAAAAGCCTACCTTTCTTTTTCTTCTGAGGTTGGATGACAGCATCCTGCAATGAGGGCCCGATCACTTCATCCGAATCCGAGCCGGAGTCTTCATCCTCCAAACTTCGCTTCTCAGACATTGTTACGCTTTCTTGTTGGACAACGAACTGCTTTCAATAAAGACTCAATTCGAAAATTTACAATTCATAACAAGCACTCAATGACAAAGTCCATGATCACCGGATGAAGATCCAAATCGAAGCACTGGCAAGATATTTAGACAAAATTAACCAGATTACCAGACATAAACATGCATAAACCAGCAAAGCAGCAAACCAAAACAAAAACCTAACCTCAAACAATCGGAATCGGAGCGGGAACCGGAAATTGCCAGACGGAAACTCATCGGCCGCACAGCGAGACCGAAAACTCACCTGCGGAAAGTCGGAAACCGGAAACGCACAGTTGCCCCTTTGGAATTAACAGAATTAACGGGAGGGGGGATAATCCTACTTTCGGAGCACAATTCATTTGAAGGAATGACATGAGCTTAGCGCCAAGAAATCGATTCTTCTTTCATTCATAAAGTTTACATTGTAACGCCCACACAACCATGTTGCTGTATTTGAAACAAACTTAGAAGACACGAAAAAGGCATTATATCGATCTGCTATGTTCGCTGTGAACCTAAATGGCTGCTAGACTTTGGTGCTAATCCAAAAATGGATGCTTCGAATCAGATTTGTTTGGGGTTGCTTAGGTTTGCTTAAATCATAATATCTACCCAACAAACAATGCTTAGATTGATTCCGAGCAGCCCAGGTAGCATGATTTTTCAAAAACAAGAATTCAATGGTGATTAATGGCAATCACTTCGCTAGATATTGAAAATTCAAAAATTAGGTGATGAACATAGTAAAAAGTACTTGTCAAAAGTAGTGATCTTATAGTGATAAATTGGAATTAAATAGATATTTCATTTATACCTACATTCAAAAATGGAGCGTGACTATTTATAGCATTCTTTGTACTTCACATGTAGATTAAAATTGCTGTTAAGCAGAAGTTGTGTGGCAATCATTTGACTGAAAATACGTACCTACAAATAGCTCATTTATCATTATCAATCTTGAAAGTGCTACATATGGGAGGCAGTTATTAGAAAAGATATCAAACAATTTTAATCCGAGGACCAGAGATTTTTGTATGCAAACCTGCATCTGCACACACCTATCTTTAAAAAATACTTCCCATGTTTCACCAGATTTTGAGAGTAAGTACCAAATGAAAAAAGAAAAATCGTTTTTCTCGAAAAGTCGCTTTCGATGTTTAAATTAGCTCATTACCTACACAATGGTAAAACAGCAGAAATGCATATCTCAGTTTAGAGACTGTATACTTCCTGTCATACCGATTTTATTTTCCACATGAGAAGCTATTAAATGTCATTTCTCAAAAACAGCGGTGATTTTTCTTCTCTACAGGGAGAAAATTCTTTAAAAATTTTAAGCCGTGATGTTGGTTCGGACTTTTTTTAAAAAATAAAATAAGAGCATAGATTTTGAAAACCGCAAGGTCAAAAGTCTTGATTCTCATTAACTGGAGAAAAAATGGTTTTATAGCTGGAATCGATAGTCATGATACTGGATTGGTAGATTCATTATTGGCACTTTACCGATCCTTTGACGAATGGCCCAAATCGACGAATGACATCCCAAAATAAGGTCCGCTCACTCTGATTTGACAAAAGGGTGATGGAGCACCAATCAATCTGCAGGATAACTACTCAGTATAACTAAACAACCGAGATTATGCATTTTTGCAGTTTCACCATCGATATGTCCCACCTTCATTTGGAAACGACTAATCAACAATTACAAGAAATTATGAGGTAATTTTCATAGGACCAAAAGAGGTAAAGCAGGCAACAAAACTCTGAAAAAACATCTTAATCAATCTACTTCAAATGCCAATCCCCATCAGCCACCAGTAGGTAACTCATCTGAATTGTAGTAAGTCCAAAAAAATGAAAGAGTTTTATGAGATTTTATTTATTTTAAAATTTTACTTGAGGTTATTAGTACCTAAATATAGGCTAGGAACAGAAGACAAAAAAGGGAAACAGGTAGAGGTGGTAAGAATTATGAGATAACATACGTAAGTCCTCTGAGATCAAAACCAGAAAAATCTATTTAAGTTTTCTGACATGTCATTTAACAATTACTTTTAAATTCGAAGATCCCAGTGTAAAAAAATGTTAAATGATATTTTGTAACATTGAGAAGTATAGATTTAAGATTAAAAAAATAACTTGAGGGGGTTGCAAGGCTATGTAGAAAAAGTATTCCAGTTTTAAGGCTGGAAATGCGAATCCTGAAACTCCAAGTAATATTTCATTAATGGAGGTATACTTTGAATAAAATGGTACAGAATAAAATATTAAATACATAGTATTAAACATTTTAGTGAATTATAATTTCATAAATCAATATTTTGAGATTGATTGTATATGTTCAAGATGCAATGCCTATATTAATTTTTCTCTCGAATAATTTCCCTAAAAAATGTCACTAAAAATTCTTCAATTACTGAAAAACTAAAGGACGTGCTTTTTTTTTTTTTTTTTTTTTTTTTTTTTTTTTTGCAAATTATAATTGCAAACATTTTACATTAAACATATAACTTAATACATGAAAATTGAAGAAAACAGTAGAGAGATATGCAAATGTACCATTATGAGTTTCAACAGTTTTGATCTCAAAGGCTTCAAACAACAGGATCAGTCTATAATGATTCCGGTTATAACTACACAGTAAACTCATACGTATTGGAACATCTAAAAAATTAAAAATGTGTATCATCAAGAGATGCTTAATACTCACAACTACTAAAAACAATTGAAAAAGATAGTCTTTCCTAACAGCTGGTGCACACTACGCAAGATTCCTATTAGACTTAAGGTAAAAAGTAAAATACATACGAAGATTGTGTGGGTAGCCTAACCCACGAAATATAGAGAACGTTTTTTGGATGTGTATATTGCTTACTTTGTAGTTTTTTAGGAATTGAATCTATCAAAAAGTTCAAAAGGTATCCCAAAGCTCTACATAATGCTTGAATGAAAGAAACTACTTGAGGTTACATTTAACATCAGTATTTTGAATTACCTCTTAGTCAGCTCATAGAACTTTCATTTTGACTTTCAATCTTCACAGGGAGGGAATCAATAGATCTAAATTTGAAAATACAATTTAATCAAAATGTAGATACTTAAGTTTATTAGCTATTAGAGCGTATTGTACATTGCACTGTCTATTCAAAATGAATCCTCAACTTTGATGCAATGCGTTCAGGGTACAATCAATATGTTTCGAATATTAAACCTTACAGGAGTTATCATGAAAAAACCAAAAAAGCACTCTATATATTTGGCAAGAAGAAACATACAAGAAAATGTCCACCTTTAAAATCTTAAAATAAAGTTAAAAAATAATCTTGTTTCAACTCCCATTATATCCCATGGATATTAGTGCACCAAAGGCTGTTGAAAGCTGAAAAGAATATTAAAGATATTCAGACATTCAAGGTTGATTTTTTGCATTATCGCGCTTTGATAAATCTAGAAAATGACCATTAGTTCCCCTAAAACAATATCTGTGAGGGCTAAAATTTAAACTAGGTATATTGATTGTGCCCAGAATGTATTACACCAAAGCTGGGTATTGACTTTGAAAAAGGACAGCAGAGGAGTTATTACATTTGGTTTAGAAAATTCAAAGTTATTGCAGGGTAACTGGACACTCAATAGTCAATGGAATTTTAGCACTGTCAGCGGCTCCTTTCTTCTAAAGCTTTTGATAAATCACTGCATTGTCTACTTCCATATTATGATTTTAAAAAAAATTGACCCATCTAAAAGCATCAGTATAATTATTAAAAACTTGTACTTTAATTGCATAAGTTTTTCTGGAAAGCAGAAATCTATGGTTAACAAAAAAAACAAATGGAGGTAATTATGAAAGCAAAGAAAAGCCCATGAGAGGAAGTGTTGCTCGGACTCCATATATCGGTATCACTGAAATTAAATGATGTGCAAAACATTAAATAGCTTTCATCCCTGCATGAGATAACGAACATGCTTGGAGTAGTCTTACTCTCAGAGCTTAAACTTAAATCACAAATGCATTTGCTTCATAAAATACTGCAGCAATGATCACAAAAATGATCCAGATAGGTCTAAAATTACATTTCTCACAGGAAACTTGAGGGTCCTTCCAGTCTTGTATCCTGATAACAGAGAAAATACATTATCTTGAAATTTCTTTGAAATACAATCAAACAAGGATTCTTCGCAAACTTAAATATGCTGAGACTCAAACCCTCCAAAATTGGCAAAAACTTGGCTTGGTGAGGAGACTCTGGCCTATCAAGATGTGCTCTTATATGCCAGGGGCATGAATTGTTCAAACGATCCAACGTTTTCAAAGTCATGCTCCATCTCCTTCTGAGGATCCCAACAGAGAACCCTAAAACTTTCAGGCTCCCAACTCCCAAGTCAGGTCCAAGCCACCTTTTCTCTACAAAAAATACTTCGGTTTAAATGAGGGATCACAAGCCTTGCACTATTTGTCAGTATTCTACATGAAGTTTACAAGTTTGATAGGTATGAACACTGTTTTTCCATTCTCCCAATTGGTACACTAAATGACCAGCTTCTTCTGGCTTTAGCCTAATTTTAATTTGGGATGCTTGTAGCAATCTCTGATTTCTCTGAACTCATGATGATAGAGAAATAGAGAGAGTTTTATGCCTTTAATCAATTATCGGTTATTCTTAATTTCTCCTATTTAAGCAACAGATTTGTGTCTCAGCTGTGGTTAGAATGGTAAAGTCTTGAATTTTTTGGAAACAAAAACATCATCAATGGGAAATTCGTGAGAAAAAAGTTTCACTTTGGACCAGAAAATGAGAGATAATGTCAGGGCTTCATGCCCGTTGGAATAGTCCACCCATTTCCAGTGATCTCAGCTCACCTTTGCCAGGCTTTTTCCTTGGATATTTTTGGTCTAAGGCTAGGGAGATAGGAAGGAATCAAACTGAGGGAAATCTGTTTGGGGTTTCTGGCACCCCCCCCCCTCTCTTTTGGGAGAATTTGGAGAGGAGGGGCCTCAATTTTGACGGGACCATAGGATTTCAGATGCTCCTCTCCCCCCTCCAATCCTGATTAAGATTCCCTATCCATATCCCGCACTCGAAACATTGTCAGACCTTGTTATCTGAGACCTTCGATACGGGTGGATTATTCCACAGTAATATCTGCCACAAAACTGTAAATGCCTTACCCCTATCTCCCACCTGCTAGGTCATAAATGCAACTTTTCAGTTCATAAGAATCTCTTAGCCCTTAGGTGATTTTTTTTTTTTTTTTTCAGAAATTCAAGAGTTTACTCTTTTAATCAAATTTGATTTGCAAGAAAGCGTTTCAAGTGCAAGGTCTATTTACCCCACAGGAACCAAGGGTATTTTTCATAGAAAAAAAAATAGCACTTTCAGGTATGCCTGAGGTCTACCCAGGAGCATGAAAGTTTCAAGGTAGTCCATTGGGACCCTTTATAGACATGGGAAAATGTTTTTGAAGCATGGGTTTGAAAACTCATGGATTTTTTTGACCACTGGTGCAGTGTTTAAAGTTCAAGTATCAACAAAAGTATCAGCTGCATAGTTTTCGGCGAGGCACACTATTCCAAATTATACAAACAGCCAAAACAAAACAAAAAAAAACTATATTTTACTGAAAAAATGGGAGAAATCAAAGAACTTGAGCTGAAAACAATAAAAACGCTTAGGTATTAAACAAGATGAAATTAAACCTACCTGAGTGCTGGGTAACTGTACTCATTTACTCCATACTATTTCCAGAGAAAAAAACAAAGGACTTCACCGACAAGAAATAAAGAAGCGAAAGAAATCCAGAACAAATTAATCCAGCCAATACTCGAATTTTCCAATGAAATCTTGATGCTTTGAGGGTAGCAACAATTCTGCCAACTTGATCTTTCGTGTCTGTTAATGAGCCTGAGTTCTCAATCACAAAATTAGCTCGGTTGCATTTCTCCTCCAATGGCATTTGTGCCTTGATCCTCTGTTTTGCTCTGGATTCAGGCATTGAGTTCCTTTCAATCAGCCGCTGAAGTTGTAGGTCTTCTTCGCTGAAAAACAGAAAAAGGCACTAATAAAAAATTCTATTGTTGGTTTTCAAGGGACAACAAATTATTGGATAAAAATTCCAGACAGGGGAGATGTGAAAACCAAGCAAACAAACAAAAACTTTCCTCGGTCATCGTTAGAAACTGGAAAAGTATCAAAAAAAGATTGCAGCAAAAGCCATTAAAAAAATAATCCTTACGTCCTAAAATAGTCCATACGTCCCTAACTATCCATCTTTCTAAAAAAGATTACTACAAAAAACAAAATGGACGGATACTGACATTTTTCAGCAACAAAATTTTTGATGAGGAATGGTGCGATGCAAAACCGCAGCATTCCAGTAATTTCCGCTTTAAAGCTTTTTTGAGTGGAATTTTTTATTCTAATTTCATAACTATGTATGCTGCTCACTGAGCTTTTAAGAAACTCTGCATCTGTTACTTTGACAGACTAACAGCTTAGGTGGAGCACTACTGAACATCAATCCTTGAAAATGTGTGTGATTTTTCTTCTCTGTGCAAAAAAAATTTAAAGAAAACTTCAAAAAATGATGTTGATTTGTTCTTCTAAAAAGTAAAACAGGAGCTTATTTTTAAAAACTGCAAACGAAATACTTGGTTTGAGAGTTTCACCATTGAACTGCCACTTACAGCTAGTGCTTTTAGCTAGTTCCTTCATTCCAAACTATCAAGAGTGATTGCCAAGTCATTGGAATGAGAACTTTTTTTCTCAATACAGGAAATTTTTTCCAAATGACTCAGTTTTACAACCTGATGGCTCGTTCTGAAGCTTCTTTCCAAATTCAAAAATGGGTAATGTAAAACTAGTGCCACCAACTGTCCTGATGAAATGATGACTTGGATAACTCCAAAATCTGAGAAGAGTCGATGTGTTATAGCAACTACTATATTGTGCGTACTTCAGCTTTATGAGTAACCTTCTGAGCAACTTTCTGCCAGAGGCATATTTGGAAAGAATATGGAAGGCTTCATGCTTACCAAGTGACAACAATAATTTTATGAATGTAACTCAACATGGCTCCACTTTCAAACAATAATGGAGTATCTATCACAACAAACTGGTAACCTAGAGAGAAAAAAATTCCACAATTTAGTTTCACATATTGAGCTTAAACAAAAAAGGCACATTATTTCACCTACGGTGCCCTTAGAGTCAATAAAATTTATCTTTATTTTTTTACTTTTTTTTCGCAAGTGCCTATCAGCCAAATATGTGCAACTACTTTCCAAAACTTCGTAAGTAAAGACATTTTGACGGTGTAAGTCGGCAATCACATAACTCGGTTTGCGGCGCCGCAGACTTCCTGTCATACTTTCTTTCTTAAACGGGAAACTACTCAACGGCAATTCCTTAAGACTGCCGTGATTTTTCTTCTCTGTGTGAAGAAAATTCCGCAAAAACTTCAAGGAATGATATCAATTTGTTCTCCTTAAAAAAAAATAACATAGAGGAGGAGATATTCAAACACCGCAAACGAGTTATGTGATTGCCGACTTACACTGTCAATTTGTTTTTATATGGTGCATTAGTCATTATAACTAGTGATCTGGGAGAAAAAATATTCAATATAACAGTAAAGTACAAAGTTAAAAATAAAACGGTTTGTTCTTAAAATGAAACAATACTTATAACACTATGTCCTAAGACATCTGTCAACTGCAAAACTAGCACCTCAGATCTGAGGAATATTTACTACTAGAGAATATTTACAACTAGGGAATATTTTTTTGCAACACAATTCTGGCAAAGATCATGATTTGACTGAAAGCAATTTGAGGATGACTTCAGCGTTGGGCATAACAACAGTAGCAGTAGAGTTTTAACGGGCGTTTTCAACGAAGAAGTACTACAACACATGCATTACCTTGCAGAAATTTTGTGAAGGCATCCCACATCATTAGCCGATGAATTCTGGGATGGGTGATTTCATTTAGCAATCTTCTTTTTTCTGAATTACTGAAAATTATATCACCAAGGGTTTGTCGATTAATTTCACCAGTTGGAAGGAGTACAGAATTGCCAAACACTTTCTTGATTTCTCTCCAACCAGGAGTGCCAGGTTCTACAACTATCAAATAAGTCCAAAGTTAAAATAGTTATCAAATGTACCTCTCCGTAAGTAGTGGATGCACGGAGAGAAAAAAAAAATGAAGATTGACGTTGCGAGAAAAACTATTCGCTCCAATGTAGGGATTGAAATTATCTTGTCAATTTTCTTGAAAAGCTGAATAAATAATTTGAAAACTACAATCTACAGTAGGTACTGCGGGTCGATTAATGAAATTTATAGACAAAAGCTATAGACAAGAAGACATTAGGAGTAAAGCGCGATCCTATTGATTAAAATGGGTGGTTCTTATAGACTAAGGGGGTAAATGATAGACTAACTATCGGGTCTTTCTTACGTTGCCGTTAGTAAGTCTATTACCTACGTCCTTTGTCCATCGCAACCACCCACTTCCACCAATAGATTCCCTCCATATCCAGTTTGTCTTTGGCTTTGGCTATCAATTTCAATAATCAGCCCGCTGGAGCACTTTTACTGGATTTCACAGTTTCAGCGATATTAAAATTGATGGCTGACTTACGTCATACACCATATGCATGATTGTAGGTTAAAAATTGAATTATAAATGGAAAAAGGTTTAAAATGACTTCCTACAAGGTGTAACTACTCCATTAGGTCAACTTTAACTACTTTCAAATTGAATCACTTTCCGAAACAAATTAATGCTTGCAGAACTTCATAGGCCCAATGCATCAAAAACCAAATGGATCATTTAGAAATTATGAGAGGTTCGAGTGGTGCTAAAAGCGCTGAGTTCTAAATTAGAGAGAATAAGTATTTGCAAATCAATTTACCTTTCCTTGCAATAACGTCTGCATCGATGACAGGTACTCCCAATTCCCTTATCATATGAGATACTGTGCTTTTACCGGTGGCAATGCCTCCTGTTAAACCAACGATAAACATTTTTATTCATTAAGTGATCATTCAAATAAAATTTTGGGACTTCCAATTATTTTCAAGGATTGAAAGAATGATAATCATCGTTTGTCCATTCACTTGCCACTCTCTTGTCACTTTTAATTCCTTATCAGTAAAGCGACTAGCGCCCAAGCGCCTCTGCTTTGTAAACAGAGATTTATGTTGATTTCGAGAGTGCCGTTGTTGATATTCCCCACTTCACCATTCATCTTTCATGCGCGGCCATCAGCCTGTTTCTCTGTAATCTAACGTGGTCGCCGTAATTTTTCTTAATAAGTTGACAAATTCATCTTCAAGTAAGCATTTTCATTCTTTTTAGACTTAGTTTCTACCTCATTTTTACCTCACCAACCAATTTTATCTCTAGAACTTCTTCCAAACTCATCACCAAGCAGTCATTTTGTTCCAACACGGACTTGCTACGCCTGCTGGATCTTGTCATTTTGCCCTCAATAAACATCTTATACCTTATTTCTTCTCTCGTTTCTCGAGTTTAGCTCGCATTTCCTCATCTTCCTCACAATTTTATCCCGAGTAAGTTGTGTGCATCTGATTTATAAGGCATCTGGGCTCCAATCATCCACCAAGCATGCTGCACGCCTTTGTGCGGGACCAAACATGTCAAACCCCATTTATTTGCAGCCTCTATTACCGCCCGGTAACGCCTCCAAACAGTCAAACAACTTTAATTGGATTTTATACTATTTCTCCTTTAGAACCGAGTGCAGATTCTTAAATTTACATTGGAGGGTGAAAGCACTTTATTGACGTCATAGAGGTGGCGAATCGTATATTCAGACAAACGTCAAAGTATTGTTTATGTCACCATTCACCAGTGGTGCCACCTGACTGCATGTATCAACCTGGTGAGTGGTGCGAATTCAGAGCTAATCGGAGATTGACGCTTGTCTGAACGTACGATGCGCAAGCTCTAATAAGGGAACAGAGTGATGATGGATGCAACCTGCCTAATGTATACATAGGTGGGGGAGTCAGGTGAACCTAATTTTTCAGCTACAGTAATAGCTCTTCTTAAATATTCTGGCCATGTCATGGCTGAAATTGTTGTATCGCAATCCTGTGGAAAGTAAAGCTTCCTAATACAGAGTTAATGGGGTGGAACTACACTAAGCAGTGGAAATTCACGAATACTCGTGCTACTCATGGACTAGTTGTTGACATCAGAATAATTTACCAACACACTCTCACTCGATTTCCACTGCATTTAGCTGTGCTTAAAATTAGTAGGTAGTGGACTAGCACTAGCACCTGCAGTCTGAATGGGAGGAAATTTTAGCTACACCGAATGTGCTGTTCATGAGAACATCTATGGGTATGTTACAAACATGTTAATCATTGTAACTTCATTGCTAAAGTGTTTCCTATCCGTCACACTACGGCTACAGAAACTTCCCGACCACATAGTCATAACAGCATGGAAAATGGGAATGCTGTGATAATTGGGAAAGACAACTTTCCAGGGTATCAAAAGCGCTGTGAAAAGGCTGTTTTCCCATGTGAAGGCTAAAAACCCATTAAAATCCTTCATTGTACTCTTCAATCTTATTTTCATCCCGTGGTATTGTCAAGTGTTCATTTAAAATTGATCCAATCCATGAGTTATAAGTAAATTTCCCTCTCATTCCATCCTTATGAAGTCCTTAATAAGGAAGCACAGGAAACCAAATTTTTAACTATCGGGTTTTTTCACATTGTTTCAGGATGTTGATGTCAAAAAACAATAGAAATTTGATCTATGAAACCCTCTTCACAGAAGGAGTGATGGTTGCCCGCAAGGACTTCCACCCCAAAAAAGACCCAATCCTTCAGGTAATTCAACTTTTTAGTGTATTTTCCTGAGGAAATACACTATTTTAATTTTCTCTTTCCATTCTGTAGTCTTGCAGAGATAGTAAAGTTTCTCATCAAAAAACTCGGTTTAAAATTAGTCCACCCTTTTCACCTGCCTACTCTTGTAGTAGTCTAGGTATCTCCACAAGTAGATGATCAAGTTAAACTCATCTCAAATTGACTCAGCCTTCTTTGCATCTTCAGTCAGGAAAAAGCAGGAAAGGGTAACTAATTGGCATGTCATTTTAAATGCGCCTAGCAATACAATTTGTTTTTCAATGAAATTACTTTGTTGCTTCGTACCTTTAAAAGAAAAAAAAAAAAATCGCTAAGATTCATTCAAGTTAGCAACAGAATACTCTAAAGTGAGATTTAAAACAATGCTGATAGCGCTAAGTAAGTATCAAAAAGTTAGAGAAACACGACAAGAACAATCGCTCAAAAACATTGTAAGATGGTGCGCCATGATGAGTATACTTGTCAACACATGTGCATAGGTTGAGGAGAAGATTGGGTGAAGGAAAATTCAGAGGATACATGTGCTTAAAGGAGGAGCAAAGCTTATCGGGCCTACTCAGGTGCAGAAAATGTGGGGCCTGTCAGGAAAGCCAAAACTCCTTTCCCCCTTCCTCTAATTTTTTCAAGCAGTATTACATGTGAAAATATAGTAATCCTGATTGTGCTCTGTGAGACTCGGTAACTGCAATTTTGTGCAAAATTTATGCGGCTACACTCTGGGGATTACTGGATTTACTTGTGAGAATTTTAAAGCTTCATCTCTTAACTTTCCCAACGAATTGTGTCTGTTATGTCACCGAAATTGATTCTAAAGCTGTAATTCAAAATTGGGAAGTTCTCTGGGCCCTAGAACAAACTTGGAAACTTTTCGAGTCCACTCGAAAAACTTAGTGTTCTATTAAACAACTTTTCATCTCCTTGCACACTTTAGGCATTATAAAAGATGTATATATTTGTTAATTTCCAGTCAGAGTGTAAACTTTAGGCATTATATCTCTTTGCAAAGTCCATGTGCAATGAAATCTTTGTCAATGTTCAGTCAGTGTGTACTTCTTGCCTTTCTGTAATGTTCGAACAGGCAAACACATTGATGGCTTTTTATTCAATGTACACTTTCTACCCTCTTTTTTACCAAAATTTTCTGAAAATGAGAGGATATCAGAGAGGCAAACTCTTAGATCCTAGGTCAGATATGGTGAATTTTTTTTTTTTTTTTTTTTTTTAATCCTTCTGCATTTATCATCCTATAGTGTCTCACATGTTTTGGAATTTTCTCCTAATTGATCGGCTAAAAATTAGGAAACTCCTTCTCTTAAGTTTTTTTTGGCCACTTGGTACTTTATTGTGGAGACAGAATGATTGCACTGATTTCCTGTTGACAAAGTGATATCAACAATTTGTGTCAATGTAACTCTTTCTATCATCTGAAAAAAAGCCAAGATACTATCCCCAGTCCAAAGAGAAACGTTCGTTAGAAAATGAGGGGAAAAGGGAAAGAAAATAAATGGAAGTTTGTGTAATCAGTGATCAAATGGGTTCAATCTAGCCATTGAATGTCTTATGCTCTTTTCTTTTTAGGAACAAAGCAAGAAGTCAGTTCCAAACCTAGAACTCATCAAGGCTATGCAAAGCCTTAAATCCAAAGGCTACGTTAACGAAAGGTTTGCCTGGAGACATTACTACTGGTACCTGAATAACAATGGTATTGCCTACCTCAGGGAAGTTCTACATCTCCCACCAGAAATTGTTCCATCCACCCTTAAGAAACCACAGAAGTCTGATGCAACCAGAGCAACACGGTCAGCCATCTCGAAAGGAGAAGCCAGCCAAGGTGATGGTGACAAGGGAACATACAGGAGAAACATGGACAAGAAATCTGATGTTGGACCTGGTAGCTCAAATCTTGAATTCCGTGGTGGTTTTGGACGAGGACGAGGCTCTCATGATTAATTGTATTGTATTAATTTACTTTTTTAATTTGTGTTAATAAATTTATCAACTTTTTATTTACTGTTTGATTTCCCCCTTTTTCAATCCATTAAGTCGTCCTTTTTTTTTTTTTTTTTTTTTTTTTTTTTTTAAACAAGGAAATACTTAGACCAGATTATTGCAGTGAGATTTACTGTGAATGTCTTGAAATAATGAGAGACTATTTCTGGAAGCATTAAGATTTACTGGATTGCAGAAAAAAACCAAGAGCATTCCAATGTTGCCAGGGTTGTGCAACTCGCATTCTTTGCAATAAAATGACTGAAATCATGCGGAGAAGTAATTTTGCACAGGCAATTTTTGCCTTGAATTCATAGTTTAAGTAGTGAGAGTCAAGATAGAACTTGTTTAGATGATCATTTCATATTCGCGAGGTTAAGAAAGTTGCACCATCTAAGCAACAATGGAATGCTCATGATTCCTTCTTGCAGATTGCAATCAAACTGTCGGTCAGTCTTCTCTTAAAGGACTAAAACACGGGCGAAGACTAGCAATTTCATCGTAGGAAGTACCATTGTTCGATTCAAGCCATCAATGTAAAATGAAAGAGGCACCCATTCAAATTGTTAGGTTTTGAACAGCACAATTTAGTTGAGAGAAGTAAATCTTTTCATGCATATCTGAATTTAAATTGTTGAAATTAATCTATATCTATCTATCTATATCCATAATTAAAAAGGTTTTATCCTTGTTATTGAAGCATTAAATGTCATCTCTAAAGTTAATAGTGTTCATGACTTTACTTGAGGTAAACTGAAAATCACTCATTAGGTGAAAGCGTTTTAGCTAAGTCTCCCAGGTTCATGCTGAATTTAGAGGTCTTATTATGATTTCCCATCTTCTTCCAACAGCAGAAGCTCCATTTACTTTTTTTTCCCCATAATGATGGGGAGTTGTGTGCAGCTGAGAAACCAACATCAAGGCTCACTCAAGCTCTTTTTGAGGCCAAAACAAATAAAGTATGAACTATATGAACAATGAATTTTCAAAAAAAAATCCATTAATTGATGAAAAGAAATTTCATTCTAGATGTTCGCATTGCTCTCTGTTATCAGTTATCCAATTTTTTGTTGTCTATTTCTATTGGTATAGAATGAGATACACCAAGGAAGGAATATTATACACGAAAAATGGAGATCGATAACGCTCAGGATAACACTTTTGCCGGAGACAAGAAAGAGAGTATATTAGCCCAAAGAGTTTCGAAACTAGTCAAGTGAAGGTATGACATACGATTCGAGGAATCTGTCAGTTTAAATGTAGCGCGTTCACACGCATCACGCTTTCTCGCTAGTCAATGTGCCCAACCTCAAAACCAAAAATTTAAATCAGAATAGGATGCCGTCCATGAAAGTTGAGGCGATAATCCCTCTCTCGTTCTTCTCTAGTTCTTCTCTCAAACACAGAATTTAGAGGAAATAAAATTCATCTGAACCGGGAACCAAATCGGTTTAATTTCTTCCATAAAATTCAAGATTTTCTGGCTCTGCTCAACGAATACGCAGCATTGTTTTGACCAAAGACATAGTTTTGACCTGTTTGACTAACATCATTGTTCTAATAATCTAACCTAAAAACGTAAAACTATTTCTTTTTAGCCAGTTCAGTTCATCAGTTCAGTTTCAGTTCCTGAGTTCTTTTATCTTTTGCCCGTTTTTTCGTCCTTTGAACTCTTCTTCGACTCTGTTCGGCGAAACAATAAATACTCATCTATCTTCACAGAACTACGATCAATAGAAAATCTGTAGAACATCTATTTCGAGCATTACGACATGGAGATACAGCAACTTTACCGAAGTTAAAATGGAAACTAATAGTGTCAGTGAAAATCAAGAACAAACTCGCAACAACTCATCGCAAGTATCAGTTAAGGATATTGACGTCGATTTCTTGGCTTTGATCTACGACATTATAAGAAGGTAATTAATATGACTTCAATTTTTTGTTCAATCCCAATCATTCTTCAAGTACTTGTGCGACTATCAACTTGTGAATCTCGGTGCATGAGAGGCGCACTCCACAGAGACCAGCGTATCCTGCATTTTACGTCATTCACATGCTCTTATGAAGAAACATTACAATTGGCAATAGATCATGTCCGGCAAGATATTTCTTATCAAATTCAAAAACGGAATGTCAACACTTCCTTGTATGCCAGCGTACTTAACGTAGCAACACAGGATGATTCAACGGCTTGTGGATTTTGCCTCTTTTCAATATGCATCAGGTAGCTCCATTTTTTCAGCTGTTTGTTGTTTTCCAGATGATTTAAGAATGAATTTTTTATGTCCTATGACTCTGAAGCTCAATCACGGAGGGGTGCAGGGAATTCTTTGACTCCCCTTTATTCAAATTGGCATTCCTTAAAATTGTTTTGATTTTACAGGAAATATTGAATTTCACCATGAATCCTGAAAAGACTTGTGATTTTCATCGCGATATTGTTTATATTTAGGTACTTACCCAATTATTTTAATTTTTTGCTTTGTGCTGTGGTACTAATGATCAGTTTATTTCATTAATTTTCAGTTCTGAAAGAGACTCCCATGACACCAGTCAAAAAAGCTCTCAATCCCAAGATGCAAGTCAGAAGATTTTAGAATTGCACGCAAAATTGAATCAAGCTAGAGAGCAGGTAAGTCCTCTGCTAACCTGTTACATCTGAGCTTAATTCATTTTTTAGCAACAGGACAATGGGAGATTCTGAAGGAAGTAGTAAACCATTATTCAAGAAAAGAACTGTGTTTGCCAAAGCAAATCGAAAACGACAGTCAAGCAGTGATGAAGATTCAGATCCTGACAAAGCCTCTGTTGTTGTAAAAAAATTCCGTAAAAATGCTTACAATGTGAATACTCAAAGCACGAAAGTAGCAAGGAAAAATGTACAGATTGAAAACAGCTCTGAAGACTCGGATGATGAATCTAAAAAGCTATCTGTATCCTATAAATCACGAAAAACAGCAGAATCTGAAGCTCCAAGAGACATGGGTGCCACTGCAACCCTTGAAATTGAAACGGAGCATGATAGAGATGCTCAAGCGATTTATGAGAAATCTCTTGAAGTGAACAAAGAATTGAAAGGCAAGGAAGATGATAAAATTTACCGAGGTCTTGCAAACTACACGCAGTTTTATGAAAAACGTGACACTGCCCAAGGTAACGCTGCAAGTGGAATGGTCAGGAAAGGTCCAATCAGAGCACCAGCTAACTTGAGAGCGACTGTAAGATGGGATTATCAGCCTGATATATGTAAAGATTACAAAGAAACTGGATTTTGTGGTTTTGGTGACAGTTGTAAATTTTTACACGATCGAACAGATTATAAGTTTGGTTGGCAGCTGGAGAGAGAGACTCAAGCAGGAGGCGGAAATGATGAAGATGATACAAAGTATGAAATTGACTCAGATGAAGATGACCACTTACCCTTTAAGTGCTTCATTTGCCGCGATTCATTCAAAGATCCTGTCGTTACGAAATGTAAACACTATTTCTGTGAAAAGTGTGCTTTGACAAATTACAAAAAATCTACTCGATGCTACGTGTGTAATACACCCACTGGTGGTTTTTTCAATCCAGCTCACGAACTCATTGCCAAAATGAATGCTGAACCATCAGCTCCATCAGTTTGCCCAAGCTCAAATGAAGATTCTGACTAATTTGTAAGTTATTTATTTTATTTTTCTAGGAAATGGCAACAAATCAATCTTGTGTCATGAATATCACAATGCATTTACTTAAAAGTTTAAAAACTGAAATGCAAGAGAAATCTCCGTTAAAAATGGCCATTATTTTGATTGGTTTTCTCAAATGGTGTCATTAAGTAATTGCTGGGAAAACAAGTGTCCTGGGCTTCATTAATTCCCCCTCCCCCCAATTTCCCAAGAATTACAAAAGAAATCTTCTCACAGTTTGATGGTGGGTCATCAAAAATTAATCTTGTAATCATTAAAAATCTATTTTTTTCTAGGAAATGGTGGACGGAATAAAGAACTCCGCAATTTTTGAGCTTTGGCAATGTGTAACCTCATACTTACATCATTTAGCTCATGTATGATACTGTGAACTCAAAGACAAAGAGAATTTAAGTAGTTCTAAAATTATTCGTAGGCTGATAAATGGCTGTACCTATAAATATTGTCGCACAAATATTGTGATCTCTTGCAGCAAAAAAATCAAGCATGATCATGAAGAAATTCAGGGAATAAGCATTCTTATTATATTTAATTGGATTTGTACCTATATATATATATTTTTTTTTTTTTCTGGTCAATCATTAGGGTCATATCACCTGTCAGTTTACTGACAAAAATTCCTAACTGTACACAAATTCTGAATTAATACAGCCATAACCTGTAAAAGTGTCTCATTTATTCTATTTCTCTGAAAGAATACTACTTCTGAAGTTTTTAATACCTTTTGTTCAAGATTAAGTATACATTTCTTAGAAGTTACAAATCTGTTCAAAAAGAAAAAAAAAAGAATTGAACTGGGCTGTTTCTCGGATATCTTGAGAATATTTCTGATGAAGTTAAGCCAGGTGGAAGAGTAGTTAGAGACAATTTTGCTAGTTTTCTTGTCAAAGAAAGAAAGAATAAGAAAAGAATCTACCCATAGAACAGAGGAAATATTTGAAAATCGTAAATGATAACAATCTGGACACAGGTGATTGCATAATTTCAAAAATGATCTGCGCACTTTTTATCAAACTGTATTTCTAACTGGAACTTGGTGTTTGATCCAAATTTTAGATTCGTCATCTACCTGGAGTTGAGTGCAACAAAAGTCAACAGTTAGAAAAGATTCAAGTCCTAAAAACGCAGCTACTCCTGAAACAAGAACTACTGCAGAAGTACTGGAATATGAGCTGTTTTGACTACCTCAAGGAGTGATTAATTATTGTAAAAAAAATGGTCCTTAGATGGTTATTTCGTTTATTCACTAACACTGCCCTCAGTGAAAAGTTGGTCGATAAGTTAGCTGAATCTTGGCCCATGCGTAGAGCAGCTCAGCATGTTGTTTATTTTTTCAACAAATCAAAATCAATAGTTGATAAGCAAAACATTTCTCCTGAGGAAATTAAAAAGATCTCCTCTGATGTAGTAGAAAAACTGAAAAACATTCGTGACGAACTGGAGAAAAAAGCGAAAAAGTGAGTTGGTAGATAAATTCTCTAATTCCCTTCTCACCTTCCTAGATTCCATGTATTTAGTCACGAATGGTCTTCTTTTTCAGTTTTGAAATTATCGGCATCAAACTGCTGTCAAAATCATTATTCATAAAACTTTTGTAGGCATTAATTCTGTCCTGTGACTCAAATACAACTAAAGAATAACTTAGTTGTGGCAAATGTTTTGTCCATACTAGGTGAGAATTAATTTCTATCCAATTACCTATCACTTCGAATCTTGCAATTGTATTTAAATTTTTATTTCCCTAAAAATTGGGACCCCCCTTAACAAAAGGACTTGGAAATTTTAAACTTATCATCCAAAAGCTGTCATGACAAGAAAGAAGCACTCTGTCATATTCATTGGGAATACCCCTGAATATGATAATCCAAATATTGGGTGGCAAAAAACTAAATTCTTGAAAAAGTATTTTTCAGTGTCTCCAAGAGAGTTACCAAGAAGGGTCTTTTATTCCTTTGTTCCACCGTTTATTTCAAGTGGCAAGACTTACCGAGTTCATGTAGACTTTGTTGGACCCTGTTTGGCACTCTTAATTCTCAATGGTCTTCTCAGCCTAGGGCACTCGTATAAGTCTCCTAGTGCCTCAGTAGACACCGCACCATTTAAGGTGTTACTGCTATACTCTATTTTAACCCCAGTTATCAGCTACTTTCTCGCTCACTTATGTGAGTCAGCCATTAAATTTAGTGAATTGGTTGCTTTGTTTGGTTACGGTCTCTATGGCCATATTTTCACCCTGATCTTGCCCTTACTTCTTAGCGATGAGTCAAGTAATGTGATTTTTGCCATGTGTCTTGTAGCTTTCTCTGGTATGAGCACTTTGAGAATTGCATTAGTCTTGCTCACCTCAATTCCCAAGCCAATTTTTCGACTGTTATTGTGCAGCGTTGTAGCGATTAATCAAATTTTGAGTGTGCTTTTCCTTCATTTTCTGTACATGCATCGAACCTTCGTTTATGCTGCTAGTGCATTGGAATACGAATAGTCAATTTTTGTCTTTAGTCTACATAGTGAATACTTAAGTTTTCACCAGAGCACTTTCGTTTCAAACCAACATAACAGCTCATTTTGGCTGAAGAGATTTGAACCGGTGTAACTCCATCACAGAGTTTCTAAATGTCCATACATGTTATAAATTTACAAAGAAATCCTTGCCTAGTTCTTTCTGGAGCTTTCAAGTGTGGAAGAATTGTTAGACATTTCTTCAGAGAAGTGTGCACTAGTGCCTCATCAAGAATACGAATTGCCACTAAGCATGAGGAACATTTTACAATGGAATATTAGCACTATCAGTCCTAGCCAAGACCAACCCACACAAGTCACTCATTCGTGTGGACGAGTTTTTAGACCCTGATGGGCATTGGCGGCGGAAAGTCTAAGTGCAATGCATTTCTTATGAAAAAAGCTAATTCCACATCACACTAGCCGCTGTCAAGTGATAGTCCGGTGGATGAGTGGATCCCAAAAATATGCGCAATGGCTCAATTGTGTGGATTGGTCTTGGTTCTGCAGTTGAGATGTAAAATATCTCATTGATGAGAGCACAGGCCAAGCTTTCGATTGCTTTTTTTCAAAATTTGTGTTTAATGCATAAAATCTAACGGAGAGTTCTGCTTTTGTTGTTTACCCTGTTAACATCCAAGTTCTCAGTGTAAAGATTGTTTCACCCAAAAAAAGTTTGATTTCTTACTTCACCCTTAGAAGTTTTATGACATAATGTAGCCCCTGTATTTTCAGTTGATGATTTTGTATCAGTCTTTGAATTTTTAGTTTAAAAAAATAACAATAAGTTCCATACATTTTTCAAATCAAATGATTGTTTTTCAGTGTTATTTGTAGTAGATATCCATGATTTTTAAGAAATAGAGTACTTACCTCAGAAATCCTTCTTGGAAATTTAATCCTATTAATTTCAACCAATCCCTACCAACAATATCAACTTACCGACTGAAAAAAAAACACTAAGAAGTGGCCCAAATTGTATGTAACAAGGTGGAGAAATGGTGCTGGGTCCTCACCGACTGAATGTGACACCAAATTATTTACCCTTACAGTTCACTTATTGAGGATTAAATAATTTGATTAACTGAATCTTTCTTTTAAAAAAAAAATTGTGGGTATGATCCCTTGGTTGCAATACTACCTCAGTTTGAAACTAAATATTTTAATTGGCAATACAATGGAAAGTCATGGGAAACCAACTTGTGCAACATTAGCACAAAGACAAGAGCGGCTAGGACAATATGGTCAAGAGAAAAAGGTGAAAACCAGCAACCACTTTACAAATAGGTAGCCCTGAATTATTATCATTTTTTAAGCATGGTTCATTCTCATTTTCTCAGCCTTTGCACGGAATTTTAAGTACCAGACATCTAGTGACACATTTGTATTATTACTCATTTTTTATTCTGATGTTGGGGAGTTGGTTAAAGGAAGACTTGGTAGCATCAATAAATTTTCATGTGCCGTGTTCCAGCTTTCAGGACCATTTTACCTACAAAATTGTTTCACATGAACTTTTCAGTTAGGTTGAAATGTGACTCTGAGTTAAAATTCAACTTAGCTCCTTACATTCGTATCAATGGCTAAAGTTGAAAAGTGCGTCTATCCATTTCAGTATTCTCTCCAAAATCTCAAATTACTTAATCATGTTTTACTTTCTAAAGGAAACTTATCAAATATTTCCTTGAAATTCTCTGAGATTTTTTAATGCATCTAGAAAAAATGAAATTCATAATGAATTTTAAGAATAACTGAAGTATCAACTCTAAGAAAAAAATGAAATATCAGCAAAAACTTGCAACATTGCAATCAGAGTCATACATTTTCTAACTTTAACCATTAATACTCAGACAGAAGTAGGTGCAACCTCTTTTTTTTTTTTTTTTTCCATTTCTTTTCTTAGATGGAAATTTAACAGGAATGAAATTTAGCCACTTTAGGTTTGAAGTTACATCCTATCACTAAGTATGTTGATGACAAAGTTATTTAACTACCATACTCATTTACTCAACAAATTTTTCGCCTTAAAATCTTCGTCCAAAAAAAAGTTGCGGTATGTAGGTAGTTGCATCAAAAACTCTTCCCAACTCATTTCTTTCCATAACACACGAGGGTTTCTGTTCAACACGGTTCACCTCAATTATAGTAGGCGTCCACAGCACAATACATACATTTTACGTAAAGTTATATACTTATCCTTTTATAACCAAATGGACAAAATGGATTTCGATCTTATTTATTAAGATAACTATTTGGACTAGGGCCGGATTTACCTACTTGCCGCTCATGGGCCGCCTGTATTTTGCCGCCTCCTTCTCATTCGTATTGAAACATCAATAAAAACCATCAAGTGAACGTGCGGAGGGGGGGGGGTGCATAAGACGCGTTTACTCGTGTTGAACACATGTTTTGGGAATGCCCTGTCAACACCACTAGCTAAAATTAAGTTTCGTGAACCCATCTCTGTGTGGACAAGGCCTTTCATTCATAAGATATTAACAAAAAAATTATGAAAGAACAAACATGAATGTGGTTTAATGATTTTAACTTCCGCCGCCGCGTCGCGCAGACCGCACCGTGTTTGGCGTAATGCGTGAAGTATTCGTGCAGTCTTGTAGGCGCTAATATGTGTTACATGCCGATCGCCGCGCCGAGGGCTTCTCCTTTTCATCTCAAGTCCTCGTCATCATTGCTCTCCGCGCGCGCCGTTCCAGGCCAAATTGCGTGTTTGGTTTCCCTCTTATCTCGACTACAAAGGTGCTGTCTCTTGTATCACTAAAAGACGACAAAATAAAAAATTACTGTACTCTTAGGAAATGAGAGATTTTGTTGCCTTTTCTTTTTTGTGATTTATTTTTCTAAATCCGATATTTTCTTATACCTACATTTAAAAAAATTGCAAAATTTGCCGCCCATGTGGCCACCCCCTTAATCTGGCCCTGATTGGGACTAGAGTACCGGACGGTTTCAGCCGGAAGAAGCGGTTTTCTACAGCAGACATTGCCTAACTTTCCCTCATGCTTCATTTTTTAACAGAGAAGTAAGTGTGCCAAGATGGAACTTGAAATTTTCTATAAAATCTCTCTGAACCACTTGAAAGGAAACAAAATCAACCCAATAAATTGTTCTTTAGAAAAAAGTTCTCAAAAGCCAGATTTTTTGGAGCCGCCGAGTCGCTGGCTCCTCGTCCCCCCTGTAGAAACCACTCGGGATGTTTGGCAACACTGTAGAACTGTTTGCCTACTCCTCCTCCTCCTACTCCATTGCCCTTCCACCCTTCCCCTTGATCCCATCTTAGTTCTCTTGTCAAGACGAACTAAGGTCGTGAAATTCGATTTTCTAGTTTTCCGGGAGTGCTTTTAATTTACTATGGCGACTAAGAGGTTTTTGAAATCCTCTGTGAACTGGGCAGCACTCGCCGAAAGAATGGCCGACTCCCCCCAGAAGCCCGAATTTCTTGCTTTTAAAGCAAAATGTGATTCATACTTCCAGAAGTAAGTTCTCATTTGCTTACACTTGCCTATTTCTATGTTGGCCTCGTTTTCGTAGGTAAACTGAGAAGGACCGCTGTATAATCTACTGTTCTGAAGTCAGATAGATTTCCTAAGCTTCTAAATGCCTCGTTTGTGCTACCACGGTAATTATTGCTGTCACGCAGGTTTGCCTTGAACATGTCCTCTCGCGTTTGTCTACAGTTCTTAGGGAAACCAGACTATAGTTTCCGTCAGACAAGGAAAGTGAAGTCTACCATAGCTGATGAACATCAGTTATTGGATAAAAATTGCTCTGCAATAACCTTGTAGAACTAAGAAGTAATGTATTTTATGCATTAGTGAGGTTAGGTCTTTAATTGAGAACCTAAGTTGGCTTATCAGACGTTCCATTGCCTGTGAAGAATTAGAGGTTGTTTCTATATTCAGTTTTCACAGCATTATTTAAGTGATTCGTCAAGGTTTTTGACGTGGTCGAAGAGGCATGTGATCTATCGCATCAGTTAGGTATGTTTAAAACCTCAGCAGGTTGTGAAATTTAAGCCAAAACAAGGACGGTAGCCCCTGCGCATGAGCTTAGAGAACCATTCTAAACCAAAAATTTGACAGAATTCAGAGATTTAGTACCCTGTTGAGTCACTGTTGACCTCCTTAAGTGGATAAGTACTTCCATAGAGAAAAGAAAGGAGGTGTTTGCATTTCGAGCATCTAGGATTTTTTGATGATGTAAGTAGGTTAGTATGGGCTGTTTTTATCATCGATTTTCTTTGAAATGGTTTAGCTTACAGAAAAAAATCATTTTTCTTAAAGTGTTTGAAATTAGATCATGAGTTGATTTCAGCTCTAAAATTTGATCGAATTCCAGATTTTGCTGGAATATCGACGCCATGTCGTTCTGACCTACGTCACGGGGTAAACAATCCTCCAGATGCAAACACCTCTTTTGCTTCCTCTATAAGGCACTTCTACCGGAGATTGCAGAGGAAGTACGTTTCTTAAACAGTTTATATTTTCGTGTTGTCCTGAGAGCAACGAATTCAGTTGCGAAGTGTCTTCCTTGCATGCAGCAAAGCTATTTTAATTGCTAAAGTGAAAAAATGCATATCTCCACTAAATGTGTCAAAAACGGAATTGGTTTTCTATTAGTCCAAAATAAGCGGATAAAAGTATCTTCTTGTAACTTTCTGTGAGTATGTTTGAATGAGAGTAGAAATTTCAAGGAAAACTTAAGTAGTTGGTTTTCTTTAAAAAAATTGAATGTGAGTAAGCATTTGTGAAGCTGTTATCAGATATATCGACGTTGAAAGTCGGCGATCACATAACTCGTTTGCGGTGTCTGAAAATTTCCGCCTCTATCTATTTTTTTTTAAGGAGAACAAATTGACGTCATTCCATGACATTTTTGCAGAATTTTCTTCGCACAGAGAAGAAAAATCATGGCAGTTTTAAAGAATTGCCGTTGAGTAGTTTTCCGTTTTCGCAAACCGAGTTATGTGATTGCCGACTTACACCGTCGATATGCATTTTTTAACTTCAGCCATGGACATGTAGTTCAAAGAATATATTTCCTTTTGGCTACCTTTCTAAGCATCATTAATTTTTCAGAGTTGCAGCGCTCCCAGATGAACCCCCAAAAATTGACTGGAAACAATACAAATCAGTATCACCGGAAATAGTTGATTCCTTCCAAAAGCAATATGAATCTTTCAAAGTTCCCTACCCAGAAGACAAGTACAGCCATATCTATGATAGTGCGGCAGAAGAATCGGTATGTAAAACTGTCTTCCAAATGCGTAGATGTGACTCGCATAGTTCACATACAGGGGGAGTAATCTTACACCTAAATATAAATATAGAGGTATTGTAAGGAGGAGGTGAAAATAGAGATTGGTGGGCTTTTTATATCAAAGTGAAAGTGGGAGGGAAAAAACTAAATATTGGGGATGTGTACAGATCACCATCTAGTAGCGAAAAGAAGTTTATTAAATGGTTTTAATTATGGATAAGAAAGGAAATAGAAGCAAGGGGGAAGGAGATAACAATGGGGGACTTCAATATAAGAGGGGATAAGCAGGAGGATTGGGACACAAAACTGCTAAAAGAGGTGGAAATAAATTTGGGTTTGATTCAGATAGTGAAGGACTTTACTTCAATTACTGAAAAAAGTAAATCAATTATTGATTTAGCTTCTAAATGTGGTAATGAAATGTTAATGGAGAAATTTTGGGTTGAGCACACACCAAAGATAATGGACCACAGTTGGATGGATTTTACATTTCAAATGGAAGTGAAAAAGGTGCGTAGAATATGAAGTAACCTTAAAATAAGAAGAAAAGATGACAAAAAAGTGGAAAAAATAAAGGGACAAAAATAGAAAAAGAAACAGCGACGAAACTTTATCAAAAATTTGAGATGAAGCTGAAGGAAGCAAGGTTAAACGAAAATAAAACTATTGTGAAAGGAGAGTAAAAATGTGGAATGTAGAATCTGGGATACTGAGGAAGAAAGGGACAAAGGTATATGGAATTCAAAGAACTAAAATCAGCCAAACCCCACCCAGTTGGTTGTGTGAGCCCCTAGACTGACAATACAATCTAGATCGCGCTCTACGATCTTTTAATGAGACAATAGGCAACCCGGATTACCTGCAGTGCCGGCCACACATGCCGTTGCTGTTGCTGACGCAAACCAAGTGAGCAGCACTACACTAACAGTGGTCGGCACTACATGTATATCAGGCTGTTTCAACTAAGCTGAAGGGACGTCTTTACCTTGCTCTACCCGCCTAGCCATCTTACCCTGAAGTTAGGCCTAGCGCGCAGTCTAGATTGCAATATAAACCTGGGTCATTCCATGAGAAATCATCCAGTGCAGTCGCTCGACCGGCTCGAAAATCATTTATATTTTTTCCTCACATTCTGGCATACTGACTAAGCACAAAAATGGCTGTTTTAAATTTTTCAAAATTTTTCCACACTGGTTTACAAGAAAAACAGCGTTTACGGTATTTGGAATCACTCCGGAAGGGAATGTCGGATATAGGTCCGGGAAAAACAGACTAAAAGGTATTGATACAAGCTATTCACCTAGTGAAACACAAATTTTCCATTAGCGATTCGATATTTGATCCTCGGGTCTTGAAATTGCTGCCGTTATAGGTGAAAATCACTGATTTCTGGCCCACATATCTCATAACTGAGGATGCTGAGGATCTGAAATTTTATGTGGAAGTAGTCTCATTATAGGTAAGTCAAAAGCCAGAAAATTGGTCATTCATGGTACATTTCTCTGCCCACGGTAGAACGTCAAAGTTGATACACCCTTCAGTTCAGGCAATGTTCTAGGCGTAATATCTCAACCTGTAGTGCACAAAAATTCCTGAAAAAAGCGCCAAAGCTAGTCCTAATAGTAAGTATAATATGGTGTAAGTTTCATCAATTATACTTCATTCCTCTGCTTGTAGTAAATTTTTGGATTTTGGCTTTTTAACAGTAATATATATAGATATATATCTATTAGCTGTGCACGATTCTGCAGTTAATGGTTGGTGTTTGACTCATCAAGCAATAAAGGCAAACTGTTTTGTTATTATTCCTAGAATTCTAAGGTTTTGCTCTATTAAAATATAACATAATTATCTCTCGTATCATTCATTTTGCTTGCAGAAAGTTACGGTGGAAAAATTTCAAGCTTTCTGTCGCCTAGGTATTAGTCGAGCAAATGAGCACTTGACCATCTGGAAAGCGATGCCACCAATAGAATCCATGTCCCTCGGAGAATTTGGTGAATGGCTCCCCACCTTTTTGCCTGATTTTGTCGAGAGACCAACATTCTGGCCCCACACACCAGAATTCCAGCTCACTGAGCAAGATGAAGAAGAATGGCGACAAAAATTAGCAGGAATAGAGAAGGGTGAACATTAATTTTTAATTTTGTTAGGTAGTGCTTTTCCTTCCTTTTTTTTCTAATTATTGCTTTTGTTGTTATCAATTGTTGAAAATTTCTTAGTCAGCGTTAATTGCTTTAAGGTTATCAGGTAAGATCCTGTTTCTTGTCTGAAGTAAGCTATAAACACTGGCAATAATATGTTCAAATATCTTTGCTATGTCCAAGAAAAAAATTCAAGGCATTGTATATTGTAATTAGATAAAAAATAAAAAGAATTCCGTAAAGTAATTTTTAAATTATTTCTTGAACTTCCATAGAACTAAGTCCTTTCTCACTTTCAAAGCTCCTCCACACATAAATTCACATCTAATACCCTCAGCTTGAGGAACAGCCTTACCCAGGGTGTCTACTAGTCGTTATATCCGGAAAAAATGCTATTTTTTTAAGAGTGGTCTCGAAGCACTGGAATGATTTGTTTCATACCATGCGTATTTTTTCAGACATCATGGCAAGTATGCAATCCCTTGCTCATTGATTCTCAGAGTAGTATTAACCTGCATGATTGCGATTGCGCAGCCAGTTAATTTTCCGTCACCAATTGAATTTTGGGGCCACATTATTTTTGTCGCGACATGAGCGTGAATTTCAAATTGCATCAAACAGAGGTACGGTAAAAGTACTAAATTTTTCTGTTAAGGAAGTACTTAATTTCTTGGGAACATACCGGAAAAGTACTGATTTTTGGGCAGTTTTAGTTGACACCCTGAGGAATAAATTAACTTGAACAGTTTTATCTAGTGTTTTCAAATCACAAGAGAATCAAGGTTTTGAAAATCCTAAATTTTTTTCACAATCTTCATTGGAAAGAAAAATTTTCTAGATCAATAAATTATATTTTTAATAACACATTGTTTTAAGAAAGAGCCCTGATTTTGATCTGCACTAAAAATTTATTTTTTATTTTATAATAAATTAAGTCTCCAGAGAGTGGAGTTGACTTGGAACATTTTTTTAAGAATTTTAAATTTTTTGATTTTGAAAAAAAGTATACTTGGAAGAGAATTCACCTAAAAAACTCAATTCCTATCTTTCCATTATTTGTTTTAAATTTTTTCTAAACCTTAAGATTTGATGGAGTTTTTTCAATTTGCGTTTCTCAAAGTAACAAGTTCATTTACATTATTCATTCACCGAAGGCTTCAATTGGAATTAAATTAAAATGACCAACTGATAAATTTGCACACCTTTTTTATTAATTGATGGCTGTTCATTAAAAACACGCGCAATTTATGCCATATAAAAGAAAAGAGGGAGGGGGGGGGACAAAACACTGTAAATACATAATCAAAAAATTACAGGATAAAATGAATTTTAAACCATGAAAAAAAAGAGAAGAAAAGAGGCATATTTATTTAACGCTTATTTTGACTCCCAAAAAGTTATGCTATTTAGAGCTGATACTGGAACCAGTTAAGTCTAGGAAAAATAAATTGTTATTGGGGAAAAAAGAAATAAAGAAAAAAACAATTTCCTTCTATCCACAATTCACTGCAGTGCAGTTCAATGACGAAAATTATTTACAAGTGTGCTGTACTTCACAAATGGTCTGATTGTTCATTAAATCTAAGAAATTGGTAATTGTTTGAAATCAGTCGTTTTAACAAGTATAATCTTTGTCAACAACAAAAATGAAACTTTGGTAGGTTTGGGTAAATTATTACAGTAACATAGAATTTTGCAATTTTCAACAAGGTTATTTAAAGGAAAATTTTTCCCCCACTACAATGAATAATAGCCATTCCAGCAATAAATTCGTCTCCTTTCTCTTAGTTAAGGATGAATAAATGCTGTAAAAAAGGTTAAATCAATCATATTCTCGGCTCTTCAATGGGCTGAAAAAGTTGAAAATTGGCCAATCAGTTAGCTGAGAAAGTCTGTTTTGATGGACCAACCTCCTCTCAGAACGGATCCAAGATTGTAATTTCGACCTTTACTTCCCGCAGAATATCGGAACCAAAAAAAAAAATCAATTGTCTTCAAAATAAAAAATTGTCAAGAGCCTGTCTCACATTTCAAATTAGTCTCTTCATGTGTCCACGCACTTTTGCTTTCTGAAGTCTTCAAAACCAGGAAAAAAGGCTTTCTTCATCTCATCGTGGGTGACAAACTTACTACCTTTGTTATCAGATTTCATTTCCTGAAGAAGTTGAAAATCAAAAAGGAGCTGAATTTAAAACGAGAAAGCATGAGAAAAAGTGCCCCTGCATAAAATTATCCAAAAAATTCTGAATGGTTGCTACAGAATGTGGAGAGCCACTCAAAAAACACTGATGCAGGGATCCTCACTTCTGGACACACACGGAGATTCACTCGGTAAAATGGATTTTCTTAACATAATAATGAGCCAATTTTCAACTTCTTCAGCTCGTTGGGGGGCTGAAAGTAAGACAGACACATCATTTTTCATTATTGCATTCATTTTCATAAATAGTTGCAAAGAAATAAGACTGAGAAACTGACATTCAGAAAACAACCTTCGCAAATGCGCTGATGAAGGGCTCTTTATTCCATACCAGACATTGATAGAAAGCCTGTGCAAGACAAGCTAGAGTTTATACTTGATAAAAGCCACTGGTGTTGTAGATGTAACAAGGCAATACAATGATAAAGTTTTCTGAGAGGAGAGGTGAACGTGCCCCTCATAATTCATGCCAGCAACAATGAATAATGATAGCCGAGATGGCAATTTCTTTATTGAATTTGGTTCGATGAAATCTTCAAAAACATTTCTAGTCAGAATTTACAAAATTAAAATCTTACAATCTTAGTTATGACTTGTGAAAACAATTGTTTTCACAAAACAACAACCTGCTGGGAAATTATACCAAATGAACACTACCTGAACTCTAACTTGGTTAGGTATGTCGTAACAATATTTATTTTGTTGCGATAGAAAGGCATATGAAACTACAGCAAGAGAAAAATAAGAAAAACAAAAAAATACCTTAAATTTTTACACAAAAACATAATTAAAATCTTGTGCTTGGCATACATGCCAAACATATTTTTTGATATGCTCTATGTAAAATTTGACTCACTGGACAGAATAGCTACCTAATGTTTTAAAGAATCCAGAAATTACTGTCACCTGAGTTTAGAAAAATTCAAGAGTCCTTCCAGCGAATTTAAATCTTAAGTGTATTTGAAAAAAACGGATCTTTTCATGTGAAATGCATTTCTGAAAAGTATAAAAAATACTTAACATAAAAAATAAAATTAACAGTGGTTAATTTGGCAGGGCCTTCAGAGTAATTTCCTGAAATGGAGGAAAATAACATTCACAAATATGATCATTTCAGCAAAACCATTTTTGTTAAAAGTAAAAAAATTCATCTTCAACTTAAATGAGAAACTGGAAATAAAAATTGGAACACTCTATCTATCTTTGTCACAGATTTTTACAACATGTGATAAGAACAAATGAAATCTTTCATCTCGACAATTAAATCAAAGTCTAATTTCCAATGTAAAAAAGAACTTTAAGAGACCTTCTAACCCTGAAGGGATGTTAAGAGTGTAACATTCATGCTCCATTCAAAACTGTGAGTTCAATTTTGAAATGGAAACAAATAATCCGTTTTGCTAACATGAGATTCTGACAAGATGTCTCATGAGAATTTTCCCTACATAATGAGGCTATGAATCTGTAGTCAAGCTACAGAAATTATCTTAGAAAACACAGACTTCCTTAATTAGATTCAATTTTTTGAAGAAAAAAAGGAGAAAAAAGTGATACAGATTCAAAATTAAAACAAAATTGAATTATTGAGGCAATGTCTGCTTGAACTATCCATTTTAAGTTGGTAAAGTTAACAAAGCGCGGACAAAAATTAATGAAAACAAAAATGGAGAATTAAAAATTAGTAAGAACGCGGTTACCAGATGTTTGATGTAAATATTAAAGTGAAAAAGTTAATTGACAAATTAATGACCTACTGAAGAAAAATCAGAGCATGTATTCCAAAAAAAATGTCTAGTATATATTACTCATGTTATTTTTGTTCTTGCCAGTTTACTCCTTACATTTTAATCTGTAAGGTATGCACAACACTGATTTTAAGTAGATTGTGCAAATTTTTGAGGGACTAAAAGCCTGCGTATATGTCAGAATTTTAGAGATTTTGCAAATAATGCTGCAGTTGCTTGAGTTTTATTACCATTAAAGTTCCGAAGTTCAGATATCACCTGAAAATTTAAAAAAAAACAAATGATGAGATTATGGAAAATAATTTGAGTACTTAGTAGCCAATCTGAATATAGAAATGGGTAGAGTTGCAGCCCTACTATTGCATTTGTTGTTAATTGGCATTTAATCATCGCTTCATCTTTGGGACAGTTGGTCATAACAGGTGCAATAGCCCCTAGTGATATTTTGTCCAAATCTACCGCTGTTTTGGATATTGGCCCCGAAAGATTTTTTCCCAATCCATGATACATCTTTGATAATTTAAAACAAAAATTGAGTTCTCAATTTTTCCCTTAAATTTTAGTTGGTTGGCCTTCCTGCTAGACCCAAACTGAAACAGCTGATCCTACAAACACGTACAGCTCAGAAAGTAATAGGTCGATAGAGGAGCAGCAGGTTGAGCCTGCCTCTCGCTTCACATTTTATAATTCTCTGCTTTTGTTTGCAAGAAAAGTTATTCAGCAGTAGGGTGGTTACAGTCTTATAACAAGATTTCTTTTGCTTTGAACTTTGCTCTGAAGAAACTGCAGATCGAGAGGTGTCAACTGAGCAGCCTCTCAGCGGGTCACCAAAATCAAGACACCCAAGTATTTCATGGTAGTTTTTTTTCCTATTTGAGGAGTATATTACCTCACCTTCTTGTAGTGAACTCCTTCTGTCAAAATCAGTAAATTCAGAGAATATAATAATATGTGCAGAAAATGTTGCCATATCTCATTGTAAAATTGTAATAAAAGCTACCTCTGTAAAGCTTAAAAGCACTTGTTGACACCTTAAAAGTAAAGCTAAGTTAAGGAGCGCAAATTGAGTTGCAGCAGGCAGAGTTTTAAAAATCCCCCCCTCTTTCCCTTCACATTGTAAATATTTTCCTCTTTTTTTTTTAAAGTTAGAACTTACGGAGCCTGAATCCAGTAACACCATAGTGGTTCATCCGGCAACCAATGTAGTATTGATGGCGGATCTTTTTTCCGAGGTCTGTTGAGGCCTCAGAGGACTCTGTTCTGCTCTAGCAAATACAGAGAGATCAACCTCATTACTCAAGAGAGGTCAATTTTATGGATACATACATGGGTCTACACACAAATTTATTCCAGACGGAGGGAGTTTGAGCTGGCGTTACACAAGGGAGAGGCATTATGTGATACATACAGTATAAAATACCAATCAGGATACAAGAAAATTACATACACAGATACATGTAAAATAGGTATGATTACGTATATTAAATATTTGCAGAAACTTGGTATTTTTGACGTATCTTATTATGTTTTAGATACTCATTTGATTGGTATCAAGTTATTTGCAGCCAAATTTTTTTCTACCTTCCATCATCGATTAATCTGTAGAGTTGTACACATCCATGATCTCCAATCTTCATCATACTTTGAACATGCTTACGACCAAACTTAAAGGGTTTAAACAGTTTAAATTCAAGAATTCCAATCACGACTAAAAACTCAGGTATTTCAATGAGACATTTTCAGTCCTAATTAGTTTGGATGAGACTCATCTAGGATACGTCACTTTGCAGTGAAACTATTCCTTTCTTAAAATATTCTGCAAAAAATAGAAATGAAGAAAAAGATCAAAATTACCTGTTCTCTGGTGAACCCTAAACTGACTAGTTCCTTGATGTCGTTTTCAGTAAATTTATCACTAGGTAACACTGATTGTGCAGAACTCGCAGAACTGCTATTTCTTGAGCTATTACTACTTGAGGCTGCATTCCAGTTTGGTGCATTTGCTACAATTAATTAAAAAACAAGAAAAAGTGTTTCAAATTGTGTACAAACAATGTTCATGCATACTTTTTCAAACAAAACGCACTATCAAAAAAATTGCAGTTACATTATTTTGAGTAAAATGTCAAGAACAAGCATTTTTGCCTCCTTCATATTTGTAAATCAAGGCTTAAGCGGTTATGACTGGAAGTTATTGGAGCTCACATGGAATTTCAAAGGCTAAAAATTAAATTTCATTAAAATAACTGAACATCCAACTGAAGTGAGCATTGAGGCACTGTGCCTTTTTTCTTACAATATTATAGGGAGAAATTTAAAGAAAGGGGATGCTTGGTTTTGGTTGTTTTTTGTACCGAATGTTTGCAAAAATTTTCTCTTTGCTTCGAGACTAATGACACAATTAGGAGTGTTTGTAGACTAAAGTCCCTTTTCCTTTGGACTATTACAAATAGTCATTTAGCCCACCCATCACAACTCTACCAATGTATTCAGCACTATTTCTGCAAAAAGCTGAATTGAAACTTTAAGTAAAATTCTTATGCAGGTACAGACAATCTTCTCCATTACAGCTTCAATTTTGTGAGCACTTTTGAGCCTAGGAGTTGAGAAAACTAGAAGTGAGAGTCATCATGTTTCTCTCAAAATTTTACATGATCAAATTGAAAATCCTTGCTGCATGCAAAATCTCCTTCAAGAAAATATTTAATTACTTCGTGCAAATTTTCACAAGAAGGTGCTGCGAAAACACTGAAATAACTACGTAATTTCATGGGAAAAAAGGAGGATACTGAGAGAAACTTGCAGTTTAAATGAACTCATGAAACTGACGAAAATCTGCTCAACGATTTACAAAACAATTCTTTGGCGCGTTTACTGTTGAATATGTAAAATTACGGTTAATCTGTTGTTTTATCAATTTAGATTTCTTGTAGTTTATAAGAATAAAATTGATTTTGACAATATTTTGGCTAGTCCAGTCTCGTTTTCATGATTTGGAGACAATTACTTTACTATGAATTCCAAGATTTCGATGAATGAAATTTTCAGTGATGGATGAAATCTTGGACAAAATTTGATTCATGGAAAAGCAAACAAAAGATGATTTCAATTTCATGCTCTGGGCTCGTCATTCAAGATGAACTAAAAAAGGATATGGAAAGAAACCTTCAAAAATATAAATAAAAAATGAAATCATAAAATTAAAAATATAAAACGAGAATTGTACCAGGAGCAAGAGCTACTGCCCACCTAAAAATCAAGCACACACATATTTACTTTCTGAGCAAGGATTTTCCTTACAATAGAAATTATATTGGAGAATTTTGTCCTTAAGTTTTTCTTCGAGGTATGATTTTTTCAAACGCAACTGCATCCTTTCAAACTTTTTCCAACTACACAAAGATAACAACATAAAAATAGAAAAAGAATAATTAAACGGGTGATAAATAATGGGTCAATGACAAAATAAGAGGAGAAAGAGGAATGAAAAGAGCAATGATAGGTGACAGAGACTCATTTTATTTTAAGGCACTCAACTGACAGGTGGGCTAGGACATTCACAAGGTTTCAATGCTTATTGCAATGAAGATTTAGAAAAATCCTCACATGACTAAATGTTCTTATTGGGGGAAAAATGTTTTGTACACCTCATAAAATGTCAAATGCAGAACTCTACCAATATTGGTCTGGCTGGGAGGCTAAGATGAAGTTTGCAATTATGAATGAGTTTTGGGTGAAAGGTTATCAGTTAAAAATTAGGATGGACTGGGTGGTTTTTAGAAAAAATTATTCATCTTGTTTCAATCTTGAAAATTTAGCACCAAGAAGGATTATTGTATCAGGCAAAAAAATTTTCATCCAATTAATAAGTTTTTATCAAGAACTTATGATCAATAAAATCCACTATTTGTGTATCATAATTCTTCCCATGAAATTTGGTAAGGGAAGAAAAAGATCAATGGCTAAACTTGGAAACAGCGAAACTCCAAAATGAGCAGTTTTGTATTAATGATTCTATCGAGCTTTTTCATTTGATGGATCAAGATGAAACTTTTGTCTCTGTTGAGAGGCTAAAGAAAGAAAGAAAAATAAATAAAAGAATCGGATAGTACCTTTCTACAGCGGACAAAAGATATGAGAGTTAAACAGGCAAGGAAGAGAATAAAGTAGAGGTTGAAAGGCAACTGACAAGAAAACTGATCATGAAAAAAGAATAAAATTAGAAAAATTACTTGGAGGGATCAGGTTTTTTGTAAAGAAAAAAGGAATGGGGTGAGAGGTGCAGGAATTTAAGAACATGCAAATCAGTTCAAAGGAACCAACCTCTATCCTTTTTACTATCTTCGATTGCTTTTTCTAGGTCTCTTTCTTCAACTTTGCGTACAACATCTGGATCATCAATGTTTGTTGATAATCGAGCACAAGGCGGTAGTTCTGTTTCCGCTAAAAATGGAGTTTCAGTTCCTGTAGTGCCAATTCTCAGAACATTTTTTTCTAAGTCTATGCAGCACTGTAATCAACAAGATAAATTATAATTAATACTGACACATTCAGTAATCTATGAATTCCTAAAGTCTAATGCTTTGATGGATTAAAATTACAGCCATGAATGGTAACTTGAAGCAAGTCATCAGCGAAGAAAACCACAAAGAACAAAACAGAAAAATGCTTAATTGTCTGGTTTGGATGATAATCACTTTCCTTAGCAGTGTTCTAAAATTCAAAAACCACACTTGCATCATACTCAATACAAAAATAAAGAACATACATTCAAAGTATATAAAGTTTCAGAGGGACCTTTTGGGGGGGGCTATTTTCAGTGAGCTCTTCTAGAGACTATCTTCAGAGGCTTTATGAGGCATATAGGCTTTGGGGGATCTAATCAGAGGGCCGGCCCTTCAAGAGTGGGGATATGCCCTGTTGGCGGCATGAGGCCCTTCTGAAGGGGTACGCCCCGCTGGCTGAGAGGGAACTTTTTTTAGGCATATGCGCCCACAGGCTCAGAGCTACCCATTGGTAGGGTAAACTCAGTTTAATTGTTCAAAAGTTGCAGAAAAAAAGAAGAAAAAAAATTCAGGATCCTCAAATAAAGGACACTGCACACAATACCAAGAAATTCAATGGCAGCTAAATTTCGATATTTATTTATATAATGCTCCTTACGACCTCCTGAGCACACTGAGCTTTAATTGAACTTGCTATTTGCCAATTTTGAGAAAAATGGGTCTGAAAAGTGCAATAGTTGGCACTTTGACAAATTTTACGATACATAGAAGTGGCATCATTGCTGGGTCAAAGATGCGGAGCCTTTGATTTTAAACTGATTGTGAGTTGACGCGCCGTCTCATCTTCAGGGCCAACGAAGACAAGGAAAAAGGAGCTCCTACTCAATCACCTACATTTCCCCACTTGATAAAAAGTGCAACTGCCAAAAAAACACATATTCAGACCAATTTTCTCAAAATCGGCAGATAGAAAGTTCGAATTTAAAAGCTCATTTTACTCATGAGACTGTAAGGAACATCATTTCAAAATATCTCAAAATTTAGTAGTTGCCGAATTGCTTGGTCCTTTAACCCTTAAATTATTTCAATGTGACTGTAAATAAGGTTATTAGAACTTTGCTTCACCATTCATTTTGAAAAGCTCAGTTCTATTTTTGAAGAGTCCTATTCAAAAAATGTTCACTTACCTGATGTCTTTTGAGCATGTCTAAACCAAGCAGCATGTCCATTGCTTGCTCCTCAAGGACAGAGAATGATGTTGTTAAAAAGTCATTTTCGATTGCTACTTGAACCATGTGTATTCTACCGATGATTCTTTGGACACCTACACCTCTGGCAATACCAGCCCACCGAGTGTCAACTAAACGCATGATATTGACCCGTTCCGCACAAGCAGCAGACATAATTGTTGTTTGGGCTCCTAATAAATATTCAAAAACAATGATTAAGTAAAAACTGAGGAATAACAAAGATGACAGTGAGAGAGCTCATCGAAAGAGGGGCGTGTGCGTACAAATTTTTATACAGGAATGCAAAAAATGTCCCATCTTGCAATCCTAGGATTGCGGCAAGTAAGAGGCAAAGCTTGGGTCATCGGGCAGTTTTTAAGCTTAATGACCTCCTTTCTTTCCTCCATTTTTTCGAAAAGAGGGACAATTATTGCACACTTGACCTGAAAATTAGATTACATACAAAAACCTTACCATACGATGCCCTCGAGCCCTCGAGGAATAACGCCATTAAAACATTCAGACATTGCCAAACATTAACATTTGTTTTCCTAAATGTTGAAAAACTTAAAATATTACTTGAGCATTTCAGAGAATTTAATTTGCAAAATCCAGAATAAATGAAAACCTCAAGGAATAATATTAATGATTTTCCTCTGAACTGAGTCTATGTAAGAGGAAATGTGGCAACATTTAACTATTGTGTGAGATTTTCTTTGGTACAGGAGTAATAAGTTAAATTCCAAAAAGGCTGAAAAGCTTACCAGAATCAATAAACGCTTTGACCGGAAACCCGTTAACTTTACAGTTAATGTAAAGCATAACAACGACACCGAATGTCTCTGGATTATACTCCATGGCTGCCTCCATATTTGCCTCGATATTTTTCTGTTTAATTTCATCAGCAATTAATCTTTGTGCCTCTGTATCAAATGGATGAGCGTTCATCATACGATTTCTTTGCTGCTGTCGGCGCTCTTTTTCTTCCAACTGTTCTCTAAGAACTTTTGCAAACTCATCTATTGAAAGAGCAAAAAGTTATATTACAAAAAGACAGTATGTAGTAGTTAAGGAACACATGACCATGTAGAAAATCGCTAATGAAAGACACATTGTGAAAAAACTGTTGTCGACTTTCTCCGGCTCAATTTAAATTATTTCACCTACTAAAGTGAAAGATTACTTTAATGCTGATTCTTTAGAAGCCTTAGGGGTGCAGAAAGTTCTTAGTCTTCCCCAATTTGTAATTTTCTTTCCCCAAAATTTCATATTTTGCTGTAGTTGTGATTCTAAATGAAGCAACGCGCTTAGTAGTTTCTTTCTACACATGTAGTGGGCTTGAAAGGCATCCAACACAGAATTCAATTTGTTCCAGTCTTCTTTCTATTATTGATAGATATAGGTAGAAAACAAAGCCTTCCAAAAATTTTACAGTCTTCTCCAATTCTCAAGCAAGTAACGTTGCGATCATGTTTGTGTGGTCGAGAACATTTTGCAGCCCTAAGAGGCCCTTCTCAGAATCTTATATCCCTTTCATTTTTTAGTGTATTTTCCAGGAGTTTCCTTAAAGCTTTAAAAGTAAGACAGCAAAATCCTACATTGTAAGAACCTAATAATAACTTTCACTATTGTTTTCTTCTTAAAGTTCAAAGGATTAGAGCCCTCAACTGGATAATGTGCCATGTACTTTTTTTGCACTCTTCCTCCTCTCATATTTCTTCTTACTTTTCACCCCCCTTTTTTTCCAAATTTGGGGGCCCTTCAGTGGTAAGGCTTATTTATGGTTCTAAAACACTGTGACACTCGAGGCCAATTTGACCACAAGACCTAACTTTTTTCATGCAGAAAACAGGTTTATCAAAAGTCATGGGGAAGTACTTGATTGTGCAAGTCTGTTAAAGGCAAAAGTTTTGGATAAATATTTTTTCAGTAATCTCTATTCTGATGCAATGCAGTAGGCTCTAATCTCTAATCTGATGCTTCACTTAGAATTTTTTGAGGATCACTAACAACCAATTTTGCAGTTAAAATATTGTGTATGAACTTTGCAGTTTCACTATTTTGTAGGTATATTAAGTTGCTGCAAAATCAAAAAACAGGGCGTGCATTTTTTGCTGGCTAAAGCAGTGCTCGTCATATACTAAAGTGTAATTAATTAATGAATAAATAAATAAATTACCCAATAATAGAATGACTTGGTGCTTTAGCAATGTAATAAAGACATTTTCGAAAATTTGAAAATCATGATCATGGTAAGAGACTGAAAATTTCATTCTCAATATGCTTAAAGAAGAAAATTTTGTAAGGATGGATCTCAAAATCCCTCCAAAATAGCCTCTAAAAGTATCCTTCTTAGAATCTGCATGCCCCCCCCCCCCTATTTTTACTCTGGAGGCCATAATTTATACCTATTGGCAGTTCTGCTAATAAGTTTTTCATTCCATAAAAATATACCTAAATTTCCAGTAGCAAGAGCATCAGCAAGACGAGGATTGTTCTGCTTCAGAAGGGCTAACTGATCCGGGTTTGCCAGAAACAAATCGCGCACATGTGCTGGGTCGTCCATTGGCGCACGTGACATTATGTCTCCTGCTGTAGGTCGAGAGCTTGAAGCACCTGGTATTTGGATGCCACTAAAATCAAGCTGGTTTGATAATAAGCCTGAAAACAGAAAAAAGCTCACTTATTATAGGCTAAGGGAGTTTTTCCAACAAACTTTGGCATATGTGTTGCCATAATGTTTTGGCATAATCGGAATTGATTTGCTCCATAAATTCCGGAACTAGGTATAGACTTTCATACCTGAATTGAGATAGTAATATTAGGATTATAACTTGTGGATGGAAATTCAATAATGGGTCCCAGCCACAATGACCTCGCTGTTTACTTGACACTTTATTGCGCAGCCAAGAAAGATTTACAATCTTTGTACTGAAATGGAACAGCAATGGGTACCACAGGTAGTTTTCATAATGTCCAGATGAGAAATTCAGAGTACCCGAATGTGATGCGAGTCACATTTCCACCGATATCAAAGAGAAGAAAAGGAGAAAAACGTCAAAATTCACTAGCCAGAGATACTGTTTATTAGATTCAACTTTCATCCATTTATTTGCACTTTGATAATTCCAACATCTCCAGGGATATATATCTAGTAACCTCCAGTTGAGTACCATAGCCGGTGCCCGAATGATCCCCCTCTACTTTCCTGCTCCCGCGTCATCTGCGCATCACAACGTAGCTATGTTGCCCATTGTAACACAAATCTGGAGGCTAGAAACATCAGCAAAATACCTGGGGAAAACATACTCCGTTGAAAGAGAATGATTCATGAAGTCAGTTTGTTTTTTGTATGAAAAATGAGTTCTCGCAATTCAGTTTGATTCTACAGATTGACTAGGCGATCACACAGTCAATTCTGTATTTACATTGGTCTAATGTTACAATTTAATGAATATATTTTGATGCAATTTTAGAAGAGCCCATGTTTGTGCCCTGTCATCGGTATGGTTGAAATGCAACACCGCTGAGACTCTTTCACTCTGGATCTCAGAAACCATCCAACTGATTTACCTTGAATTTTTTATGATTAAACTTCGCATTATGTAGGTACATGATGTAGATGTTACCACAGTCTTGGATTCCCTGATTTGCCTGACTATTGTTGCCAGGTTTTTCTTACTAGGTTAGGTTTGGGACGCTACACGACTAGTCGAGCTTAACTAACACTAGATTTCAGCATTATATTGTGGTGAGCTTCTTCGGGGAACCTTCCGTGCAAAAGGCGACATATGAAGCTCCAAATTCTCTCTTTAACATTAACATTGGAACTACCTTTATAATTCGTAAAAGATAAGTCCTTCAACGATCGAAATCCTGAACAATGGCCTACTAAAAACCTTGAGGTATAGATTGGATATCATTAGTATCTTCACATTTCAGAGTTGAGGTTCCAATTATATACTTCTGTTGATTAACGGGAAGATGCTTCTGAAGGAAGCATTTCCATTTAAAAATCATAGGTGTCAAGCTAAGGGGTGCATGGTATTGGGTGATGAGGCTCACTCTGGTCTGGAGAATTGAATGCCATCTGAGAACTTGATGAGATGTGCTGGAGAATAACGACGTCTCCATCCGTGACTCCGTGGGCTTTCATAGATTTTCGGTTATCTCCCAAGGGTCTTCCATTGTGATTGATAACCACTTCATGAGCAGGGAATCCTGACTCAACCTCACAAAAAGCTTTGAAATTTTCTAGTTCCAGATCTTCACTAACATCTAAGACAAAAATGTCATCATTTAAAGTGGTCACTGTAATTTTCATCTTGAAACTTCGCGAGCTACAGTTGTAAAATTATCACTCAAGGGTTCAAGAATCTAAGAATTAAGGAACTAGAATACAGAAAAGGAAAAAGTAGAAATCAGAACATGACAACAAACTTATCACAGAAGTGCACAGACACAGAATCAAGCTTGTCACGGTTTTTGGAGCAAGTGAGCGAGGAGAATGCAAAGCAAGTTTTTTCTTTCCATTTATGGTATCTGGTTGACGTCACCACTTAATGAAATGACGGTATTGGCCGATGATGATGAAAACAAATGACATCATAATCCATAAGACCTACATGCATCATCGCTTCTGCATCATGTTTTGATTGTTTGGATCATGATCAGATGATCAGAATAATCAGGATCAGGTTCGTTGCCTGTTGCTGTTGTCTTGGAAGTCTTAGATTTGCAATTTGACATTTGATTTGATTTGATAAGTTTGATAGTTGTCAAGTTGTATGAAGCTGTTTCTATCACACCCTGCTACCCAGATAAGTTGTATAGTTAGTTTCTTAAGCAGGATAATCTTTTCCAAATTCTCACCGTAAGTGTTTCTCCCTATCAGTAATAATGTCGCAGTGCTAAAATGAAGAATAATCTGAATTTGTTTTCTCGCGCAAGACTTGAAGAATTATTTTCAATCGACCCTGAGAATCTTCTGTCGCAGCATGGCCCGTCTTGGCCATCATTAAAATTAAACAAGGACTAATCACAATTTTGACACCCTCCGCATCATTACTACACGCTGTAAATCACTCTTGTTTCCAGCCATAGCGTCAATATGTCTTCTGACAGTGAAGATGAGGATTTTGTGCAGTTTGGCACTCCGTTAGAGCCAATGGAAGAAGGTATGGTATTTTTCCACTAAAACCTCACTTATTATCAAACTCTAATAGTCCATGTCAAATAAGTTTAAGGGCTGTTCTACATTATATGGACTGCTGAATTTGACTTGTTACTTTCTGCAGCCTGATTTTTGAAATTTTGTATTTGTCAGGACAACATAGATGACATGGGTTAAAAGGCGGAGAGTGATTGGTCGGCTATATCTTATCGCTGCTTTGTCGTGCCTATGTCGGTTTGAACTCAGGACAAGCTAACGGCACCTCTTAAGTTTCCGACAGTATGTTGTCCATTCCACCAGACAAAGGCACTACAAAGCAGCAATAAGACATAGCCGACCAATCACGCTCTGCCTTTTAACCTATGCCCTCCTGACAAACAGAAAATGTTAACAATCAGGCTGCAGGATAGTTAAACCACCGAGACAGAAAGATAATTGTGAAATTTCGAGTGTCAGAAATTAAAAACAAAAATGTTACGACCTATCAAACTTTTTTCATGAAACCAGGGTCAGTAAAGATTCATATTCTAAGCTTCAACAAAAATACTATTTCAGCTGTTACTCATGTCCTTGTGGATTGAGCTAATCTAATGTAATGTAAGAAAGAACCCCACTAACCTCTTATGGGGAAGTATACCATGATCAATTTCCAATTTTCTATTGCACTAAACTCATATGTGGATGCTGATCCAAAGTCTTTTTTGGGCCAACTTTCTACAAGCTACGGTTTTTTCACAATCCGTGGTTGAAGTTTTGAAAATTCCTCGAATTAAAGGGGGCAGGGCGGCAATAAAGAGTCAAAGAGATCCCTCATTTCAGCACTTGAGTACAGTCAGCGGTGTCCCCATGAGGACATCAGGAGGCAGTCTTATCTCAGATTCTGCATGCCTTTTCGTTTGACCATTCAAATCAGTTTCTTTCTCTCTCCCACTCACTTCTTTACATCTCTCTGGCTGGGGTTTTCCCAATTTTATTTAGAACATGCTGAGTGTTCCAAGAAAGAGGGGTCTTTTTGACTCTTTATTGCGGGGCTGCCTCATTTTATTCACAGAGTTATCGAAACTTCAACCGCAAATTGTGCAAAAATGGTAGCTTGTAGACAGTTGGCCCAATGATGACTTTTGATCAGCATCCATAAACAAGTTTAATGCAATAAAACAATTGGAAATTGATCATGGTACACATCCCCATGAGAGGTTTGCGAGGTTCTTTAAAACCTATCTCATTCAAAGTTTCACCCGATGATCCACCCTCACATAAAAGAATTACTGTCACTTTTTGACGTCAAAAGCCATGCCCAACCAAATTGCTTATACAATGATCTCGAAATATTTAAATTATATATTCAAGTATCAAAATAATATTAAAATAATCATTCCAAGATTAATTACTTTAAATTGGATGAATGCACTCTTTCACTAGGACTATACAAGTTTTATTATTATTTATAACAAAATTAATTAGCAAAATTTTGACAAGACTTACTTCCACAAATTATTATTTTTTTTAAAGTATTTCAAGGGCCTTGCCCTCATCTTCAGTTTTTTTTCCTGCGAATCCTTCCTACACACTGACTGCATAGTTCGAATGCTCAAATGGTTCATGTTTGCTATATTTTTCAGATTCAATCAAATCAAAAAAATTTCAGAAGGTTGAGGATCAGATAGCAACAGATCAATATGGAAGACGTCGATTCCATGGTGCTTTCACAGGTGGTTATTCCGCTGGATTCTTCAACACTGTTGGTTCCCTTGAAGGCTGGAAACCAGCCAGCTTTAAATCTTCAAAAAGTAGCAAAGCCGAAGTCAGATCGCAACGTGCTGAGGATTTTATGGATGAAGAGGTTTGTTTCAGTTAGGTAGAGAACATCAACGGTGAAATTTCCAAACCGCGTATCTTGTTTCTGGTGCTTAAAAATCTCTGCTCTGATTTTACGGTTATCAAAGAGAATAAATCAACATCAATCCTTGAGCTTTTCACAGAATTTTCCTCTTGCAGAGGAGAAAAATCAAGAAAATTTTTAGGAAGTGACGCTGAATAGTTTTTCATTTAAAAAATGAAGTATGACAGGAAGTCTGTCACATTGCAAACCGAAATATATGGTTTGGGAGTTTCACCATCGATATGTCAGTTTTTTAATAGGTATTCAATAATTATACAAAATATAGTCAGAGGTCTGTTAGAAAATTTGTTCAACAGGAGCTTGACACTTCTCCTGTGAAGTAAGGTTGCTAAACTTATGAACTGTTATTCAGAACTCATCCAGGCTCCAACTCATACAGAAGTTAGTTCTTACTCCAGGTAATTCCGACCCAGGACTCCTATGAAGTAGAATTTGAGCAAAATTTGCGCATTCATTTTGAAATGCCAAGCCTTAAAATTTTAGTGCAAGGAAGTTGGAATCCTGAAATGAGTAGGTCAAAAACGCCATGACTCCGAAATACATTTTTATCGGGCAAATATTTTTTCTACTAGTTGGTTGTAAGCAAAAATCCTTTTGGACAATAGGTCTGGGGCAAAAAACTGTTTGATAAATTGTGTGTTGTCGGGGTGTGAAAGCATTCTAGCAAGACAGCAAGTTATCCCAGCCTTGTGTGTGAAGTGAGGAAATCTATGAGCATCAAAGCACATTTTTAAGAAGCCTTATTTCTTTTTATTTCTCTCTGCATGGCCAAAATAGAAGAAAAAACATTAAAAAGCATTGTCTTTTTAAAAGATTTTGAGTCATAGCACATTTTTGATCTTACTGCATTGAAAAAAATGTCCAATAATGAGGAAATTTTAAGGCTAAGATTTCGACTAATATTTGCCCCTAAAAACTTTTTGCACCTCTGTGTCTCTTTAAGTGGGTCAAGGATGAAAACTGTCTCTTTGCATGGTATGAAGAATCATTATTTACAGGAAGTTAATACTGTAGTTACCTTTTTGTCCTTTTTCGGTGAACCTAACACATCAGGGTAATGACACGAAGGTCACTGAGGCTTTTATTCCGATCTGGAAAGCCAAGGTGTAACCTTTTACTGTTGTGGAACTGGCTAAAACCCTGAGATCCAAAGACCGAGATATTACATATCCTGGATCTCAATGATAGCCTCAGCTCTAGTCTGACCCGTCTTACGTTTATCTTTTTTATATCATTTAATTGTAAATTAATCATAGTCAATAGATACCTTAGATTTTTTTTTAGAATCAAAGTTTTCCTTTGATCTCCTGTCCGGAAATTTGTTAAATTTTATTTAAGCTTTTGAGCCCTTTCACTGGTTTTTGTAGTGTTAGCTGCAAAATAGTTACAGTATTTTTCTTGTAAATTTAAGTGGCTCTTTACCCCCTTTCCAACCTTGTGCTGCAATCCTTTTTTCCCAATGGTGAGAATGCAAGTTCCTCAAAAACAACTAAAACAACTCAGCCTGTACCGTGCATTTTATTTTATAGGTTTTTTTTTTTTTTTTTTTTTTAAAAAAAAAAAAAATTAGTGTACAACTAAAACAAAACGAACTCAAAAAAAGTTGGTGAAGTTCAAAAAACCTCAATATGGTCCTATTTTAAGCAATTCTCAGAAAACCAATTGAACAGAACTGAACATAATATGTATCTTTTGCAGGATACCAGTGAATTTGGAATTGCACCAAAGGCTATAAGAGTCAAAAACACCTTCAGTGATTCAAGTGGTGCCAAAAGGAAGTTACCGCAGTATCATTCTGGACCTATTCCAGGTGTACCCGTTTTATCAGAAATCTTAAAACCTGTTAGGTAAGTGGAATTACCTATTATGGTAGTTATTTTATCCCCCTCCCCTTCCTTTTTAAGAGCCCAGCTGATACGCAGCGCTTTTTGATTTTAACCTGCCACTAGAGCTCTAGAATAGTTAAGTATTGCAGCAATTAAATGGCACAACAATCATTTCCAGTGTCGTAAAAGAGTGTCTCATATTTTTTGGAAAAATTAACTCATATTACCACTGAAAATGCAATTAATATCACTGAGTAAAGGGTATAAATAACATTTCAAAAATCTACCTTGCTACAAATAGTGCACTGAATGGTCACACTGATGTGTTCTTGCTGACAGTGAATTCTTCATCCATCCCAAGTGTGGATCCTAATATGTATTGTTTCCTCCTATTTGCAATGATAAAAATTCTTTGCAGAAGCTCAGAGGAAGTTTTTCTAATGTCATTAATATCATCTAAGTACTTTGAAAATAGAAAAGTTACTGTTGGGAAGAAAGAAAAGCTAGTGGTTGGAAACAGCCTTGAAATTAATTTTATCTCCTGTATTGTTGAATTTATTTACTCATTTATTTTTGGTTCAATGATCCGTTTGTCCTCATTATTTCTTCTTCTTCTTGTTTAGTTATTTTGAGATTTTTTTTAATGAATCAAGAACCGTTTTTGCTGTTTATATGACATCTGAAAGATTACTGAATGTTATTATTGTGTATTCAAATGTTCTTAACAGTAAAGTAAATTTATTCTTATCACTTTGAGGCCCCACTGAGCGCTTCTCTAATACCCACGTACCAGAGCTTCCCACCTGTTTTTGTTTTTCAATTACTTTGGTGAGTTACATTTTTTCAGTAAATGAAAGAATCAAGAATAGTTTAAAATATTCTGCTGCCAAAAATCATGTGTGCTCCTTGTAATGTAAGTTGATATTCTTTTTTCAGTGAAACTATTGGTGTAAAGCTATTGAAAAGCATGGGGTGGAAACCTGGTCAAGGCATTGGACCTCGAATTACGAAATCTGAAAAATCTAAAATGAAAGAGCGTCTAAAAAAATCAGCAATGGGAAAAAAAGTATACGGTTGTGCTACATTTCCACCATCTGAAAAACAGAAGAGCTCTAGTGAATCAGACGATAGTGGAAATGATGACCGTGAAGAAATACTGTTAGCACCTTTGGAATTTGAGCAATATGTTGTACAGCCAAAAAACAATTCATTTGGAATTGGCTATTCTGGTCTAGACAGACACTCAGTCTTATCATCTAGGCATTACAGTCTCTTTGATCAACCGTCTGGTGTGACTTTAACTGAAAAGCAGAAGAAAGTCTCCATTCGTGGGCACGTAAGTTTTTACCATTACTCCCTCTCTCTCTCCCCCCTCTTTTTTCCTCTCCTTCTCTTCCTCTAGCAAAAAAAATGCTCAAAATATTCTTTCTGCAAGGCACAACTCATTTTGAATTAACTTTATGTACAGAATGAGATTAAATGTTGAATAAGAATTCTGGGACATTTTTTGCAGAGGTTTCAGTTCCCAGCAACCTTTTTGGCCCATAAGATTAACCTATTGTACCGAAAATGAAAAAAAAAAAACCTAAAGCGTAAAAATGAATTAGCTTTCTGCAAAAGGTGTTTCTCAAGTCAAATGTGCGATTCTCCTCTATAAGCAATGTAGAATTTACTAAGGATGACTCCAATAAAAGTTAAACTTATCCTCTCTTACCAGGCATTTGGGGTTGGAGCTTTTGAAACAGAAGATACAGATATCTATGCACAGGAAGATATGTCCCAGTATGATTTCAGTCTACCATGTCCTACAGCTTCAAAAGGGGTGAAGTCTAGTTCAAAATTAGCGTTACAGTATGAAAGTGAAGTGATTGATGGCTTCGTCGTTGCTGAGAAGTTTATTCTGAAGAAAAAGTTCTTTCCACCACCACAACTACCACCCGGTACGTAAGTTCATCGCTTTTTGTGATCAGACTGAAGGATATTGCTATTCAGAACTGTTTGATTGGTTTTTTAAAGTTATTTTCAGAAGAGTCAAAAGTAGTGTCCAAAGCTGTTCGATGCTTTGGAAGGTTTTCTGAAATAGAAATTCATGAATTAGGAATGCATGAACTCCCAAATTTTGCACTATCATTTCCAAAATTCTCCAGAAAAATTCTTGAATAAACAGGAAACGCTTTTTTCTTGATTTGTTTGAATGTGAATGCAATGCGTCCTAGAAATATTGTTTACAATCTACAAGTAAACTTCTGAGAAAGGTGTAAATCAGTGATCAGAGTTAATGCCATTTCTGTGATGTTTTCATCTTGGCAATAAAGGCAAGAATGCACATCACGGCTAGAATATTTTTATTGAGAATTTTTTTGTTTTGTTCAGCATTTTCTTCTCTTACTAGATAGTATTTTTTGCCTTAATAATTTTTTTTTTGGATTAGAGAAGGAAATAAATAATTCACTCTTTAGTCTTTGTTGCCAGACTGTATGAATGGGTGATAGAAATCCTCTTGAATAGGGTGGCTCACAAAGCGGTCATCAAAACATCGCACAGAGTTTAGATGTTTAGATGTGTTTTAAGTTTTTTAGTTTAGATGTGTTTTAAGTCTATGGAACATCCATCATGATAAATCAATTTAATAGGTTATCAGATGACAGCAATGAACAAAGTTCTGACACACCTGCTATAGAGCGTGCAATGAGTGCTTCCTGTACTACACCAGTGGCGTGGCGTGCTTTGCGATATATCGATTGATTTGCCATTTAAACCTATGGTAAAGAATCGATTTAAGGTGTTCGCTGCAAACACCCTGTTTATCAATCCTTTTCCATAGGTTCAAATGGCGTAACAATGGATATATTGCAATTCACGCCACGCCTCTGTACTACACATTTCAGGAAGGCGCTGTCTCCTATTTACACAATCTGGCTATTTGGAGACAATGGCGAACAACAACTGAAGTGGCACCAAGTGGCAAATAATTAGCATTTTTTTTCTGAATCTGTATCACTGGAAAAAAAAAGTAAATAATACAAAGCTTGCAACCTGTGACTAACATGACCATGTACTGACCGTTTTCTGCCTTTAAAACCTAATTCATGTTGAATTTCCAAGCATTCTCAGTGGCATGACACAAAAATAATTCCTCGGAATTGTTGTAGTAATCCAAAGTTTCTTCTAAGAAATTAAGTTTAAGTTAAATTAAACTAAATTCATTTTTTTAGGGGAGGGGGGGGGAGATACTCAACAGCTATTTTAATTCTCTGGTATTTTTACAGAATTTTCCATCTTGGTACTTTTCTATCAGAAGTCTCTCAAGTAATCAAAGTTCCATCTGAAGAAATTATCAAATGATTTACTCTCTAGACCTTTCAATCTCATTTTACAATCTTCAGTCAGTTTTCTTAGAAGAACTGAATTAACTATCATTATCCTACAGAACCTTTTCATTCATGGGATACCTTCCTCGTGGTTTATTAATAAATGCATTTAAACTGTGATGCTGAACTATTTTTTACAGGTTTTCATCCGACCAGTTTAAAATCTCTGAATACTTCTTCAAGAGTTAGTGATATACCCATCTCATCTAGTAATGATCGTGCCACGATTTTGGGTGAAGTGAGCAGGTGGAGTTCAGTGGAGAAAATAGGAGAAACTTCAGAGCAGAAGAAAAACATCACAATCTCCAACTCAAATCTACAAGGAGATGTTGAAACTTCTGAGACAAAGCCTAGCTCATCAGGAGAAGATCTCAATTCTTTCAAACCGTTCGCAAGCGACCCTAGCAAGCAAAAACGTTATGAGCAATACTTGTTGTTTGTAAGATTAGGAGTTAAAGGTATGCTCAGTTAAAAGTTATTTTTAATTCTTGAAATAAAAACTTTCGAGGTTCTAGAGCAGGGATTGAGAGTGAAATCTGCGAGCGACCTGAAGGGCTGGTAATCTCAATTCCTAGGATCTGTTTCTGCACCTAAAGACCAGAGACCCTTTTACCGGAATCTAAAATCGGACTCAAGTCTATGAGTTGACTCACTTCAGTAAGACTGTTTGTACGACTAAAAAGCATAGAAGCACAGTTTTGATCAGAACAAGCACTTGTGCAGGAAAGACTGCTCAGTCATAAGATTTGGCTGTTCACGCATCAAGAACACCCAGAACTGGGCAACTTCAATTACTTCCCATGTACGATGCATCCTGCCAAGAAGATTTGAAGTGTTCTTGGAGAGCAGAATTTTCCAGAAAGACCAGAACCAGGAATTGAGAATCCCTACTGTAGCTAAAATGCACTGCAAGCAAATTTACCGCCGTCTATTTGCAAACACTTGTGAGCTTGAGTCCCTTTTTTGTTGACAAGAGACCTTAATCCCGATGGCTTGATGCCCAGGACTCAGGAGTAGCCTTGGTTAAGAATAATTTTGCAAGACCAGCCCCTCGGAGTCAATAAGGCCTGTGGCCAAATCGCAGATCTGGCTCTAAAGAGCCTGAGTTTGCGTTTGAAGTGCCAGAGTTTCAACTCAGGAGACTGTGATGATCCTTTTTCTAGACTTTTCTACTCATTAGATTAGATTTGCATACGTACGGAAGTTAAAGTCAAAGCCTCTAATGAGAAAAACATTTAGGAAGTGCCTTGAAAGCTAGGTATAAGCTTCTGTAGTAATTGGTATTTTTAAAATGGTAGCTCTTGAGAGGGAATGACTCTCTAGCATAAGTCATGGAATGGAACAAAATTTATCTCATAAGGGTTGTAACCAGTGGACAGAAAAAATTGCTGTGATATCGGAATCTGAAGTCCAGCTTTTTATAGCATGAGCGCATCAGAAAAAAACCTTGAGTTGACTCATTATTATTCGATAGAAAACTTAAAAATGAATGATGTTATCTTATTCAAAGTAATTTTAACCAGAAACATCAAAAGGCCCTTTGAAAATTGAGTTTGATAACGTGTACCAAGGGTTCCCTCACAAAATTCTTGTAATGTGCACCATCTTTTACTCATAATTTTTTAAAAGAAATTTTTACGCAAAATTTTATACACCAGACTCTGTTTTCTGTTTTTTTTTAATGAAATTGTTACCCTTTTTTTTATTTTAGTAAAAATTTTTATCATGGAACCATCATTGATCATAGGCCGTAGATATCTCTCACTCTTTTATTCTTTGGTTGTTTTTATGTTATCTCCTGTCTACTCCTCCATTTTTTTATTCCTATTCCGTTCTTTACAGACAAATTAGCCTCAATTCAACCATCATCCATGACAGAATGGGAAAAAGAACATGAGCGGATTGAGTTTGAAGGCGCTTTCCGACTGTACAAACCCATGTCCGGAGACATTGCTGAGCGATTTACACGTGCTCAGGGAGAAGACTCTCTCGATCCTCTTGCTCAGGTGGAGAAAACTGTTGATCCTGTTTTAAAGCAAATGCAAGATGCAGCCAAGATGAAAATGTTTGGCACCTTAACACGCCAGGTGTTCTCATGGCAACCTGACTCTTTAGTATTCAAACGTTTCAACATTGCTGAAACAAGTTGTGAGAGGTACTTTAATATTTTATCTTTGAAAGTTTTGCTGTAAGAATTGGTCAACTGTGTATAATTTTTCAGGTATAGCCCTCTAAAGAAAAATCCGATTTGATTCGAGTGATGGATCGTATAAAGACCTTCAGAAGTCTCCTCTGTCTTTTTTAACCATTTTTTTCAAGTGAAGCTGAGCTGGTGAAGTATCGATTGGCAGATAAGTTTCCAAGTCAAACTATTAAAGCCTTCACTTATAAATTGTAATATTTGTAGAAAAGTGTTATAATTTGAGTTTTTTCGAAAGTTTAGTTTAACAAATTGAATTTCTTCATTATTATTCCTCTTATGTCATTGTGAACATTCCTAGATTAGCAATCAATAAAAGTAAATAAATTTTTGGGGTAACTTACAGAGGTAGCTTAGAAGCAGCCCTAGAAAGAAGGAAAAACAAGCCAAAATTTTCACTCTTCAACTTTACTGATGCTCCAATCCTCAAGTCTAGTCACTCACCAATTCCAACCTCAGAGGAAAAAGGCAACCCTTCAAATTCCACAGAAGCGGTAAAAGTAACAACGAGAGAAGCCAGTTCAACGCTTTTGGAAGGACTACCATCTACATCTCATTTGGATCAAGTAAGTCAATGCTTTTGGAGAATTTTGCCATTTTGTAGAGACAATCTGCACCAACAAGGAATATCACTCTAGCATGAGTGAGATTCACTGTGCGCAATGAACTTTGAGTAGTTCTTATAAGTTTATCATATAATCAAAGATGGGAATGGATCCTAGTCTCTGGATTCTCAGATCATTTCTTTATTTCGAGTGGCTTGACTTCTCTGCTCCCCAGGTATGATTGAATGTTTCTCACGATGGTGCACATGTCAGGCATTGGCGGATCCAGAATTGGCAACATTGTTTTTCTCCATTTAAAACTAATGAAATGTATCGATTCTTGGCGGAGCCAGCTGCTCCGACAAGAATGGATTATTTAACATAGGCTTAAATTGAGGAAATCCGGTGTTGCCAAGTTGCTGGATCCACCTCTGATGTCAGGTTGCTCCAAGATGAAGCTTTTAGCGCCATGTGGGGAGTGGAGAGCACAGCTCTGTCACTCAAGTGTGAGTCAGTTCTCCAATGTAAGTCTGTTTTAATTACTTTTGAGAGGATTGGGCTCAATGCTGAACCCAAACTTAAAAACTTGGTCTTCTTCTCCTCCCACTCACACCAAATTTTCTCTGAAGAATGAAAAACAACTTAATCAGCCAAAATACACATAATAAAAGAATAACTTAATTTGGGTAAAAGGCTGCTCTCTCTGAAGGCTCTGCTCTGAAAGGCTATCTCTGAAGATACAAGCTGGGTCATGCCTAAGACATGTGGGCTGAAGGCCGCAAATTCTTTCTTCAAGAGTTAAACTTTAATCTTTGGTTGTTCATTGTTTCAATCTCTCTATGCTCTTCTTTTTTGCAGGATGTACTTAAACTTACTATTGAAGAAAGACTGAAAATGTTCCGAGACATATTTCTTGATTCAAGTGATGATGAAGACGTTCAAAAATCCCCTGGAGTCAGAGACAAAATTGATGAAAATGCCTCTGTCGGTCAAGATTGTCAAACTCGGAGCATTAGTAAAGAGCCAGTCAATATCATCCGCAACACTGCTCCTGCAAAGGGTATTTTTGCTAATTTAGACTTAGATAAGTTAGCGATGCTCCCTCAAAGTAATTCTGCAGATGACAGCTCTGATTCAAGCAAATCCTCTGATAGTGAAGAGGATGCTGCGTCAGTTTTTGGCCCTCAGCTTCCCTCCAAATGCACTTCCAGTAATACTAGTTCATCTGCAAAAATTAGTGTTAAGTCATTAATAGAAAAGTCAACATCAAAAACTAAAAAACACGAGTGGATTGAAGAAAAACCAAAGGAGAGGAAGCACAAAAAACACAGAAAGGATCATAAAAAACATAAATCTAAGAGTAAAAAGAAAAAACGCAAGAAATCAAAATAAGGCATGTATCCAAAAATGTCTTAATGAAGTTGATTTTACGATTTTTAATTCTACAATGAAGCAGTTCATGCTTGTTACACCTAAGTGCATTCTTGTGATCAATGAAATAAATTTTTTTTATTTACTTATGATATCTTTGTCTACTTTTTTTTCTGTCCCCTAACAAAAATTCATAAATATTTCCTGTTTTTTTACTTTTGATCCAAAGTGTAACTATGCAACAAAGTTAAACATTTTAAAACTTTTGCCATCGATTTACTATACATTATAACTCCGTCCAAGAACAATCAATTTTCATTCATTTTTCCTTTTTCCTTTTTTCCCTTCTAATTAGAAAATAAAGTATCCAATGCACGTTAATACCTCAGAACTGAATATCAAAAAAACTTAACACATATCGACGGTGTAACTAACAGACCATGTATCTTGGTTTGCAATGTCGCAGACTTCCTGTCATACTTTATTTCTTAGATGAAAAACTTCTCAACTTTAATTTTTGAAAACTCCTTGATTTTTCTTCTTTGAGTGTAGAAAAATCTGTGACAACTTCAACCTTCAACGAATGATATCGGTTTGTTTTCCTTTACAAAAATAAAATGGGAACAGAGATTTTTTAACACTGCAAATGAGATACATGGTCTGATAGTTTCACCATCGATACAGCACACAGTGCGGCATCCTTATGGAGGATGCGGACAAGAATTGGTAAAAGACTCTTAACTCTATATAATGAATATACTAACATTGACGTAGGAAAATCCATTGGCACTATCAAAGTAAAACACTCAAGGAATAAGAAAATGTTATAATTCAGAATTCTTTGCGTATTTTTTAAGAAAAATTCATTTGAAGTTGGCAACCTTGAAATTAGCCCTATATTTTAACAATGTAAAAGCGACATGAAACACCCAAACTTTACTTAACTTTAAATATCACTGTCAGTCACGAAAAGTCGCAAGATCTTTTTGGTAGAATTGAAGTTGGATATCTGAGGATTAAGACAATGTTAACAACCCAGAGCATTTTGCGTTCCATGGGAAAAATCTTCTTTGAAGTTTACATCTTTTTCCCGTGTATTTCTTATGGACCAGTGATTCTTGATCCATTTCCTGCCCACTTTCTACCCAAATTTCAAGTAGTTTTATGTGAAAAATTTGAAATTTACCATCATTGTAAGTCAGAAATATTTTTAAGATGACTAACTCCAAAAAAAATGTTTAGGTGTCGAGTGTGAATTTTTGAATTTTGTCCACAGAGGGCCGTACTGTGCAGCATCTTGCTTGCTATGATGTGGCGGGAAATTTTTAATTGACCAAGGTGAAAGTAGACAAATCAAAAAATTCTCTGTTTAAAAGAATAATAATTTTCATGTCTTCGAATAAACACAATAAACATGAAAAATTACATTTTCTTCATTAAATATGATCAAAAGTGTTCCCAAATTTTGGAAATCCATCTCAATTGCTATACATGGAGGAAGCTTAAAATATTTGTGGAAATTGAATTTTGAAGAAAGATATTTTTTGTCGGTAATACGAGCAAACTGTCTTTCATAAACATTATCCGCCATCATGATCATGGATGGTCAATGGATGGTACCTTTGGATGGTACTAAAAGTTTTCCCCGAATCGAATCAATGAGATTTTCCCCTTAAATCAAACGTGGATTGCTGTGTATTTAAATCATTGTCGTGTATAGTTTATAAGCTTTTTATTATTATTACGTCCCCTCATCAACCGTGCCCACGAGTATGTAGTTTATTTTCGTGGCAGTAGTGGGGTAACCTACTTTTGCTCTCTTCAGTCTGTTACACACCTCTCCATCTATAGTTTCCGGAATTCTCGTCGCAATTTGCAGTTAAGTCACTGCACAAATATGCTATATTTTCTCTCTTCAATGGTGAAATAAAGTCTCGAATCCATTATATCCTCAATCATTCCACAATGGAGACGGAGCCAACGGTGGCTGAGCTGAAGCAGGAGATCGACCGCTTGCACAATGAGCTTGATCAAGCTGTCAGCGAGAAGATTCAGTCAGCAAAGTATGGATTGGGACTCCTTGAAGAGAAACAGTGCCTTTTGCTGAAGTGCGAGGAATTGGAGACCTCCTACGAAAATGCTAAGCATGATCTGGAGATAACACAGCAGGTTAGTAGGTAGATGAATAATACGACATTCGGATCGCGTCTAGCAGAAAGGAACTAAGCCACATCAGCTATTGCCAAATTTAACCGGGTAATTTTTAACAAGAGAACGTTTGTGCGGGTTGCTTTGAAAACTACAAAGAATTTGCTTTTGTTCTAAAGCAGAAAATTCACTGAAAGCACAAAAATCTGCATAGCCGTTTTCATGTACAAAATTAAATTGCCCCATCAAATTTTGCAGTAGCTGATGTGGCTTGGTTCCTTTCTGCTTAAGGTGGTCCATTTCATGCCCCCTCTCAGGATGTGTCTGCAAATTTTCTGGGAATAGAGTTATTATGATAAGTACCTGATATAGATATTCAGTCCTGGATTTCTGGGAGTTCATCACTCAATCGAACCTTTCAGTCAAGCATGTAATGTGTCAAAATTGGGTATGAATCTTTCTACTCAGACAGTGATGTATTCAGCTCTGAGATACCGTATTAATGCACATCTAAAGCGTACTGATGCATTTTATCATGAGCTTGCTTAATTTTTAAGGGGGCTCAACATAACACATTTTACCTAGTTTCGAGCTGTACCCTTTGGCTAATGCAATCAATTGAGGCATTTTTCGGTAGAGGGACGTAAGAGACTTCCAGTGCTGCTAAGATTGTGCAACTTCTACTTCTCAAGTTGTAAGCAACTTACTTACCAGACAGTTCTGCCATTAATTTTTCCCCAAATCTGCTGTGAGGTTTTCCTCACTATCTCCAGGACGTAAGTAAACTTTGAATGAATTTCATCTACTGCAAAAACCCAAATAAAATTGCACAATCTTAGCAGCATTGCAAGACTCATACAAATTTAAATGAAAAAGCCCTCAATTGAGGGTGGGGCTCGGAATAGTTTGAGCAGTAAATTTCAGAGCTGCATTCTCAATCTTGGCCAACTACCTATTAAGTTGCTCAGCGGCCTTAGTAAAGCATTAGAACATCAGAAGCATTAATAAACTCATGCTGGGCGATTGGCAAGTAGTAGCAAGACTTGTGAGTTGTCCAGCAATCCAGCGAGCTCTAGAGGCCGCTAGACCACTGGATTTTTCTTTTTTGTTATTTTGACGCCTGCCATATTCAAATTCATGAGAGCCACTGACACCAAAGAGGAGGAAAACTGACCTTCTAATTGGCACAGTAGTAGTACTGTGAGACACCAAAAAATAGAAGCTGACCGCTCGAATGAAAACACGGGAATGGAGGTGTCGTCAGATAAGTTGGCCATCGCTTAAGTTTGGTTTACAGGCGTTTTTGTGTCACTACTACTCACATAAAAATATCTGATTCTCGCAGAAGCGAGAACACAAGCTTGGATAGGTTTTTTAATACCTTCAAACCTCGTAACACTTCAATTTCTAGCCACAAAGAAAGCACAACCACATAAAAGTCGCAGATCATAATTGATGAGTAGTTTTTTTACGATATGATCATGAGACGGATGTTTTCAAGATGGATAGTAGGGAACTCGGTCTATGCAGATGCCTAAATTCGTGGTCTGCGCTTGCAAACGGAAAATGAACAATGGCCAACTTATCTGACGACACCTCTAAGAAATTTTTATCAAAATAAATGACAGTGGCAGCAAAAACTTTGAATAATTCAAACGAAAATGTTGTTTACAAACTTTATGCACTTTTAAATCCACAACAATGCGCTTGCTGGATATGGGGGCTCTTCATTCGCTTGCATGGCGTCAAAGGATTCCATTTCCAAACATCTTATTGTACCTAGAGGGTGCCTAAAATAAAATGCAGAAAGAAACTTACCTTTTTTTTTCTTCTTAGTCTTTTTAACTACTTAGTTAATCGTTCTCAGATAGCTGTACCTATGAACAAATTCATCAGTTCAACTATTGATTTTTTTTTCTTTTTGATTCCTCAGGCATTAGCAAAGTTCCAGACAAATCACAGAGTCACTACAATATCAGGCATCGAACAAGAGGAATCTTTGCTCTCCGAATCAGCTGCCAGAGAAACGTCCTTAAACTCGACTATCATTGACTTGGAAAATGAGCAAAGACAGGTAAATTTTAATAGTGATCTACAAAAAAATGCATGTCTTGTCAGAGGTTGAACCAAGAAGTTGACTTTTCAAAATCTGGGAGGTATTATACCGTATGAGGACTCTGAATTTTTCCATGCAATTAAGGATATTGTTTAAAAACTTGGCATCAGCCAGAGATGCTAGACTAGGTCAATGAATATACTGACAATGATCGGTTATACACTTGCAACCAGAAGTACAGTCTGTATGTAAAGCAAGTCAATGCGGGCCATGGGCTGGAAAATCTTAGAGGTATACATCTCCTAGTTGGGAAGGAGTCACTCAAGCCGTATTGGGTTCTCTAGTCCTGCATAGAGCTTTACTCTTGGCTAAGGCTTGTCAAACTGTTAGTCTCAAGTTCAACCTGCTAATAAACAGTTGTAGAGCTACTAGTGTATGTGGATTTCTTGGGAAACCTTGTATCACACTTAACTTTCCGAGTTTCGTCTTTATTCTGGTTTTAAGGAAACTTAGCATGAGCAGCTGCTTTGAAAAATTCCCATCAAGAAATTTTCCAGGTGCTGGTCACCCAGTGAATTACTTTTGTCTCTAGATAGGCACATTCTCATGAGTCCTTTTTGGCATATAATCGTTCCCTGTGATATGAAGATAGGTTGTATCAATCACATTGCCCACACAAAGCTCTCCTCTTTCCCCCTCTTACATCAAGCTGTGAACAAATGCAGTGCAAATGAGTTGCACTCAACCTTAAGTTCAATTTTTTTCCTTCTCTGTTTACTTCCCCTCCTGCTCTTTCTGGGTTTTTTTTTTTTTTTTTTTTCGGAGAGAGAAAACATAAGAACTATAATGTAATTAGTCTCAGTTTTAATTTTAGAGAGCCGAAGGATCCTGTCGTTTGTACTCACTATCTAGATTTGTTCTGTTTTTACAAATGTAATCAATTTTTTTAAATTTGTCTTCCAGCTTCGTATGGAACTTGAACGAGTTCAAGAAGAGAGGGATCGAATTATTCAAGATAATAATGATATCAATAAAGAAAAAGACAAACTGGAGGCTGAAAGGAAAGAACTACGCGCAAAACTACGGGATTTCAAATTCAGGGAGACTAGGTTAAATACAGAGTATTCAGAACTTGAAGAAGAGAATATCACGCTTCAAAAGCAAGTCTCTCTTCTGAAATCATCTCAGGTTTGTTTTCCCTCTATCGCATTCTGAGAACATGTTAGCACATTACCATGCTACAAAGGAAAGATATAAATCATTATTCTTTAAGAAACGCAACTTATCATTCATTCTAGACTCTAAAGTTATTTAATCAATATGGTAAAAATTTAAATGAAGTATCAAAATCCTCAGATTATACTTCATATTTGTTACTCTAGAATTTCTCATACAATCTTCTAAAAGTATAATTTTTTTATTGTTATTATAATTAAGACAATAATTTCATGAGCCTCAAGAAAACTAAAGGAAAATAAATAACAAGTAATGTAACATTTTATTTTTGATATTCTGGACTACTTTTATATTCTACTTAACCACTTAGTCATATTATGAAACAAAATAATAAATAAATATATCCTTGCAAATACTAAATTGATGACCATCTTCCTGTCTTTTGTAAATTGTTTCAGCTGTCTTTTGATGCAGATTTGGTTTCGTAATTTATTTGTTAGAACTCCTGCATCGAAAGATGAATAAAGAAAAGTAGATTAGGTACAAGGGAAGCATTTTGTTTTTCCTTGATGAGAGCCTCAAAAGTGTGAAAGATTCTAATATTTTGGTCCGAGATGTAATACAAGCCTGGCTCTTCACAATTACGTTTTGATCAATATTGATGTAATGTGCAAAATTGTTTTCAACAGTGATCTCCACTTTCTCCTCTGTTTATTAAATTTGTTTTAAATTTCTTTCATCAGGTGGAATTTGAAGGGGCAAAGCATGAAAATCGCCGCCTGCAAGAAGATGTGTTAGTCCTTCAGAATCAAGTCGAAGATTTGATAAAAATAAAGGCTATCATTGAGAAGAAGTTGGAGGAAGCCTTGGAATCTTTGCAGGTAATTAGTTTCATAAGCAGAAGTTGCAGATTGTGAGAAAATGTATTTTATGACAGATTTATTGCTTGTTTCTCAAATACATTTAACTTTCCTTAAACCCCTAAGCCCGAAAAGGTGGGACGACCTATGATGTCTCCTTAACTCCAATACCTCTTCAATTATTTTTGAGACTCCATAGTCAAAATCAGAAATTAACCAACTATATCCTTAAATATTTCTTTAACTTTTTCACTCAATTGCTGAAAATTGAAACAAATCAATGATCTACTCACTTTGAAAGAAGATTGTAGATATTTTGTGTCACAAAGCTTTCACCTAGTCTTTCAACTTTTTGAGAATCATTAAATGAGTAAGAAAGGTCAAAATCACTCAAAAAATGAGGTTCAGGAGATGCTGCTGGATTGCTGCAGGGACGAAGTGGCCATACTGACTGGCCTACTTTGGGATCTAAGCAACTGGCTTACTGCTGTCAAGTGTCAAGCATCCTGAAGTTAGATCCTGCTGCCCAACTCTAAGTAATCTATTAGGCCTGAGAGCCATCACTACTAAGCTACTGGGAAGTATCTTTAAAGCTTTAAATTGGTCATGGCCCAGAGGTGGCTCAAAATTGAGGAGTGATGAGTTTTGACAATTGATGCAGATGTAACCAAACAGACTTTTAAAATATGACCATACCCTCACCAAAGTTGGACTCAGTTATTTCGGTTTTTTCATAGATCGGTAGTGTCAACAATTACTATCACCAGGAATGATCAACAACTCAATTGTAACAGTGCGCTCTGAATATATTGAAGGCATGTCATTCATGGCCATGATGATGTAAGTGCTCTTAAAACCTGTCACCTGTGAGGATTGAACTTGGCAGCGAATGGGTCAGTTGCGCGAGTCCCAGAATTGTGTTTTGATGCTCGATTCTTGTCAATCAACTAAAAATATGAAGATCTGTCCAAACAGCAACTTTCTACTTTAAGTATTAATGGCGATATCGCACTTTGAAAAAACTGGATTTTTGACGTCATCCACCGCGGTAGTCATACCCTTGCTTTCTTACACCTTGCTTTCATCCGAGTTACATGTTGAATAACCAGTGCAAGTGGGCGTCACACCGACTGATGAAAGCAAGGTGAAAGAAACCGAGGGTGTCACTACCATGGTGGATGACATCATAAATCGAATCTTTCAAAGCTTCATATCTCAATTAATATTGAATGTAAAAAGTTGCTGTTTGGACAGAGCTTATTATTTTTAGCTAATCTACAAGAATCAAACATCAAAACACAACTCTTATGACCAGCACAACTGACCAATTGCCTTAACCAGCAGACCCATGAGGTTGCTTACTATTTAACTGTTATTTTCTTGCATTGTTTCATTAAAAGTTCCTTTATCTAATTTCAGATGGAGAGGGAGGCAAAATTTGCAATGAAAAAAGAACTGGATCACAGACTTAACAATGAGTCAATCTTCAACTTGAACAATTTAGCTTTCAGCTTGAGAGGTATGCCCGATACTCATTTTCCATTTATTTCCCTTTAATTTTGTTCTTTTTTCCCCTCTGTGTAAAACTCAAGGCTACAATTTTTCAATGAACTAAATCAGAGGGACCATTATCAAAAGTGGGGTCCACACAATAAATTGTGACTGATTCCTCACTTGCCGATTCATTCAAAACTAGAAGTTATACACACTCTCACCTCTCAAGCAAAATTGTGCTAGAAGAAAATGTAGAAAAATCTACTTTTACGTGTCTCGAACATCAAAAGAAAATTACCTGGTGATGTTTTACATTGTTAATTTTAAGTGAAGAGTAGTTTGATGTTTTAAACTCACAGGAAATTTTGTCATTACTTGTTGGATAATATCTGGCTATTCTTGCTCATCACCAATGTCTCATCTTCTTTTGTAACATCAATGTTAGTCACTCCCATCTTTTTTAAATCATAACTGAGTGGAATGTGTAAACTAAAAATACTAAGTGTTTGCTCCTAATCCGTCAGCTCCAACTGGTGTGAATCTTGTTTTGATCAAGCAATAGGTAGTTAGTATTACCTCTTCACTAGATCCAAACTAGAACAGTGAAATTTCCACTGTTTCTTTATTGAGAGCTCCTCATGTCATCGCTGGTTTTGTACATTGTAGGCATGACTGAAGACCATCCAATGGGCAGTGATGAAGAAGATGAGCTGCCTTCTTTACAGACAATTGAAGCTGACTTAAAAATGGACCTGGCCTCCCCAGACAACAAACAAGTTGACCTTTTCAGCGAAATTCATTTGAATGAAATCAAGAAACTGGAGAAACAACTAGAGCTGGTAGGTTCCACGATAATCCTCTTCGAATGTATATTGTCAGTCTATTTTGAATACTTAGGATGTTCTTATGATGTGCTCTCTCATTGGCCGCATTTTTAAATGAAATTTTTTTTTAAACTCACCCTAATCTTTTTACTTGCTGTATTGGTGAGAAGAACCATTTTCTCCAAGAATATTTGATTGATTCTCTTTTTTTTTTTTCAGGTGGAAACTGAAAAAACATCATTAGTTCAAAAGTTCAAGGAAGCACAGGCATCCTCAGACCATAATCACAAACTATTAGAAAACATTGTCGCCAGGATAACAAAACTAGATGCATACATCAGTTCTCTTGACAGCCTCACAAAGAAGGCTCAAGAGAAAATCAACAGTGCTAAAGAGGTTTGTCAACGCTTTTTTATTTATTTTACCTCAGACACTCTGATGTTTTAAAAAAATTACTAAGAAATTTTAATCTTCTTATTAATCATCAACTTTCACTTCTTGTTCACTTTAGGCTCTTTAAATAATTGTAAATTTTTTTGCTCTTATCCCAACATTTTATTCTAGTACCTGTTTTATTTTTAAGTGTTTCACAAAATAATGTAATTGTGCAGATTCTTGCATGTGAGATCTGCCCCCAGTGAGTCTCAAACTACCGCCTCTTCTCCTACTCCTTCACTAAGAGCCTCTAATCCTCTCTCCTCAATTTCCTATTAATGACCATCAAGAACTTAGCTCTGTACTAAATAATTATATCACATTTCTTTTCCAGTTGTTTTACCTAGAACTTTTTTCTTTTCAGGATTCTGAACAAAAATTGGATCCTGTGATACTGCAAAATGTTCAATGGTTCATTCTCGTTGAACAAGAGGCTGCCAAAATTCAGGTAGACTTAGATGAGCTGATCAAAAACCTTGACAATCCAGACACTAACTTCCAACTGAAAACGGAAATAACGGAGCTAAAGAACAAGGTATGCAAGTGGAGAGTGTTTCTCAAAAAGGGAGGGACCAAGTGACGTTGGGATGGAACTGAAGAAAATATACTTGAAGTTTTACCTCTCTGTAAGGCTGGAAAAAACATCAACACAAAAGACAATTTTCCTTAATCCTTACAAAATATTTTATATGGATTTTAAATTTTTGATAGGATTAAGAAGCCTGTAAATAAGCTCAGAACTAGCTTTATCATCATATTATAGCTTTATCAAGAATAACATTTACACCTCTCAAAAGTCCCAAACTTAAAAGATGGATGATTCTTAAAATTATTTTTGTATAAAAGTCATCCATCCTGTACATTCTGGACCTCAAAGATGTGCAAGTGTTATTCTCATCGTGGTGATATCGAAAATAGATGAATTTAATTATATGAAGAAGTGACTCAACACCCCCAAGTTGGAAATATTTAGTGTTATATTTCAATAATAATGTTATAATGTGTTCTTTTCATCTTGTGTAGGTTTTAGCAGCTCAGCAAAAATCTTTGGAATTGGAATCAAATGTTCACTATTTCACATCTCAAGTTGAAAGTATTTTCAGTACAGCTCAGAATAGTTTTCTATCAGTCACTGATGACCTGGCTCAATTGTATCACCATTTGTGTGCTGTAAATGGTGAAACTCCATCTTTGGTCATCTTAGACCATGAAAAACATGGAGAGGGTAAGATAATTTTTGATTGATTTCATGTCTTGGTGTTCAAATCTTTCTGCTACTGGATGAAGATCACCATGTCTCCACCTGATCGTTAAGTGCACTACTAAAAATATTTAGGACAAAAAACACAGTAGCTCATTTGTACTATAAATTTATAAGTTTTCTCGGAAATTTTTACAGTTCAAAAATTTTTAAGTAAACTTTGGCCAGTTCACAATGAATGCAATCCTCAAGACTTATAATTTGAGTGCGCAGGAAATTTATATTTTTGCCCTCTTAATTTGTTTATCAGTTTAATTGCTTTGTTTGCACAGTCTCCTTTCATAATGAGAAAAATCTGGAGCATTAAAAATAGGAAGACTAGATGGAGAAAATTTCTTACAATGCCAACTATCCTAATTGATCCTAATTTATCTCAACTTTAGCTATGGGCTGGACTGTCTTGATAGTGACTGTAATTTTGCTTATTTATTCAGTTCCTAACAGTAAATCTTAAGTCACCAGATTTGAAGAAATTAAGCTGAGAGTGTCACACCTTTTGTACGGTACGGTTTTCTGCTCAAAGGGATGCTGTGTTTCCAAGTATTGCCAAGAAAATTTGCCGAATTTTCGTCACTGTTATTATATTAAGAGCTAAAAATCAAATTATTGTACTGATTTCCATATATTGCTATCTTGAATTTTCAGGTAGCGAAAATATTTCTGATGAGGTGAAACAAGAAACAAGCACTGTTGGCTCCCAGGTCAAATCGGAAGCCATAATCCAAGACCTCCAGAAAATATCAGAAGTCTCGAGTATTATAAAACACTCTGAAACCATTTTGGACCAAGTAAAGCATATACGAACTGCAATATCAACCACTATTGATAACACCAAGAACAAACCCAGGAACGCTCCATTTGAAGGTAAAATTTTACATTCCCCTTCTATCTCTCCTCATCCCAATCAAATGCCTACTCTTTCATACGATCTCCAAAAAGTTAAAACCATGCACATCATGGCACAAAAAAGAGCTCAGGAATAGATTCATCTTTTTAAAAGAGCATTAAACATTTATTGAAAATGAAAATTGGCTTTGAATTTATTTTAAGTAGGAGCAAAAGTTAAAGATCAAGAAAGTTGGTTTTGAAAGGTCCTGTTCTTTATTGACATTATTCCACTATCCTGTTATTTATTGATTCATCTCCTACTAAGAGCAGAATGACTCTATTGTCTTCAGGTCATTGCTCGAAATCATTCCAAATGATGGAGCCGATAACCATAAAAAATTACTAGAATTGTGCTGGAAGGGTGCATGAAATTTTCAGGGAATTATCTCTACCCTATAGATTTACAATGCAGACATAGACTCCAAAAATCTGAGCCCTCTCAGAACAAAGGGCCCCTCCATCTCCCCCAATTTTGAATCCTTGTAACTTCAGAACGATTGATGTCAGAGTAACTTTTTAAAGGCAGAATGATCGGAAATTTTATTTCTAGCGAAATTAGTATCTATGAATTTCTCTGTACAGAAAATATCCAGGGGTATTGTGTTGTTTTTTAGCTTAAGGAATTCTTTTAAATTTTTTCAGCTTTTTAATGAAATTCTCTGTTTTCCTCCTTTATTTTTAGCTGCATCTCATCAAAACAATGAAGAAGTGAATGAACTCACTGAACAAATCATAAGACTGAAGTCGTTGTTATCGACAAAACGTGAACAAATAGCAACTTTGCGAACAGTGTTGAAATCAAATAAGAAAACAGCCGAAGATGCTCTGAACAACCTAAAATCTAAGTATGATACGGAAAAATCTGTTGTCTCTGAAACTATGATGAAAATGCGAAACGAACTTAGAGTGTTGAAAGAGGAACAAGCAACTTTTTCAAGTAAGTAACACGTCAGGTACTCATTCTACTAGGTTCTAAAAGTGAGAAAAAAATAAAGGAATAAGTATTTCTCCATTTAAAATTTCTGAAAGAGGTATCAAAAAGGAATCAAAAAATTTTGTCAAACAGCCAGTGATAATTTCATAGTGATCTGTGATCTCATTATCTGATCTCAATTTAAAAGTCAGAATTTTTTGCATATTGCTGGGTGTGGAAACAGATTTAGAAGGAATTCAAGAACACATTAGAATCTTTCAATGATCAAGGATGGCTGCATTTTTTAAGGACTTCCTTTTCCATTAAAAATGAAAACTTTGGGCATCCCAGCGTTGTTCAAAAAGGAAAGAAAGAAAAAAAAACATGCCTTCATTAATGGTCTTCTTTTAAATTAATTGATTGATCAGCTGACAATTCTCATCAAATCTAGCATGCCACCCCCCAAACCATAACCTCTTGGGAAGCTTATACATACTCTAGCATTCTCAATTCTAAAGCATTCCAATTCTCTAGCATCCTAAATAGCATACTTAGAGATTGGAAAATGTTGCCGCAAAATTTTTAAAATGTGCTGAAGAATCTGAAAACTAGACAGAAGCATTGATCATAACCCCCTGATCACGAAAATATAAAACGAAATAACCCAAAATCGGTCATTTTCCGGATTCAACGCCAAATCGCGCAAAATCGACGAAATCCGTAAATTTTCGTGAAAATTATGCATGTACGCATGCCAGACGAAGTTTGCGGCGCTTTTTTTCAGAGTTGTTCCTGAGCATTGGTCGTCTATAAGCAAATTTTTTCGTCAACTGTCAACAAAATCCGTAAACTGTTGTCCTGCGTGTTAATGAAGTTTTTATTTTCATCAACTATTCAGAGCCCAGTGGCCTGTTTACAGAACTGTTGATGAGTTTCACTCTCTAACCAGAAACGTCAGCATGTTCGATAATGTGGTCCTGAGTACGTTTAGAAATTGTAAACTATTGATGTAAATTAAATTACACTTAATTATGGGCGATTTGGCAGGAAAGGCTAAGCGACGCCCATCTAATCACAACCAGAGAACGAAAATTTGTTTTCATGACGTATTTCATAAATTGTTTAAGGATTTTGTCAACAATTATTGAACAAAACTTTGCTTATTGGCTACTAGCTAAACATAACCTCAGTTAATTTTAACATGTGATCATGTACAAATGTAGACTGACACATATTGATAGAAAGCGCTTTTAAAAATCTGGCAACAGATATTTTTAATCAAGAAAAAATTAATAGTCTTAAAGTGCCTCTGTAAAATAGTACTAGAGAGAGAGAGACTGAGCGATGGCTTGTTAAATCAAATTAAAAACTTTATTTTAAGCTGTCGAACGCAAAAAACGCCACAAAAATTACGGCGAAATCGGAAAAAATAACAGCGAAATTGGGGAAAAATGAAAGCAAAATTTTCCAATCTCTACATACCTATTCCATCTCGTTGCATGCCCTCTGCGTCTCTACCAGGAGGAACCTAGTTTTGGACCTTCTTTGGCAACACATCTGTCCATCAAGTCCAAAGTTTTTCCCCCCTAAAATTTCCTATCTGTCAAGCCTGTTATAGCAATATTAGTTTGTATCTGAGGCTTCCTCAGAATGGTGGGGGTGAGCCTCTAATCACATTCATAGTCTTCCCTGTGATGTATATTTTCTTACTTCTACTATCAGTTTTATCTAATGGAGAACATCTCTTCTTAAGGTCTAAGGGCAATGTTTGCCGCCCGTTGCGAAGAATATGCAACGCAAGTGGATGAACTCAAACACCAGTTAGCAGCAGCTGAAGAGGAGAAGAAAACTCTGAATCAACTATTGAGACTGGCAGTCCAACAAAAGATACACCTTAATCAGCGACTAGAGGATTTTGAACTGGACCGCGAGATTAGGAATGCCCGCCGGCCACCAGCCAACAAACAGAGACCTCGGCGTGACTATTTATAGCATATGGTTGTGAGGTTTCGCTCCAGGTCGCTGTCTTCATTCCGGAAACAGGATCAGTCCACTAGCCGTAGTTGTACTCCAGACAATTAACTGTCAGCAAGGTTTTTCACTCTAAAAATTAAGATATTAAAAATTATAAAGCCAATCGTTACTTAGTGCAAAAGCACTGAACGTACTTTAAAATTAGAGTTGGGCAAGGCTTTTTTAAACATAAGATTCTGGGAGAAAGGGTTCTTTGAAACTTACAAGGGGGTTCTGAGTCATATGTATGTCCATTGCTTTACAGCATTCTCTGGCGCTCTATCATCCCTAACTGCCGCTGTTCCCTATTAAACCATAACCTTTCGGGAACCGTAAACTTTAGCATTTCAAATTCCGTCTCTATACCCTCTGCAGCCCTCCCGGGAAGGACTCTGTCCAGGACATATTTTGGCAAAGTGTTCTTTGCCAAGCTCAAAGTTTTTCCTCCTAAAATTTCCCACAGTTGTCAGGAAATCTCTACATCTGTCAAGTTTATCTTTGCAGTTGTACATAAAGCCATAAAATATGAGTGTATATAAGATTTTTTACTCCTCACTGGTTGTGGCCAAGTTTTAAATTAGATAACTACTTTTACTAGTCTCAGCATGTCTCAAAACCCGAAGGTCCAGAATGAACTTCTGGTTTTTTTTTTTTTAGAATAAAGTTACTCTGAGCAACCTGGAGCTCTAAAAGTTGTAACTTTTGTGTATAATCTGGGTTAATAAGTCAGTTCTTGCTTTTATCAAGTAATTTTAAGGTAACGATTTTTAATAACATAGCAAATTTGTTGGTACTTATTTGATTTTTTATTCAGTTTTTGCATTTAAATCTTAGTGATTTAGCAATTAAATTACTCGCGTCTGACTTTCTGAAGTCATTCTAATTGCAAATTCTGTTGTGATCACTAGCATCAGCTAGAAAGATCTCAGCTTTAATTCCTGTCAAAAAATTAAGCTGACCAGAAACAGAGGAAAGAAAAAAAAAATGACAGACATGTTTTACGCCCCTTGGGTTCATTTAGACCCCTTTTTTAGCAAGTTGACTACAACTCAAATATTTTCCAAGTAAATGTGAAAGGATGCATCCTCCCTTCTCCTGCTTAGAGAACTTGGTCCATCTGAGTTATTTTTCTTTTTTTTAATCATAATGAATCTGGATAATGTCTGAAAGAAATACCCAGCTTGCAGTTTTACTCTGTTGCGAGGATCATCAACTCTGTAAGTATTAATCGTAGTGCAATTATGTTTTTACCTCCTAAAAATAGACTTTTTATCCGTGTTATTAATTTTATTTATTGATTTATTTGTGTATTTATACGTGCATGCTACTTTGTTTGAAGGGTCCAGGATATAACTTTTGATTATCCTTAATGCAACATTTTTCTTTGAAACACTAAAGCTGATGAAGTGGGCACAAAGAACCTCAAGTTTAAGAAAAAAACCAACAAAACAATAAGAGATTTTGGAATCACCAAATTTCAGATTTCTTTCACCAGGTGTAAGTCTTTAGTTCCGTCACTTTGCTCCAGCAAAAAATGTTCAAAAAAAGTATGTGGCTCTTGTTGTGTCTTTTGGACTCTGCACTCCAGAAATAAATAGAAATTTGACTCCCCCCCCAAAAAAAAAAAAAAATTAATAATAATTGCAATTGAAGAATATTTTTGTCAAATTGTGGATATTGTATCATATTTATTAATTATTCTATTTTTAGTAGGTCCCTTTGAAACTTCAGATACTCACCATCAGTTTTTCCCTTAAAGCATTTTGATAAGAATAATGTGGTACTTGATGAATCTACTAATCTGTAGCATTATTGATCTTTTTTTGTTTTTGTTTTTTTGTGTAACTCACCAAAAGAACTGGAAATTCCTTATTCGTCTGTTTAATGTACCAAATTTAATAACACATTAAATTCATGCTATCCTGTGCTAGATGCTGAACGCTTCAATCTCATTTTTGCCAGCAAATTAATGTTTAAAAAAAAAGTAATTAGTTTCCATATTGGTTAGATGGCAAAAATTATCAGTTTTCGATCTCAAAATTCATTTTTGTTTTAAAGGAAACAAGTTCCATTGTTAAAAGAGTTCCGATAAAAAGTCCATTTATTTTATTAGGAATGTCTACTCTTCCTAAAACCATATGATGGTTGCACTATTTTCCCAGGAACTTGTACCATCTTTCGGATTTTCTGTAAGCCCCCCCCCCCTTCCTCACTTAAATGATCCTCACCAGTCCAAGAGGGGAAGCTATTTGGTTTCTCATTTGGAAAAAGTCCCCCCCTCGTGTTTTTGAGTTTCCCAGGCAATTCCTTCATCCTCATATTGGCACTAAATCTGCATTAACAAAATTTCTAAAATTGAAAAGCCAATCAGGCAATACTTATACAGGGTGATCCAAAAGTCCCTTCCACCCCCTCTAACTTTTTACCTAATTGAGATAAAGATTTGAAACTTGGGGGATAGTCCTAGGTCAACGGGAGCTACTTTTTGGCCCCCCTAAAATTTTCAGGGGGGCCCCCCTTGGGGGGGCAACGGCCCCCAACTTTTAATTTTCAAATGGGAAGACCCCCTTTGTGATAGCTCGTTCGAAAGAGCATAAAAAAAGAAAACTTTTCGCGCAAACCCGAAGTCAATATCTCAAACCGTTTCAAAATGGCGGCCGGTTAAAGTTCAAAATGGCCGAAAATTCACACCGGTTATTTGTCGATGGATTTGCGCGAAAATCGGAATGTAGGGGTATTTTGACACGAGAAAAACGAATTTGACGTTAGATTTTCAAAAAAACCGAAATTTCCAAAATGGCCGCCGGTTAAAGTTCAAAATGACCAAAAATTGATTTTTTTAGAAATCTAAGTTCAAATTTGTTTATCTTATGCCAAAATACTCTCAAATTCCATTTTTTAGGCAAATCCATCAGCAAAAAACCGAGGTGACAATTTTCGGCCATTTTAAACTTCAACCGGCGGCCATTTTGGAAATTTTGATTTTTTTTGAAAATCTAACGTCAAATTCGTTTTTCTCGTGTCAAAATACCCCTACATACCGATTTTCGCGCAAATCCATCGACAAATAACCGGTGTGAATTTTCGGCCATTTTGAACTTTAACCGGCCGCCATTTTGAAACGGTTTGAGATATTGACTTCGGGTTTGCGCGAAAAGTTTTCTTTTTTTATGCTCTTTCGAACGAGCTATCACAAAGGGGGTCTTCCCATTTGAAAATTAAAAGTTGGGGGCCGTTGCCCCCCCAAGGGGGGCCCCCCTGAAAATTTTAGGGGGGCCAAAAAGTAGTTCCCTTTGACCTAGGAATATTCCCCAAGTTTCAAATCTTTATCTTAATTAGGTAAAAAGTTAGAGGGGGTGGAAGGGACTTTTGGATCACCCTGTATCTCAATTCTCCATCTGACCCAACTCTCATGATTAATTGAGTTGTATTTTTATTTGTTGCATTTATAAACTCAAAGGATTTTTTTTTTTTTTTTTTTAAATGTGTGTGCTTGTTTACTAGCATTCCTTGATAAAGCTGTGGATGATCTTCATTTTTAAAACAAGATAAAGAAAGTAATAATCTCATTCAAAATACTGTGCTATTATGTCCAAGAATTAATCACCTCAGCGTCTCTTCCCTGTATTCACTTTTATTTTATTTTTAATTTTTATTTCACTCAATATTTACGGACTCACTAATTGTGTACTCAATTGCTCTTGGATCACGAGTTAGCTTCTAATTGGTCCTCTTATGTACAGTGGTGTTCAAGGCGTGCACATTTTTTCATTCTTTCTTAGTCATACTTGTTAATTGTTTGTAAAGGGGTGCCAAAATTTCAAGTGAGGTTCGTTTCCTGGAGTTTTGGCTTTAATTTTTCTCGGCAGTCATCTGAACTGATTGATTTCTTGCTGATCATGGTTAGTTGAGTCACTTATTGTGGAATTTCACCTCCACAATTTTATGAGTGATTGATGCTGTACTTTGAGTCCATTTTGTCAGACGAATTGCCGTATCCAGGATGTATTTTTCTCTATAGCACCCAGTAATCGGCACATGGAAGTTTGATACATTCCTTACAGTTCTTGATGACTGCCTGAGGTAATGCAACTATTTTTCCATAAAGCTCGTAGTGGTGCCAGATTTAATAACAAAATTTTTCTTTGTGGCAAAAATTCAGCCAAAAAATTACAGTGATACTGCAATTATTTTTATTTTTATTTTTATTTTTATTTTAAATACTCCATTTTATCATAGAAAAGCTCCAGACGTAAATTTGGACTGTGCGAAGCAAGTGCCATTTGATGAGATTTAATGCCAGCAACAAAGAGGGCCAAGTCAATAGTAGTTTTAGCCGGAGCTTCAGTGTCTGTTTTGGTTTGTTAGTGACCAATTATTCTTCACTCCTTTTTCTGTCATTAAATTATCAAAATTTATCATTTTTGTATTTGTCTAAAACATCAATCAAGGATGATCAATGACCCAACGTAGAGAATTATATATTCTCAATCAAGGTCCATTTTCAAAGATTTGACAAAATCTAATTTTGTTTCATGTCATGAACCAAGTTTCCAAGTTACTTTCAGATAATTCTGAAATTTTGTTTCTCAATATTTGTCCGTCCTCAAAAATCCCGTCCTGTGGCTGGAAGCTGCGTTAAAAAAATTCAACCATTATAAGTCAATATTTGGTGTCATTTTTAAAAGCAATCATTTACTGTTAAGAAAAAAAAAAAAAACTTTATCTGAAATGAACGCTGCATCCTAGAGTAAGAAGAAAAATGTATGAAATGTTTTAAGTGATGATCGAGGTTTATCAAGCTCAAAAAACTTATTGAAGTTTATGCAGGGCCAAAATGTTCATTGCCCTTATTTATTCAATTCTATTTGTTCTGTTATAATATGTTTTCACTATTTCTTTGTTCATTCTTTGTCATAGAATTGAAGGTATGACTTCTTTTTCAGTTATTTATTTCTATGTATTTCTTAGCAGAGCAATTAGATTACGTCTCTGGATTTCACTTGTTGTATGATGACAGTTCTAAAATGTAAAGAATGTCAGGTATCACGATCCGTCTTGAAAGTGTTGTGGTTTTATCCTTTGTTATTGTATTTTGTATGTTTGCTATAAATATTGTAACTAATATTTTTATATCTACAGTGATATCTATTTAGGTTGTGTCTTCAAAATAAATACCTAGAAAAAAGTCAAATGCTTTGAGAAATGCAGGATTACCTTTTTCCCCCAATTTTTTATGTATTTTTCCAATGAACTCATTGAGCGATCAGTGACTATTACAGTTAATTGCCTGAAACAACTCTGTCACATAAAATAAGTATGAAATGTTAAGATACAACCTTTTTCATCCATCATTGCAATTTTTGAGAGATGCAAGCCTCTTGTTAGAGTATAATCCTGCGGATATTACAGAATTCCTATGAATTTTAATTTTTAATGCCACCTACTGACTTCAGTAATTTTCATTTTAAGCCTTTACTGCTCCAAATTTTTTTCAGTAAAAACAATCCCAATGTTTTTACTCTGTAAAATTAATCCGTCCCCCAAAATTCTAATTAAATTATAATTTTGTTTTTCTTTCTCAATGATCAGCTGTGTTAAGGATGTTAAATAGTAGTTAAAATGTAAGTTTGCGAGTATTACTTAGAAGGATGAAATGGCTTCAAGATTCCAACTTTGTTTTAGATCTTTCTTCAGTGCCTTGTCAAATAGCTGAGAGGAAGTTTGCAACTATCTGCATACAGACCTGCATGTTCTCAAGCCATGACTTTTTTCTTTGTGTCCGCAGGTAGCTGCTTGCAAATTAACTCTTAAAATGTTCACACTTTGTTCTTTCTGGAAAGCCCAGCAAGGCGTTGTTGGTGTGTGTTTTTTTTCCTCTTCAGGTCAATTTTTTCCTAGTGAAAATAGTTTCTGTATGACATGTCTTTGGCAAAAAGTTGGTTGTATTCAAATCGGATGGTATGGTGTTCAATTAACCCTTCTATTAAGTTCCATTAGAGGTCAAGAAGAAAATAATAAAAAAGAGATTCTGAGTTTTTGCTCATGATAAAGTCAGCATCAAATGAGACATGGTCTTCCAGATTTGGAAGAAGAACTAAGAGACTGCGAGCCACGAACATTTGAGTTCATGGATCAACACAAGATTTTCAATCAAATCTCTGGAATTCATGGTTCTCTCTCTCTCTCTCTCTCTTTATTATTATTCCATGTATACATAGGTATCATCGCATACTTGAATATTGAAGTGTTATAATCGCATTGTAATTTCAAATACATTACATCTAATGTACGATTAAAATTTATTTTAAAAAAAAAGTCTTGAATTAAGTTATTGGTCTTTAGACAGAAAGACTTAGGACCCGTCGAGCTATAAATAAGTAAAATCTTTTAACCTTATTACACAGGTAAAATACAGCGGCTTTATCTGTAAATATTCATCCTTTGGTGATTTTTTTTTATTTATTTTTTTTTTACTAATTTTTTTTCCCTTTCAGTTAGCAGAGCATAAATGTTTTTTCGTCTTCTGTAACGAGTTAGTTGAACCTATTTCAAAGGTTAGCTTTGACATATCAGTTGAATACTCAAAAATTTTATTCTTTATGCTATCATTAATATTTCTAATGTTTGTCTTCTAATTTTAGGTGGCATACTAATTAACAAAGACTAACAATCTGAAATAAAGATGTAATAGGTAATGAAGTCTACTCATTGGAAAAAGAACTTTTCAGTCTTTTTATGAGTGAGATGAAACCCAAATCTTGCCAATTCCTTTAAAATTTTACCTTAAATTTTGTATTGCTGTTTACAAAAATGCTCATTATAATCTCTCAAGGTCAAAAAAGTCTCATGACTGCCAAACCACCCTCTTAGATTTGTTTGATTTTAAAAAACAATGACATCTAATAATCGAAACTCTAAATTCTGGTCATAATTTTTGTGAAAGTTCTGTTTTGCGCAGGGATTGCATCAACCTCAGTTTCAATGAAAGAAAGTCATGATTTTTAAAAATTTTCTAGTGTTTTATTCTTCAATTCAAGATTTTAAACACAATAATCAACTGTTTTGTTCGGCTACTTTTGTGTGGCAAAATATCGCCAGCCTCGGTTTTGTTTATCCACCTATTCAAAAATTATGAAAGTCAAAAAGTTTTCTTTGGGATACTAACGCCTCCAAAAAAGGAGTTTTTTATGTAAAAATCCCTAATTTTGGTGCTTTGTTTGTTACTTAGTTCACTTTTTGGTATTTTCGTTCCATTCATAGCCATGCCTTCTGTCATTTTGTCCTTGCTGTGTTTAGTCGTGATTAGCTCCTTAATATTCAAATATTACTTTATCATTTTTTCATGTATGTAGCTACAGTTAGTCAAACTTGGCTGATGACATATTTTCTTGTCAAATTTCTACACAAATGATAGATTGATTAACTATAAGATCACTCTTAAATGAACGAAGGATAAAATTACATGGCTCTATTTGTAAGTCTTTAATTTGTAAATTAAATGCCACACATAATTTTATAAAACAATGAGGAATGTTTTAATGTTGTTTTAACAAAAATCACACACAAAAAAATGTTACTATCTCTTCAATAATTCCAGTCAAATAGAAGTTTGTGTCAATTACACGAAAATTTTTCCCTCCCAGTCTTTCTAAGAAAAAACAGATACATTTTTAAAATTTTCGTCTTGGTGAGAGTGTATGTTTTTTTTAAAATTTGGTTCAACCTCCACGTATCATCTCATTTTAAGCTAATCAATAGAAACTGCAAAAATTTAGCCAAAGATCAGAGAACATTAAGAGCGCCATCGTACATTATTTGCCCTAAGATGTGATGCATTCATGTGCTGACACCCTGGTCAGGAACAAAAAGTAAATATAAGTATATTGTGATCTTGGAAGCCATCCAATGCAAATAGCTTGTAATCATCTGACAAATTTTCTTGTTAAGTATATTTTCTTATCAATAAGGTATGGGTTTAGTATGTCCACTCATTTTAGCAAATTTTTACTTCTGTTCTATTTTTGCATAAATCTAAGTTAACCAAATTGTAGGCCCTTAGTCCCTCCATGTTGGTTTTTTTTAAAATTTCAGTTACAAGTTAACTGAAAAAAAAAAAATGAAAACTTCTTTTAGAGTTTTAATATTCAGTGTTTTTAGTAGTTTGCAGCTTCTTTCCATTACAAATGTTTTTTTTTTTTTTCTTGAAAATCAATGATCGGTAATATTTGTGTGCAAAGAAATGTCAAAACAGCAATGTTTTCTTTTTTCATGCATGTACTGATGTAGCTTTTTTCAATCCTGATTACAATCAAAAGAAATCTTGAAGACATTTTTAAACTATCCAAAACTCATCATAGCTTCATTGTTTCTTTAATGGATAATCTCAAGATCAAATAATGACATTCTTCACTTCAAGGCAGTCTAAGAGCCATTTGTGATTCCCTTAATTTCGTCAAAACTCAGAACAAGTTATTGAACTTGTTGAATTCTGTTCTCTTTCTTATGTATTTATCACAGTTTTTGTACTTTCTGAAACTGTTGCAATTAACATGCTTCATTTGCGAGAGTCCAACTCAATATCAAGTAATGTTATTTTTATACTTCACTTATGTTTAAGGTAGATAAAATTGATGTTATCAATAAAATTTGAAAATCGCATTTTTTTTTGTTTTTTTTCTCTCAATTTTATTCTCACCTTTTTGTTGCAAATTTTACCTCTATTTTTAGTCATCGAAAACTTCTTTAATTTTCATTCTATAAAATTTGTCACCGTCAACAGCAAAAAAAAATGAAAGGAAAAAAAAAGAAAAGAAAAAAAAACCATACTCGCCAGTACTGATAGTTTAGTGCTACGATCGATTCAATTCTAAGTTTATTCTGGAATTCATATTTCTATCATCGATTGGGGTAGTTTATTCCACAATTTTGCTCTCAGAATTTTTTTGAATAAATTCCGTGACATGGTGCTCAAAATCCTTTTTGAAACACTCCTCAGTTAGTGGGGAATTCCATTGCTGGAAAAAACGCCGAAGTGCTTTTCGACCGTGAGCCCGAGAAAGAACGGCCGTGAACAAGGAGTAAAGCTCAACTTGGATTGGTCGATACGCTGTTTTGTCGTCTGTCTCTTTCGCACTCATTGATAAGATGCAGCACGTCTAAGGGATACCTGGCGCAATATACACCGTCGCTCACCAGGGCCGAATTTAGGGGGTGGCCACATGGGCCCCGGTCCATGGCGGAAAATTTAGGGGGGCGGCAAATTTTGCAATTTTTTAAATGTAGGTATAAAAAAAATTACAAACGAGAAAAGGCGACAAAATCATTTCCTGAGAGTAGAGTAATTTCTAATTTGTTCGTCTTTCGGTGATGCAAGAGACAGCACCTTTCATTAGTCTAGTTAAGAGAGAATACCATACACCCAATTTGGCCTGGAACGGCGTGGCGCAGAGAGCAATGATGACGAGGACTTGAGATGAAAAGGGAAAGCCCTCGGCTGCGCGGCGCGGCGGTCAGCGTGTAACACATATTAGCGCCTACAAGACTACATGAATACTTCACGCATTGCGTCAAACACTGCGGTCAGCAGCTGTCGGCGGGAAACGCATAGCGCCTACAAGACTGCGTGAATACTTCACGCATTGCGTCAAATACAGTGCGGTCGGCTGGAAACGCATAGCGCCTACAAGACTACATGAATACTTTACACATTGCGCCAAATACAGTGCGGTCAGCGCGGCGCGGCGGCGGAAGTTAACATTATTAAACTACATTTATGTTCGTTCTTTCATAATTTTTTCGCTGAATACTTAGATATGGAGGTCTCCAATACTATAAGGCCTCCCCCCTCCCCAATAAAAAATGAACTTTCGTGCAAATGGGCAACGTGTCCATGCATCATCCGTCAGTTTAAATTTTGCCGCTTTTTTGCGGTAAAATTCAACTGTCAACAGTGCATCAACCACCAAAGCCCTGGCTAGCAAATGGTGGTTGATGTATTTTCGGTAGTCCTAGATAATCTCGCAAGTGAAAATCGTGCATGCATGAGTGATTGATCAAGTATATAATTATTTTATTTTAAATTTCTAAAATGTTCGGACCCGGTTCAGCTCCCGTTCTTGTCCTAAGTGAGTATGATTATCTCCCTCACCTTAAAATGTATTTTGGATCTCGTTTATCCGTGACATTATTTAATTTTCCGTTTTGTTTACAGGCCAAAACACCAAACGTGAATCCGGTCGGAAAGTGCAGGTGGAGAACATCGCCGCCGGAAAAGTAAGTATTTCTGAATTTGTATACTCCTCTAGGCATTTTGCGGATGTTTCTAGTTGAAAATGACCTGAAACACACTCCCAAGAAACCTTAGTTTACCGTATCGTGTAATTACATCCTTCACAGCCAACCCAAGTTTGAGGTTAGGAGACTCCTGTCATGTGCTTTGTCTTCACACCCATCTAAGTTTCCATTAAATCCAGCAATGTCTGCATCATTCCTTTTTTCTCAGCAATAAGTGAATAAACTATGTATTGGGCTCCAATTCGGGCGCTTTCCAATATCACTTTTTACTAAACGTGGCACTCCCTACATGCGAGTTATCAACCAAATTTTTATTTTAGCTCTTCTTCCTCTTTAGCGCTACAGCCCGATGTGAGCCTTGGCCTCCACAACGATTCCCCACCACTGTACTCTGTCAAGTATTCTGGTTCTCCATTGCCTTACTCTCATTGCTCCAATGTCCTTTTCTACATCCTCGATCCATCTCAGCCGAGGCCTCCCTTTTTTTCTGCTTAGTTTTACTGTTGCCTTAAGAATTACCTTTGGCATGCCGTTGTTGTCCATCCTTTCCACGTGGCCAAACCATTGGATTTCTTGGGCTTTGATGAATCGCACTATGTCCTCGTGCTCAAGTTTTAGGTCAATCTCTTCGTTATTTCTGATCCGCCATTCTCCATTATCTGCTCTTACTGCACCGTAAATCCTTCAGATGATATTCCTTTCAACTCTTCTTAATCCCCACCTAAGTACTCTCTATCCTCACTATGGAGGACGTTTCGCGGAAGGCTTGTCGAGTGTTACATCAAGCAGGATTTGTGATTTTTATCTATCGTAAAATTTCATGAGAAATACGATGGTGCCATTGCTTTTTTCTGAAATTAACTCTGAAACTATGAAAAGGCTTTTAAGTTTAGACTATGTTAAAGAGGATGTCGCTTTCTACTTTGAGAATCGACCCCTATATCTAGTCAAACTTTTGATGCTCAGATGAGGAGCAAAAACAGTAGCAGGGATTCAGTTTGAGAAAACCAGTGGCACAATTGGGTTTCTTGCAAAATTTCATGCAAGAAGAATTTTATCTTGAAATCCCTGACACATGCAAAACCTACCTTGGTTTCTATCACTCTAAAATTTATCTCAAAAACGTCACTAAAAATTAGGATACTCTCTAAACCCTGTCCCTGAGTATTTAGCCACGATCCGAGAACAGTTAGTTGTTGATTGAATCATGAACTGTTGTTTTTTTTAAGCAGGAGGTCCCCAAGCTTAAACTTCCAACGGGGTACTGCATGTGGATCATCCAGTTATAAGTAAAAAATGTAAAAATGTTACATCCAACATGTCAAACATGTAGCTGCAATTTGTTAAAGTAGTGCTTAAAGTTGGAAGTTAGACCAGTGTGTCTGTGTTTGCTTGTTCTCTTTCTATAAAACTGAAGAAATACCGGGCTGAAGGACATAGAAGAAACACCAAAGTTCAATTGTCGTTTGCATTTTGAAGTTGAGCTGCATCATAGTTGATCTTCAGGAATTACCTATTCTATTTTCTTACCATCCAACTTGAATTTAACCTTCAAATAAGGCATTAACATTTAGAAAACTTCATCTCATCCACTAAGTCTTTTTCTTTTTCACCGCTCTGGAACTTTAACATTCTTGGAATTTTATTTTGCAGGCAATAGCAGATGTCATTCGAACATGTCTGGGTCCACAGGCAATGCTAAAAATGCTGATGGATCCCATGGGAGGTATTGTTATGACTAATGATGGAAATGCTATCCTACGAGAGATAACGGTTCAGCATCCTGCAGGAAAGTCTTTAATTGAAATTGCTAGAACGCAAGATGAAGAAGTAAGTTCCAAGTTTCAGTTTTTTTGTCGGAATATTTCAATAATCAGACTGAATAATTTTAGCTATTACTAAGCAGTAATTTCCTAAGAAAATAAGAACCTTCCTCTGTTGCCTTACTTTGGATGTTGCAAAACTCTTGAAGTGAACTTGCAAGGTTCAGTAATTTTCTAATACAAAACTGTTTCATTAAATTCATGATAGAATTTTCCTGTTTTTAAGAACTATCCTTTTTTGTAAAGAAGTCAAGACAGTGCTGGTGCTTAAAAATTAAGTTTTTCAAAACTTTTAGTGGCCAATACAGCCTATTTTCTTTGAATTTTGAGTTTTTATCAAAACTAATAAACCCAGTAAGTTTTGCTCTTAGTGTATGCTAAGTCCTCTATTAGGGCTTTTAAAATTAACAGACATAAGCACATTAATGAGAGCTAATTCTCTTTTATGAAGAATCACTTTATTTCGAAACTCCTTCCGTTATTCAACTTGAATTGACTTTGAGTGTTGCATGTAGGTATTTTAATCAGAATATCTAGTTTACCAAGTGTATCGACCCTTCAGAGGTGCTTAAGTTGCTTGCAAGCTATCAAAAAGCCAAATCTGCAGTTAGTTGCACCCTATGCCTCTGTCCATTGTTTCCAGAAAGTTTATGTGTCGTTCATAAACAATTTTATTTTATCCTTGAGAATTTTAGGGGAACGCCAACCATAGATGATTGCAGATCTTATATTTTTTATATTTTGAGAAACTGCCACATAGTGTTAGCCATTTTGAAATTCGCGCAGTATTATAAAACCATGTTGAGTTGACTCATTTGTATCAAAGTACATACTGAATTTCTGCATTGTATTATTATAGGTGGGAAGCTCAAAAATTTGCTAATTCCTAACTAAGGCATTGAGGCAAGAAGTGAGTTTTTGACTCTATCAGTACGCTTATCATGATTTTTAAGCCATTTTCATTCAGACAACTTTTACTTTTGCCCCAGCTTGCAACAAACCCATTTTCAAACAATTTCTATGAGCAAACTTCGCTAGTGAATCAGGCAGATTATTTACTCCAGCGTACATGTTTTAATATTTTTTTCCCCAATTTTAAGGTGGGTGATGGAACCACTTCCGTCATCGTACTAGCCGGTGAGATGCTAGCCGTGGCCGAACAATTTTTAGAGCAGAAAATGCACCCCACCGTCATTATTAAAGCTTACAGGCAAGCCCTTGAAGATATGATCGCTATTCTACAAGATAAAATCAGGTGAGTTTTTTTTAAAACACTTTTCAAATACCCCTTAGAAGCTGATCCTGCTTTAAACCCTCTTTTCTTTTACATCTGAAATTTGGTAAAATTGGATGGAAGATCCTTAAAACAGACCAGCTCAAGGTGCAATCAGTAGTGATGAATCGTGTTCATTGTTGTGCTTGAGTACAAGGGGTGACCCAGAACAACAAACTGGATGACCCATACCCTGGCCGTTAGTTTTATAGGATTGTCTCCTCCGTTTGAGGGAGTCTCAAGTAACTCCGAATGATGCATTATGCCAAATTTCAACGCATGTAACCTACTCCAAAAATTTGTGCAGTTGTTTTGCTGGAGCGCGTTTTTGCCTTCCGTTGTTTCTAAAGTGCATTTTTCATCTGTGCATTGGATGCCACAGCGGTCTTTTAGCATGAATGATATCAACAAAGAGTAAACGACCAAAAACTGTATTTTTATCTACAAAACTTTACCTGAAACTGTAGAAATGATTACCACAGCTTCCAGAGAAAAAGCTATGAAAAGATCTCAAATTTATGGTAGGCTAGCATGCTCAATCGAGGTAAAATTGTCACTAACAGCTTCAAAAGTTTGGCATGTCCCACCACTACTGGATCGGAACAAAATTTTAAAGTTAAGTATGTGTTCACAAGTATACAGTCTCTTGTGATGAGTTCATCTCTCAGTCTAAGGAGGATGGATCATCTTAAAACTGATTCAGCGATTCATGACAGCACGAAACGCAAACAGAACTTCATTTGGACTGCAGAAGGGGCAAGATGAACTCCTGGGATGATGCATCAACAATACATGTCCTTGATTAAGCAACGTCAATGGAACAAATTAGTAACTGATTCAATGTAATGACAATGAAAAGCACTTACTTATGAATGCATAACTGCAATATTTTGTTCATATCCAATTGTGGCAAGATGAAGCAAACAGTCAGAGCCGTTAATGAAAATGTCAGAGCATTTTGGTCTCGCTAGTCTCTTGTAAATTTGAAATCTTTACAAAGCCTTTTCTTTGGCAGCTATGGTAATCATCACTTTAGTTTCAGAAAGGGTTTCATCCAGTAAAAAACGAAAATTGACAGCGATCTGCAATTTGTTTATATCATCCATGCCAAAAGACCACTGCAACATGAATTGCATGGACTAAATTAATTCACCAGAATAACTACCAGAGGCAAAAATACGGTCCAGCTAAACAGCTGTAAAAAATTTTGGGATTGGTTTGATGCATAAAAATTTGGCAGAGTGCATCATTAAAGAGTTACTTGAGATGGAGAAAAGGAGAGATCAATGCTGTAAAATAGATGGCCAGGGCAAAGTCCTTCTAGTTTTCCCAGGGTCCCCCCTAAAAAAATTGCATGATTTTTAAATATCCTTCACAGATAAATCTCTGCTTACCAGGCATTTAATTTAAAGTTCACTATGCTATGACATGAAAAGGCAATTTTCCAAAAATTGTTTTTCATTTATTTATTTTTTCTTTCTACAGCATACCGCTCGATCGTAACAACCGGGCAAAAGTGATGGAAGTTGTCAAATCATGCGTTGGTACCAAATTCATTGGCAGGTGGTCCGATCTAGCTGTCAAAATTGCTTTAGATGCTGTGGAAACTGTCACATTAGAAGAAAATGGTCGCAAAGAAATTGACATTAAGAGATATGCCAAAGTTGAAAAGGTAAATCTTCACACCTTCTCACCAGGAATAATTGCCACTACTAGGTCAAATGCTTTTTACTCAATACACACTCCAATTTCAGGGTGTCTACAAGTCCGGAAATAGTACTGATTTTTTAAGGGCGGTCCGGAAGTACTGAAAAAGTGCGGAAATTCCGCAAGAAGGTCTGGAATTTTTTTATCATTTTTGTCACCATTTGAGTGAGAAATTCAATTTTTTGAAATTTTTAGAATGTCATCAAATGAGGGTACTGAAAAAGTACTGAATTTTCCGTTGAGAAGGTACCGAATTTCTCGGAAGTGTAGTGAAAAAGTACTGCAGAAGTACTGGTTTTTGGTCAGCCTGTTTTGGTAGACACCCTGAATTTGTTAGAATATGCTACAGAGCATTAGGTAATAAAAATGTCAAAATCAGGGAAGTGCGGCCTCTAAAATTGACTACTTGGTGTTAAAAATCGATTTTGAGGTCTCATAAATCGGAACCCATTTGAAACAACATTTTTGGCGGTCTTTCATAAAGTAGGCGAGCGAGAGAGTCCGCATTCGCTGATTGGCTCAAGTCTAGCCAAAAACACAGCTTAGTTACATCATCATGACTGTCAGCTGTTGGTTGGTCAGGTTTTTCTCCCCTTAGAGGTGCTTTATGCAGCTTTTTAATGAACTTTTTGGTTTTTTCTAAACAATTAGCAGACATGTCATACCACTGAGTTATTCAGTTAAAACGACGTTCTCCTGTACAACTGATATCTCTGCATCAGTCAGGATACATGGAGTTTACTGTTTATTATGGCCTAACACAAAACTGTTATCAAAGATTTCCTGAATACCAAAGACTCATTTTTCTAAAAGTCTAAGTTAAATGTTTTTCTGCATCAGGTGTAAAGAAGTGGTATTGATTTTCATTTAGTCACATCAGTTTTTGGTAATCCTCCTGTCAAAAGTTTGAATAATGGTGTCTACTGAATCCGCTTTTTGGTCTTATTTTTATTTATTTTTTTCCTCTGTCAAACCATGAAATGAAACCTTCTTTTTCAATTACACATTGATGTCTTGTTTCATAGATTCCCGGTGGAAGCATTGAAGACTCCGAGGTTTTGAGAGGAGTAATGATTAACAAAGATGTTACCCATCCAAAAATGAGGCGATACATCAAGAACCCACGTATAGTTCTCCTTGACTGTACACTTGAGTACAAGAAAGGAGAAAGCCAGGTAAATATCTATTTCCTTGTTTTCAATACATATATTCTGTCTCGAGAAAAGAATCATTTATACAAGTGACAATGATAATTTTAGTATGCTCATTCTGCAAACCCTTGCAACTTGCTGTAAACTGAAAATTGTTTGCTGTTATCAGTGGGACCAGAAAGAAAAAATCATTTAAAGGTCATTTTACTACTTTATTTTTTTTTTTTTTTTTAAGCGGCCATTCATGCAAATATTCTTATTTTTACACACCGCAGAAAATGTCAATTAATTAAAGCATCATTCTGGTTTTTGCTGGTTTTAATCTTGTTCTCGCATAACTCAGAGATCATTGAAACTTCCAATTCATGTCTTTTGCATTTGAACCTAGTAGAATGCTCTGGGAATGATCAGCTCATGAGCAGTTATTACTCGCAGGTTTTAGTTTGAACAAAACCATTAGGACTTCAAATTATCTTAAAAATTGGTCCCCTCAGAGTTATAGTGATTGCTCTCTTGGGAATGTCAATAGTGCGTTCAATTAAGAGTATTTGATTACCGCAAGTAAGCAAGATATTGGTGGTTTTCCTACATCCTAGTAAATGCTGTCGTTTGGATTCAAAAATGTGAATTATGCATTAATACCCGTTAAAAACTCTGAATTGATAAAAAAAACCACTTTGATTTCATAAAATAGAACAGTAACTTTGAGTAAGATTTACATATCTATTCCAAACAACTAACTCCAAATTTGATGTTGATCAACAACACATATCTGTGGTGTAGTCTATCCTTCCACAACAGATTCTGCTGCAGCGCTATATTGATCGTAATGTGACTTCTTAGAATGAGCACACAATCCAAACCACATTTTTAACCACACCGATGTCTTGCAATTTATGATGAATTATTACTCTTTGCCTTAAAGTAGTCAAAAAGAATTTAAAAAATTACCGTTTGTTCAGTTCAACCGATATTTTCGAATGATGCAATGAAAAATTTAACTCAACTAACCCAAATTCAAATGGCTTCAGATTAAAGTTATTTTATTAAATGCTATTATTTCAATTGTGCTCACTCTCCAACTGTTTTCAGACCAATGTTGAAATCATGAAAGAAACTGATTTTACAAGAATCTTGCAGCTGGAAGAAGAATATGTCGAAAAAATCTGTGCTGATATTATTGCTGTCAAACCAGATATTGTTTTCACAGAGAAAGGAATCTCTGATTTGGCTCAGCACTATCTCCTGAAAGTAAGCTACTCAAATTTACTCATTTAAGGCTTGGAAGAAACCGTTATATCCAATTTTAAATTTCCCACAACCCGTTCACAGCATGTACAATTGTTGCTACTTCTCCTTAGTCGGCTCAGTAAGTCATGTGTTACTCCCGCAGAATATGGTCACTATTGTACAAAATTATATGTATGTTGCCTTGAGATATCATTAATCATACATCAGGTTTATTAGCGATCCAGTGAGCTCTGAGATTGGCAAAGCTTGCTGAAGCAGAGGGGTTTTACCTTTCATTTTTTACTTGTGTCCAAGTGTAACTCTCCAGAGCTGCAGTCTCCATGTGACAGTAGAGCTAAGTATTTTAAGGGCCGCCGCTGGGCAACTAAGCTGATCGTGAGTTTAAGATCGCTGTCCCTTTCTTCTCCCATCTGATGCTTTCAAACTAGCCGAAATTATTTTTTATGTCTCTGTCCATTTAAAGCACCATGATGCATCCTTGTTGAGTTAGCTTGAGAAAACGATGTTTTGAACTGCAAATTTTTCAAATTAATTTTTAAGTGAGATTCACCCAACGTTTTCAATTAATGTAAATTTATATGCCTTGCTCATCCAAATTTACAGCTCAATGTTCAGTCAAAACCTACATTAAACAAATGGTAGCATGTCATTCAAGCTGATGGTAACTCAAGCCCCGTGTGCCAATTTTGCTGTAGCAAACCTGTTCTTTTAAGTCTGTTGATCTATGTAATTCTCATGAGGACGTCAAATTTTGAACTTCATCAAAGCAGAATTGGTAGCACAAGTATTAGACAAACTTTCTAGATTTGAAAGGGCGTCAAAATGAGGCAGGTTTTTCCCGTGATTTGTTTGAATGGATGAAAAACTTAAATTTCATGTTGGGGCAAATTACAGTGACACACTCACTTGTGTAATCTTCGAGAGCTCGCTTTTCAAAGGGTTAATTTTTTTTAACATAGCATATTTTTAATTTCATCGTAACTAAGAAATCTTTCTGTCTAAATCCTTCTTTCAGGCAGGAATCACTGCTTTGCGCCGTTTACGCAAGTCAGATAACAACCGTGTGGCCCGTGCATGTGGTGCAACTATTGTAAACCGTACGGAGGAGTTAAAAGAAGAGGATGTAGGAACAAAGGCTGGTCTTTTCGAGATCAAAAAGGTCAGTCATTTTTTACGGTCAGATTTTTGTGCAGTTATGTATGCATCCCTCAGAGTGTGCACTCCATACATCAAAAATGTGGACATTCCTTCCTTTTGCGGTCAGGCAACCAAAGTCCTCTAGTGTTCCTTGATGAATTGAGACTTGTAATATTTGCCATCTGTTTGTAAGGATTTGAACAACAACTTTATAATTTTCATAAAAGAGTGAGGGCATGTCGCTATGTCGGAGGAAGGCTACAACTGCCTTCAACCCCATAGCTTAGAACACAGTGAGCCCTAAACTCGCATTGAAAAGGGTAACGGAGTACGTCAGTAAACTTTCTGAGTCTGTGATTAAAGCTTCGTCACTCTCAATTTTTCATTTTTAAGCTTTTTGGTGGCAGAGAAACATTTTCCTACTGCAGACTTTGATGAAGTGATGGCTGCCATAAATGGAAATTACTTTGTGGTTGAAAAATCCAGGCTTGGTCCTTTTAATTTCTCTCTTAAGGCAATTTGTCTTGAACTGTGTCTGGGGTCAAATTAACGTGCGATGTATAGCTTTGATTATTTTTTAACTTTTAATAATCTCAATAAAAGAATGTTACCCCCGGCACATAAATCTCGAGAATAATTTACAAAGAAAAAATTTGCTCAAGTTGAATGCATTAAAACACGATTTGACCGCAAAAAAAAATTTGCCATTTAATACAGCAATTGACTCCTGCTCAAATGTGATGTTTTTTTAGAGCCAACTCCAGTTTATTTGTTCAAACAAATTTTGCAATAATTTTCTCTTTTTTTTGCATTTCTTTTTCCCTTTGTACCTAAATAATCTTTCAGATTCTTACTGGAGGGTTATTATCATATTTTGGCTGAAAAAGACAAATTTAAGAAGCTTAATACCCTAATTGATGTAACATATCGCATGGCAATTCAATCATAATTGGGGATAAATCACTAAATGCCCTTATTTTGCTTCTAAAAGTTTGTGTTTCTCTTTTCAGCTTGGTGATGAGTATTTCTGTTTTATCACTGAATGCCAAGATCCCAAGGCATGTACTATTTTACTGAGAGGTGCAAGCAAAGACATTTTGAATGAAACAGAAAGGAATCTTCAAGATGCTCTGAATGTTGCCAGAAACATCATGATGGAACCTAAACTGGTTCCTGGAGGTGGAGCTGTGGAAATGGCTGTCTCTCAGGTAACTTTAGAGGAAGTTTTTATATCCAGAAAATCAAGAAAGTGCGGAGTAATAATGTAGCAAATCAAAAGTTGTCAATGTTAATTTCAGTGAACTTAAAGTGCGCTGTTTTCACCGTCAGACCCTTTGAAAGCACCTTCTACAAAGTTTTTGCTTTCTTTGAAAAGTGCCGAATTTGTCTTCTAAACCTACGCTCAGTATGCACAGTTTTATTATTTAGGACTCATTTCTAATTAGGAAAGGGAGGAAAATAACCGCCAAATAGCAAGGTTAAAACAATCCAGAAACACTAACATAGGTGAAAATATTTTGCTGCCTCAGGGTATAACAGACTGTTCCTTTAAAATCGTACTTATCTGCACATTTCTTCATATCTTTCAAAAACAGGTCCTGGCTTTATTATTTTAAATAACCACCACCTAAGCCCTTCAAGCAACTCGAAAAATAACTTTGATAGCTATCAGCAATAGCACAGATAGTTGTAGTAGAAAAAGTTAAACGATGAGTTGAAAAGCAGAAAAAATTTAATATTTTGTTTTCAAAAGTCTGTGTACACCCTCCTTGTATGTTCCATTCCTGCTAAGAAGCTTGCGCACCTCAATAGGGAGAGGATTGCCGTCTCAATCCTTCCAATACGGAAGTAGTCTGCCACATGAATGGTCGGCAAGTCTTACTTGAACTCATTTCCATGACAGAAAGGCAATAAGGAGGTTGCCCGTAAATACAGTACAGTAAGACCTTGATTTATCGGATTTCACAGGACCGGAGGCCGAATCCGTTAAATCGCGACCCGATAATTCGAGGTCTTACTGTATTCTAATACATCTTTGGTCACCTTCCTTTCTTCCTCTCTTCTGAGGCCCCCAAAGAAACGGAGTACAAACGAATGAACAAATAAGGAATTCAATAAATGGCCTCTACTTTAAAGATCTTAAGCTAAACTCATGAACTTTCCATTTTATCACTCTTTTAGTTTTTTAATTGTATTAATTCAAGTTTTTTCCACAATTTTCTATTTTTGTAATGTGCTTGCATTTATTCATTTCAGGCATTAACAGAGAAAAGCAAAAGTGTGGAGGGTGTTTCGCAGTGGCCATATCGTGCAGTTGCGCAAGCTTTGGAAATCATTCCTCGCACATTGACACAAAACTGTGGTGCCAACACAATCCGAACTCTCACAGCTCTAAGAGCCAAACATGCAACCGGTAATATTTTCTTCTTGACTCCCCTTTCTCTTTTCCCTTTCTTTGCCTAGTCATTTATTATTTTAAATATAGATTGGCAGATTCATCTCTCCACAGCTAGGATAGAGTCAGGAAAACAAAATTCTAAACTACATAACCACTGCAATATCTTTGTAAAGCAAGGGGAAAAAGATACTCAGGCGCTAGGTTGTTCCCTATCCATCTTTATTCAATGAACAAACCTGAAAACATTTTCGGCAATAATAAACTAAAACCTCCTTCAGTTTTGAATGCTTCATTTCCATCTGTCAGGAATACTTCTTGAGTTATATGAAGATTGATTCAATCTATGTATTAGGCAGAGACGAAAGAGACCCTTTATTGCTATCTTGGCGATGGTGGAAGCTTTTACTTTCAGAACTCCAACATTCAACTTTGACCTACCTACTGGGTGGATGTACGGCATGTAGGATGTTTCGTTTCGCAAACATACTGAAGTTCTGCAAACTTACTTGGCTCATTATGCCATCTAAAGCTCATCATCAACCTCTTAGGTAGGTCAACAGCTGGAAAAAGGGTGATAATTGGTGCTTTCTTAACATTGTCCTTAGTGAAGTATTGAATCCCCGAAAGTAAAAGTTTCTACCTGCCGCCAAGTGGCCATTGGAGGGTTTCTTGTCTCTAGTATTAGACTTGCAACTGAAATGAATTCACTCAAACATTCACAGATCTAGTCACAGGTTATTTACTTGTTTCCTTTGACTTTGTGCTCTTCAATATCAAATGAGAGATGCTTACCTCAGCTTTTTCATTAAACTTAAAACCTCTTCTTTACAATGATGACTTCAGATAGGCATTATTTTGTTTTGACTTTGTTCAAGTCCATTGAAAATGTTGATGAATCCATACTCAATTTGTCTATTTTAAATGCAAACAGTTTTAAGCTCTTCAGCCTCAATTTTAGTGCAGTATGACTTATTCGGTTTCATATGACATGCACCGTCAAAGAGACATTCAATCCTGGATGAAACGGCCAGTGAAAATTGCTTTACTTTTGTAAGCATGTTACAAATTTGTAAATAAATTTTTATACCAAATTTTTTCAGGTGGATCAACTTGGGGTATCAATGGTGAAACAGGACAACTGGTAGATATGAAAGAACTAGGCATTTGGGAACCTTTGTCTGTCAAGCTGCAAACTTACAAAACTGCGGTTGAGGTATGCATTAATTCTAATAATCTATTAAATTGTTGAATATTTAAACTCTATTAAATCGCTACTCAGTGTAACCAAATTACATTCAGGCCTATTGCCTTAGATCTGCCCAGGAAATCACAGAATTTTGTTCAGATGCTTGAAGCCTGTAGATTAAGCATAAATATGTAATAATGTCTGTACCTACCTCAAGTTCCTGCCTCCATCATTATCTGAAGCAGTGTCCAAAGAAAAATAAAAGGAATGTTGTTTTCCATCATATGTATTTTTGAAAGACCAGTATCATAATTCATATTGCACGCAGGAAATTGGCATTTAGGCAAATCTTACCCTTCTTTGCGTGCTGTCCGATCTAGACCATCAAAACCGAATTTGCTAAAGCCCACAACAGATCTATCCCATTATACCGTAAGATTGAGAATTATCGGATCGCGATTTAACGGATTCCGTGTTTTAACAGATCGATCCTTCAGTGGGACCCACTAGCGCGATTTAGTGGATTCGTCCTCCGGTTCCACAAAATCAAATAAATCAAGGTCTTACTGTATACCAATTGGACCACATTTTGCAATAAAGAACCACTATTTCTGGCCCATTTTAGAAATAGCTTGTGTGTCACTGTTTTCCCTGTGCAAAAAGGTGTTTTTACGGAAGAGCCAGAGATAGTGGTTCTGTATTGTAAAATGTGGTCCAATGATAATGTCATGTCGATCAAATATGGTTCGGAAATTAACAAATTTCAAATGAATGCATATTTTTTAATTTGCTGCGAGTAACTACTGCACCCACCAAGAGACTTGGGATGTGTTAGTATGCTGCATGGAAATTCCTCGATCTGACAATGATTGACACAAATCACTCCAATCACTAATACAAAATACACTTGTACTGGAATACTTTCATCATTTGCTGCAGTCACAAATGCCTTTTTGATCAATAGGCGCAAGCTGAATGAGTGGTTGAACACATGTATTTCTTTCTACTGGCATTTCACAAGTGTTGAAATTTTCTAATAATTTTCAAGTAAAGTTCAATTTATATAGAGAAGAAAGTAATCAAACTAAGTCAAATAATCGATCAATCAAATATTCATTGTATTTCTCAAAATATGCATTGATAGGATGAGATTTTTCCAAGACTAAAAGCAAGAAACAGAAGAAGAAAATTCCACTTTTTAGGATTAGTTACATTGTTAATTGTTATAGTGGAGTTGTTGTCTCAAAGTTTATACATATGATTAAGATATTTAAATTTAGTTTTATTAACCTCATTTGGTTCACATCAGGGCTACTATACATATTATGTACGATTTTTTTTTAAATATCCACGCCTAAATATTCTATCAAGTTTCGTTTTTATTCATTGCGAGTTTCAAAATGTTATATTTTCATATTCATTTCTGTTACAGACTGCAATATTACTCCTGAGAATAGATGATATTGTTTCTGGTTCAAAAAAGAAAGACAAAGATGCAGCACATCAACCAGCCGCCCAGCCAACAGAAGAGTCCATGAAAGAGTAATTTTTCTTCCCTCCTTTACCCTGGTATTCATCAAACTGTACTCTTCTCTTTTTCTATGAAGAGGAAAACTCTCACTAATGCATTTCCTAACACTTCATCGTACTACACTTTGTTTTGTGCCTGTGACGTTTCTTTTTAATTTAATTTTAAGTCAAGTATTAAGATTCATGAGCGTTTATTTTTTACTTAAAACTTGTCATCCAATTTTGTATCTATTTTAAGTACACGTTTTCACTTAATTTTTGTTGTCTTTTTCACTTGACTGGGTCATTCCATGTCAATTCATAAAATATCCACTATAAAATAAATAAATAAATACATAAATTTAAAAAAAAAAAAAAGAGAGAGAGAAATTGGTATCCACCGATTCAGATTTTCATAATTTTTTTTTTTTTTTTACTTGATTCATAGATCACTGTAAGCGGAAATACAAATTCTTAGCTCCATATGTACAGTACTTTTTTAGGAAAAAACTATCAAATTTTTATCACCTCTCGTTAAAATGCACTTTCCAGACTCGAAAAACGGCAAGTTTTTGTCTACAAAAAAGCCTCATAATATTTTAAATTTTGAAGATTTTAAACTGAAATTTGGCACACTGATCTATGATGGTATGACTGCAAAGGGGAAAATTCCCATTTGAACTTAACTTACCCTGAAGCACATAACAAGTTCAACATACGCCCTTTTTTCCCCTTAGCTGTAACACCTTGTTCCCTAAAAATGAGCATAAACATGTGAGCTAACCAAACTATTTTAATTTTTTTTTTTTTTTCATTTTGAAATGATCAACGTTAGGATGTGCTCAAACTATCTGTGAAATAAAACCCTAGGTATTTCACTCTTTCTATGTCAAACTGCCCATTAAAGCAAAAAAAGTATGTAAAAGCTGAAATAAAAAAGAAGTTTTTGCGGCTGTTCTCCCACAAACTCAGAATATCAATTTTTTTTTTATTTAAATCAACATCAGGCTGCAGGATGTGCACCAACAGTCTCAGAAATAAAAACCATGGGTATTTCACTCTTTTCGAGTCCTGCATTACAGCAAAGATTGTGAACGAAAAGGCTAGAAAATCAAGTCTTTGCGGCTGTTTGCACAAAAATCTTTTGGAGGGAGTATTCCGGTCTACATTCCTATATCCGGTTTTCACCTCCTTTTCACACTTTTCACAATTTCTGCTTTTTACTTTCTGGTTATATCTTCTTCTTCGGGTTTTCTTTTCTATTTGCCGTACGCATTCTTGTCTTCCGGTTTTCACCTTCAACTTCCAGCTTTAATTTCCCACTTCCCTTTTCTGGTTTTTACTTCCCATTCGCCATTCCCCGAGTTAGGTTCCAGAGTTAACTTCCAGTTTAGAATTTAACTTCTATCATCTAGTTTTCACTTCCCGTTTCTGGCTTGCCTCTTAAACTGCCCACCAACCAGATTTACGTGTTATTTCTGCCCCCGTGCTATCCAAAATCCGCATATTATACCTACCTCCATCCCATTTAAATCTTCTACCTTCTTTTCCTCTCCTCTTAGCTGGGAAGCTCCTCTTATCCCCATCCAGAATTCACCACCGAAGCAGCAGTCTCCTCAATATAACCATTCCCTCATATTCAATACTGTTTCCAAACCCTGCTATAAAACCTTTACTGAATTGTAGTTTGAATGCAAGAAAGAGTCCACTGGTTCTGTATTTAGTTTTCCTAGCCTCTATCAGCTAAAATTCATTGCAGCTATGCCGCAATAAACATACCTCCAATTACCAATAGGCCGAGAGCGCCAATGGGGACGAGGCTCAAAGATTGCATACGTGCTAAAGGCGCATCATACCTTGTAACTCCAAAAACACGAAGTCAACCAATTTATTAACTGTGTATTATTCAACGTTTGACTGTAATTATGGTTAAAATGGCGGAGAATGGGGGGGGGGGCAAGATTTAATAGCTGATGCCCCCAAACACGTACCTTAATTCTGGGTGTCAGACTTTAATTCCAAAAACACGTATCTGCGTATTTCTACTTCATTCCGTAACTGCTGACATTATTCGGCAAAAAACTGTTTCGGGACTCAAGTACCCTATTCTTGATACACCAAATTTTAATTTTTTACTGTCAGCTGGAAGGGAGTTAGGAAGTTTTTCCCCCCTCTCCTGAAAAATCGTGTTCCCGAAAATGCGTACGCGTTATTGGTCGATCACCCGTAATGAGACCACTGTCACAAGAACAGGGTCGAGAAGACCAGGGCCGGATTTACCTCATTGCCGCCCCTTTCTTATTCGTTTTGAAACATCATTAGAAACCATCAGGTGAACGTGCCGAAGGGGGAGGGTGCACAAGACGTGTTCACTCGTGTTGGATACATTTTTTGCGTAAGCCCTGTCGACACTACCAAGAAAAGTTCACGGAATTTCGCGCGAAAGTTCAGTTCCGTAAACCTATCTCTGTGTGGACAAGGTCTTTCATTTGTAAGAAATGAATTAAAAAATTATAAAAGAACAAACATAAATGTGGTTTAATAGTTTTAACTTCCGCCGCCGCGCCGCGCTGACCGCTGTGTATGACGCATTGCGTGAAGTATTCATGCAGTCTTGTAGGCGCTGTGCGTTTCCCGCCGACCGTACAGTGTTTAACGCAATGCGTGAAGTATTCATGCAGTCTTGTAGGCGCTAATATGTGTTACATGCCGATCGCCGCGCCATGCCGAGGACTTCTCCTTTTCATCTCAAGCCCTCGTCATCATTCCTCTCTGCGCCGCGCCGCTCCAGGCCAAATTGCGTGTTTGGTTTCTCTCTTACCTCGACTAATTAAAGGTGCGCTGTCTCTTGTATCACCGGAAGACGACAAAATTAGATATTACTATACTCTCAGGAATTGAGATATTTTGTCGCCTAATCTCGTTTGTCATTTATTTTCAGAGTCCGATTTTTTATTACCTATTTTTAAGAAAAAATGCAAAATTTGATGCCCCCTAAATTTGCCGCCATGAGCCGCGGCCCATGTGGCCACCCCCTAAATCCAGCCCTTGAGAAGACTGAGTCAGAAATTGAGCAAACTTATCGATGGATACGCCCATCTTCTACGAAACAGCTCATATATACATTTTAATCAGCATAATTCGAGCTCATGGAAATGATTTTATAAAGTCATTAGTAGTATCGAAAGAGTATAATGAGTTCGAATTATGTTGATTAAAATGGATAGTCCAAGCACTCTTTCTGTACTCAAAAAACTTATAAAATATAATACGTTATGATTTTCTTTTATTATCTTGTTAAAAAAACATACTTTAAAGAGCTACTTTGGTCAAAATCACTCGTTAGTCATAAGATACGACCACTCTCAAATATAGTATTCCGTCGAAAAATTAATTTCTGATAATTTGGCGGGCACGCCTGTCTTAAAATAACTCGTTCAGATGAAACCGATGACGATGAAGTACCTAAACTGCTGCTAGCAAATATTACCGCTCATGAGCCGCTCAAATTGCTTACCAGCTTATTGAAGGCGAACTGGTGAGAATGAGAACAACGTTCCGTAATTTGCGACTCTAACAAAATTAGCGTGCTTCGCAAGTCTTACACGCCATAGGTAAATCTCGACTGCAGCGATCCGTTTGGTTTTTATTTTATTTGGTCCTATTTGTAAGCTGTGTTAAAGGTTAAAAAGTAGGCGTGAAATCCCCTCCAAATATTTCAAGCCCGATCTTCAATGGCGGGGAGCCTGTCACTGCGTCGACGTAAGTCGCAATTTGCGCAATTCCGAAAACGACGGAGTAAGGGATGAACCCTGACCTTTGAGCACACGGCACCGACGCGACACCACCGGGCCCAGGGAATTTGTAGGCCGGATGGGGAACGGAGAAATGAACTGCGCGAAAATGTTCGCTAGTCGGCAGGAACGTGGGAGCTCGCGGAACGTGTAAGCTGCAAGTTGGATGGTGAATCAGGGTGGAAGCTTTTACTTCCCGGCAATCACGGAAATCGGCTCGTGCTCCCACCCTCCGCGCGGCGCGGTAGGCGGTAGGGGGAGGATTTTTTGCTACTATTGTCCCTCTCTCCCTTCTCTCTCTCTGTCATCGCCCCACTCCCTGTCTCCCTTTATTGCCAAGACGTGATAGAAAATCATCAAAATATTCTGAGGGTGTATTTCTGTTCGGTAAGCTTTTCTCCTCGAACTCCCCCCACGGCGAAACTTTAAATATGAGTTTTTAGATTATTAAAAATGTTATTTTAATAATATATTTAATTATTATTATCCTTATGTTAATTAACATAATAATTTTTAGAAAAACCACAACTATTATGATTGATGCAGCAGTTTAGGTACTTCATCGTCATCGGTTTCATCTAAACGAGTTATTTGAAGACGGGCATGCCCGCCAAATTATCAGAAATTAATTTTTCGACGGAATACTATGTTTGAGAGTGGTCGTATCTTATGACTAACGAGCGATTTTGACCAAAGTAGCTCTTTAAAGTGTTTTTTTTTAACAAGATAATAAATTTAGGAAATCATAGTATTATATTATGATAAGATGAAAACCAAAGCGGGAGCCTAGGAAACGCTTCAATGCCAAATTAAACATTTTTCAGTAACAGATGCAGTCAAAATTAAAAGTCCTCTTTAACTTGTTATTTTGTGCGCTTTCAATCTTGTAGGATACTGTGCAACGCCTCTGACGCGAAATAGTTGCTTGGCACAGCAGGCAAGCAGCGTGACACGCGCATAGGGCGCCTACAAACCTAACGGGATACTTCACGCGTCGCGCAATGCGCGAAGTATCCCGTTAGGTTTGTAGGCGCCAGTGCGCGTTCTGCGCTGCTATCACGCCGCTCCGCTCTGTGTTAGGCTCTAATATTTAAACTCGCGGAGTCAGCGTTTTTCAACTCATGGTTTTGAAATGTTTGCACTGTCTGCATTGATTATTCCCTTTTAAACTGATGCAAAAGAAATATGTACCACTGGAAAATATAATGTGTTTTTTGTAAATATAATAGTTGTTCCGTGTCAAATGTAGTGATTTCCAAAGCATTCAAATGTATTATTTTATGTTTTGGGCTTTTACTGTGCTACATCGTGGTGTAAGCGCAACTAAACGCTTAAAATTGGACGTATTTGACTCAAGAAGGTCGATGTACAAATAAGTTAAAACCAAAAAATTGCGTGTTTCTTAGTTTTTTTCCTCTTTTATTAATTTTTGTATAGTTTCTTTCATCACAACTACGGCTCATTTAGATTCATATCGATGCCATTGATTGGAAAAGGTTTTACAAATATTTACCACGTTTAAAAATGTAAATGTTTTTAAAATGAAGTAATCAATTTCATTAAAAAGAAAGAATGTGCATTTAAGGCATATTTTACATCGGAAATTTCAAGGATAGAAATAAAACCAAGTATTTACCAAAGACAGTTTGAAAAGATGAATCAAAAGAAAAAATTAACATTTCATTTAAAATATGAGTTACGATAACAACACCTCATTCTCTCTTAATTTTCTCATTTTGATATTGTCAATATAATTTTACACACGGACTAAAATATGACGCTTGAATTTGATTTTAGTGGACTTTACATTTGGGGACTTAACTTAGTGGACGTTTAAGTAATGGACTTAACAATAGTGTGGGCTTTAGAACTGTGGACGAAAACATTGAGGACGTAAAAAAAAAGTGGACATAAAGTCCGTGTACCTATTTTTTATCATTTTATTTAGGAGTTTTTGATGAGTGTTGTTAAATGCTATTGCTACTAGGAAGTCTCGCCCTCGTCCAACCGCTGCATTTCAAAGGAGAATAACAGCCCAAACTAAGGCGACTCGAGAATTCGGTCAGATTTCAGAAAACGGCTCCATATATATAGAGCTTTTATATTTTAATAAAAAAAAATAAACCTAGAAACCTATCCAATGAGCCCAATACGTGGTGGCGACGAAGATTGATGGCGCATTGACTGCGAAGGGTGGCAACGGCGCGCGGGCTCCCCACCGCGGCGCGTAAATTATTTATCAATGGGTCGTTGTAGTAGTACTACGAGCCGGCCATGCTGGCGGCGCAACAGAACGCTCCTCAGTGCTCCGTGCGCTGTCAACCCGTCGCAATCCAATTACTCCTAACCTCACTCTTTTTACGCTCCAGGATTGTTTACATCCGTTTTTGCGTCGAACTATTTCCTCGCGCCGCGCGTCCTCAATACGCCGCTATCGGCCAGTGCGCGACCGTGTTTAATTCCCCGCTGTCGTGTTTTTGTGCGGCTTTCGTCGTGTCACTCCCGAATTCCGCCGGGAGAAGTGGCTTGTGTCTGTGACGTAGTTCGCGGGCGGCCGGGGGTGTGAAGTTATTGCGTAACCTTACCTGCTTCCTGCTCGGCGCGCCAATCGATCATCCCCGTTTATCATCCCCCTTCATCCCCCGCCCGTCTTCGCGCGCCGCTCAAGTCGTTCCCGGAAGTTCCGCTTTCCGTCTATGGAACTTGTGCTTCGCGGAAAGTGGATGTCACCCGCGGAGTTTACCTACTGCTAACTTGGAATCAAAGTTGCTGGGACCAAGGTTCATATCTCTGTCCCACCTAAACGGTAGGATGTATTTTCCATTTATTTCGCAATCCGCTGACGTCAAGATAAGTCAGTTCAGCGAGGAAGAGGAATTGGGGGATGGTGGTTATATATAAATAATTATTGTTTGTACATAATTTTTTTACCTCAGTACTTTACTTTAATCTGGGGCATTTAAAAACATAGTTGATTTGAGGATATTCCAAAACAAACTACTATTTTAAAATCTAGAGAGCGGTTTTGAGTGCCCAAGGCTCTACATTGCCCCTCAGCCCTTTTTTTCGGGGGGGGGGGGGGGAGGAGTAACATTAGGACCTGCTCTTAACTTCCTTTTTCACGAAGGATAAATTCTTGGAAGGTGGGAGTGCAACTTAATTGCGAAATTGCATTATTTCTGTGAAATGGTGACTAAATTCTCCCTCGATAGGTACTTATGCCACCAAGCTACTTAATTGTTTCAAAAATTATTGACAGTTATGTAAATAAACAAACTAAAAGTTTACATTTTCCTGGAATACCCGATAGTGAACATCTCAAATATCAAATTCACGAGTTCAATTTCAAATTGATTCTTATGAGGATGGGTAGTTTTCCTCGTTCGACAATTCCATTAATAATCAGATAAATTTATTTCCTTCTTCCTGGCATTTTTTTTCTCCCCTTTAGTACCCCTTTACATGTGCCTGTGTGCGCAAAGCCACCTCGAAACCTCGACGTTCACTGACACGTTGGATTGGAACATCAAACACACGTGTGATCATTGTTTACAAACGGTACCTACGCTCAATTTGTTTACAAACACGAGAGTTAAGAGCGTGTCGTGCCGAAAGCCAGGCTGATGAGAAATGTTCTCCCAGGATAATGTTTTGGCTTTTTTCGCACTTCCGTCCTTTAAAATTTAATAGTGTTTTCCTGCATTCTGCTAGGTTGAAGAGTTGTTAAAATATTCAATACTTCTCCGATATCATGGGCACTTGTGATCGGAAGAATACTGGGGATGGTGACTCGACCCTGTGTTTTGACAGTAGTGTGGCAACCTGATTCATCGATTGGTTTTCAAGTAAAATGGCTAAATAATACTTTCATACAATATGTGTCGTTAAAATGCAGGCAGATTCCTGACATTCGGCATTCCGTCAAGCTATCGAATGAAAAAATTGGCCGAGGGGTCGAGTGAATCAAATGGGTAAGTTGGGGGTGCGCCGAGGAAACAGAGTGAAATGAGATTGGAGCGTGTTTATCCTGCAGGAAAAATCTGCTGCCGTGCCCTCCCCCCCCCCTCCTTTTTTTGGAGAGGGGATCAGAGATTGCTCTTAAAAGAGAGTGAAAATGGACCGAAAAAACTCAATGACATCTTTCAACCTGTGAAAAAAAGAAAGAAAAAACTGTATCAAATACAGCTCTGCGTCTACCCCAACCGTCAAAAGCAGACCTACATTTGCTCCGATTTTCTCCGGAAAAGTCCTGGTTTAGCTGACGCGGTGTTGAGTTTTGTGGTTGTCCTTGCGTGCCTGCGGCGTTTTTTCCTCATAGCTTTCGAGCGGTCGTTGCCCCCAGTAAAAATATCTCTCTCAGAAAACTTGCGAGCATCAGAAGCATAGGAAATGAAATACTCCTCAGAAAAAGAAGGGAAAAGAAAAAATTACGATTAGTTTTGGTCGGGATATCATTTGATGACTTCTAACGCTATACAGCTTTCTATACTTTTTTCAAACGACTTTTTATAGATAACATCCCATTTATTCCTTAAAAATTGGGATGGAACTGTTTTTTTGCCATTCTGAAATACTTAAATTTCGATCGGATTGAATGAAAGGGCAGGGTCGGATCAGCGCTAATGGGCCCGGGCCCGGGGTGCTGACGGTTACGAGAGGCCCGCACATTTGCGTATTGCATACTCTCTGAATCGAAGGCAGTTCACGTTCCCCAAAAAACGTTGTTCATTTACAGCAAAAACCTCCTCCTCCCCCTTTCCCTCCCCTTGGTCCCAGCCCCCGCTATCTTTTAGTCGAGGGCAGTTATAATATTAAAATAACATTCAAACTACAGATGACACACATAATGAGTCATTTTGTGACCTGAAAATAAACTGCATGTCATAGGAATAAGTATGAGACTCTTGAATTTTCCGAAGGCCCAGCAGTCCGATCTATAATTTTTTATACGCATAGGGCAGGCAGTCCCCATGAGAGGAACTAGAGACTTTTCGTGGGATGTGACAGGGGTACCTCAACAAGGGGGATCTGAAGGCACAAAAAACACGCAAATGAAGGGGTCTGCCGATGTTTGCGGTGCCTCTCTGGCTCCCACGAGATTTTGGGGAATTTTCCTAGTCTTGGGGGGGGGGGCGGTCTGGAGGGACTCCTCCAGAAAAGTTTGAAAAATTAAGTCCACTCAAGAGGAATTTCTAGCTACACACCTGAAAATTGATCCAAAGTTACTCTGAAAAGCGCAAGGTTTTTTTGAGGGCTACCATCTGTCGATAGCTGCAAAAATCATAGAAATCGGCCGAGTAGAACGGTAGAACGAGCTATGACACAAAATGAAATGAAATGAACAAATGAAGTAGGCACATATTCAGCTTTGAATTTAAGACTTTTCAGCTATAATTGTTCGACTGTGTCGCACAGAAAGATATTGGTGAGAAAAATAGGTACAAAATGAAGGATAAAGAAACCACTGCAACCTGGAACTTATGGTCTTATTTTCCCCTTTTTTTCTGTTAGTTTAATGGCTTATATCCATTTTCTCCCTTTCAGTGTTACCGTGAACTCAGCATCGGCGCGGGTTTGACGCGGGTTTGAAATGTGACGTGTCAAAATGGAGTTGATCGGTGAGAACGAGAAGTGCGTAGCCTCGAAGTGCAGAGAGGTGGAAGGGGCGGCAGGGACAACCGTCGACAACCCGAGTGCCACCGAGGACGTCTGGGAAATCGTCAACCATCTCTTGACATCGTACAATCAACAGGTAAGAACTTCAAAATCCCAGCACGATCTCATGCCGAGAAGCTAGTTTGTACTGCCGTGCTGAGGAAGAACAACGTATTAACATTCGAGAGTTGCCAAATTTCCTTCGATAAAATGTTCATTTTTTAGGAAAGTTACGAATATTTTTCCTTTCAATTTTCAGAATCTGTAGGTAAAATTGTGAACTAAACTATCTAAAAAATTGGGAGAAAAATATTCATAAATTTACCAGGAAATACGCGTTTTATGAAAGGAAATTTGGCAACGCGAAGGTTCATACGGCGTTTTTCTTTAGCATGGCAGTTAAGGTTGTCCACATGGGGAAATTTAGGGATGTTGAAAATCTAAGGTGGAGCTGGCGCGGCGCACGGCCGTCTGACAATTTCGCGCCTTATCCACCCCGCGCCCGCCCCGCACACCCTGCCAGCAGAGACCACGGGGAGAATCGTCTTTTTTGAAAGCTCGCGGAATTCGGATTGACGTGTGGTGGTTACGCGCGCCGTTTCCTATTCCGACGTATTTTACTCCACAGAGGCTGTAACTCCCATGCCATGTCGCATCAGCATTCTTATGTTGCCGCATTCACTCTAATATAATATGAATTTTCTGAAGAACCTCGTGAATTTTTTCCCTTGAATTTTTCTTCAGAATTGATTCTCAATCTGATGGAAAGTATCAGAGAATTTCAATGAAAATTAATGCACAACTTTGCTTAAAAAAAAAAAAGATTTTATGTGGAGGGATTTGGCAGCGTTCGATACGATGTTTTTCCTCCGACCAGTAATACGTGTTTTGTCACAGGGAAGCGGAGTACGTCGATTCATCCTGCTCGGTAATGGTGACTGGGCGTCATCACTGTTAAAGTATATGTCTATGCCTATGTCTATGTCTATGTCTATGTTTATGTTTATGTCTATGTTTGTGATATGTTTATGTCTACGCCTATCCCTTAACTCATTTTCGACCCCCCATATAGTATGTTTCAAACAATTTCTGGTTAATGCGCTTGTTCAGTAATTTTTAATTCTTGTATTTTTGATCAGTAGAGAATCCACCTGGTTCACATGAATGTTCCTGGACTCTTGTGAACAGCATTAACTAACAAATAAAAAGTTCAAAGTTGCACGTTTGAAACTTCAATTTAAATGCCCTTCGCCGAGAAACTCTGCCTCATGTCCCATCATGGTCCATGCAGATATTATCAATGCACAGCTGCACCGATGATGGGCATTAACGGAGTAAGAGTTAGCGAATCAGGAGCGGCTGCACCAAACCCGATCACGCACCAATGGCGTAAAAATGAGAGGAGAGAGAGAATGAAGAGGAAAAACGAATGGTCAAAATATGGAGAGGATAAAGATAAGAAGAGAGTGAAACAAAGTGGAAGGAAATGGTCAAAGTTGAAATGACGCCAAAGTTGTAGCTTTATGGGTTGCCTTACGAGATGACGAATACACATTCACAACTGCATAAACCACTATGTAAAGCAGGGACAATGTGTAATTGTGAACCTATTGCCAGGCATCGTCAACTTAAAGTTCGCCTTCAATTTCGCAGCGTAGGCAACAAACTTACCGCGGAGCGCGAATAGTTACCTATTCGAAAAAACACACATATCTCGCTTCATAAACTTCGATAGAGCCAATACCCAATGCGGCAACCTTTTGGTATCGTCAACTTGGAGTTCGCCTTCAATTTCGCAGTATAGGCAACAAACATACCGGGGAGCGTGAATAGTTAGTTACCTAAGAAACACACCCATATCTCGCCTCATAAACTTCGATGAAGCTAATACATATCGCGTCAATCTAATGGTAGTAATAAATATCGTCAACTTGTGGTTCGCCTTCGATTTCGCCGTCTAGGCAACAAACATATCGGAAAATTCAAATAGTTATCTATTCGAGGAAGACAATTATCTCGCTCCTTAAGCTTTGAATGCTCTAATTGAACAGATTTTTATCCCTTTCAAGGCCACTGCTTTAGAAATTCCAGTTCGATACATTTTATCGTAATTTAGGAATCATATCTTCATCTCCTATCTTCCTTCAGATTAAACTTTAATTGTTTAAACCTCGGGTTTAACGGCAAGCTGAGTTCTTTGTCATTCACTGTTTATGCTTCTATTTTTGAAGCTGCAAATCGTTCTATTTGCTAGTTTTGGCAGGCCTTCTTTTTTGAATTAAAGTGCTTTAATCCGCCTTACTGAGTTTTTCTGTGGCACTTTGTGTCTTTTTAAATGTCCATTCTAAATTACATCGTTTTATCACTCAAATCAGCTAATTACAGCTACCTGCGAGGTAAAAACTACCAATCCAAAATTTGAAAATTTGTAATTTATGAAATTTTAAATTTTGAATCGGTAGTTTTTACCTCATTTTTATTTTTTGTCTAAGATTCATCTTTATTGGAGCAAACGACTTTCGATTTAGTCTTAAGAGGTAGGTCGTACAATGAATTCTAATTACTTTAACACCATTGAAGTAATACTTTTTTTAATGCTTTCTAATACCATCGCCAGGGTCGGATTAAGGGGGTAACCACATGGGCCGCGGCCCATGGCGGCAAATCTAGAGGGCGGCAAATTTTGCAATTTTTTTAAATGTAGGTATAAATAAATATCGAATTTAGAAAAAAAAAAATACAAACGAGAAAAGGCGACAAAATCTCTCATTTTCTGAGAGTGTAATAATTTTTAATTTTGTCGTCTTTCAGTGACACAAGAGACAGCACCTTTAATTAGTCGAGCTAAAAGAGAAACCCATCACACAATTTGGCCTGGAGCGGCGCGGCGCAGAGAGCAATGATGGCAAGGACTTGAGATGAAAAGGAAAAGCCATCGGCGCGGCGATCGGCATGTAACACATATCAGCGCCTACAAGACTGCACGAATACTTCACGCATTGCGCCAAACACAAAGCGGTCAGCGTGAAACGCATGGCGCCTACAAGACTGCGTGAATACTTCACGCATTGCGCCAAACACGGTGCGGTTTGCGCGGCGGCGGTGGAAGTTAAAATGATTAAACCACATTCATGTTTGTTCTTTCATAATTTTTTCGTTCATTTCTTATGAATGGAAGGCCTTGTCCGCACAGAGATAGGTTTACACAACTTAACTTTTGCAAGTAGTGTTGACAGGGCATCCCCAAAAAATGTGTTCAACACGAGTAAACACGTCTTATGCACCCCTCCCCGCTGGCACGTTCACTTGATGGTTTTTATTAATGTTTCAATACGAATGAGAAGGGGGCGGCAAAATACAGGCGGCCCATGGGCGGCAAGTAGGTAAATCCGGCCCTGACCCTCGCACAAGTATCCACTTCCTACCGCTTTAAATTTTAAAAAAAAAGTTGTCTTAAACGCGGACCTTGTGAACGTGACGCTGTGTGAAGGATTTTTGCGAGTTTGACCGTTAGTTTGACCTTCTTGCGATTCTTATTTAACCCCGTCTTTATCAGCAAAATTGAATTTATTTTTCGTTCACCGTATCAATTTCCGACTCCTTATCACCGAAATTCTCATCGAATTTGATGATTCCACGCATTTGAACTCGATCGAGTTAATGCACGTCTTACCGCAACATTGAAAGTCTCTGGTCATAAGATTCTCCCAAAAAAATGTCATACATTGAAAACGATGATAAACTCGACAAGCAGTTAAAAAATTAACAATAGCTAGATTACTAGATAGCTAGAAATAACAATAGATTATTGATATCACTCTATAGATAGAAATACCTAAACGAATGGCATCGTCAATTTTCAACATTATAAATCAAATCAATGCGTATTAAAAACGAAAATATGAAGCGAAGATTCTTTTTCGTGAAAATGACTTATTGCACTTTAATTTTCGTGAACAGCGCCGACCTTTGGATGTTGGGAACGGAGTAGGAGGCGACCCTATGATAGGAGCCTCCAATACTTCTCCTTAAAATCATGCTTTTAAAGAATTTACTGCTCCCTTTAGGATACGTGTGTAGGCAATTACAGGGGATTTTCACGGAACTTTCATGATTAATGAAAAAAATCACCTCTTGGTGAGGGCTCCCCTGCGGTGGGGGTCCTAGGGCGATCGCCCCCCTCTAAATCCGGCGTTTCTCCTGAAAGATTCGTTGTCATTTCCTCTTAACCGAACAACCCTGCATGCAAAACCGTGATCAATTACTTCTGGTAACCGTCGGTTTCATTTTTTCAACCGATGCAATCACTTTGGGAGCAGGAGAGGGTGGTGGGTGGGAGGGTGTGCGCGGGAGCCTTTTATTACATGTCAACTTGTCCGCAATAAAACATTTATAATCAATTCCCGGTGCCGCGATGGCGACCGAGACACCGCGCGGAGGATCATCGTATTGTCGCACAATTCATAACTCATTCCGCAATGACGCAAACACAAATAGTCGACCATAGGTAGCGCTCATTGCCATATTTTTAAAGTAGTTTTCACGTTTTGAGATTCCTATAAAAGTGCAACTGAATGAACTTTATCCATAAGAGCGTTAGTCTATTCGGCGAGGGGCAGTTTACTTTTTATCGATCGAGCAGGTCGCCCCGGAAATGTTTTTGGAATATTGCAATCATCAAAAATATTTACTTACGTGAGAAAATGTGCTGCCAACTCAAAATTGTAAGGCATGACTAAGCGCAAATATGTAGTGATATCACCATGATTCAGGTTATATTTGATTAAAAAAAGTCAACTTTAAGTTGCTTTTTGATTTTGGGAACGCACCTGTACCGAGATTTGACTTGAACACCCACGCATTCCTACTCATTTAACGATTAAAGTGTTCTGGGAAAGTCATGAACCGGGAATGGGAACGGCAAAGTTCTCGGGAGAGTTCCCGGTAACTTTTTATCACCATGTATGTGAGCGTGTGCATGTGCACGACGTAGGTACGTATGCGTCTTCCTGTCGAAGTTTTCCGGAAGAGAAGATCTTGGCCAAAAATTCCTTGGAATGTTCAAGTTCCCATTTAGATCCCCGTACTCGTGATGAT